CTATTCATCATTGACTCTTCAAGCACTCTTCAAGCGGTTAACATAGTCCTTATATTCAATCTCTGGACCTAACGGTCATAATATCATACTCGCTCTAGAACACACTTGTTATTTATTTAATAAAACTATAAAACGACTGTCCGCTGCTCTTATTCATCATCCATCAAACTTAACACCCATACCCGCCCAAATCTCAATTCTCAATTGTGATGAATTTTTCATTCGGGCTTAATACCACGATCCGTTTCTTTTTATATATAACCCAATACCCTCAAAAACAGTCCCTTCGCTATGCCACCAAAAACCAAACTATCTCAATTTTACAGGGTCTATCTCCTGCAAGCGCAGCTCGAGGACCCGTCGGTGGACGTCAACGTGCGGAATCAAAACATCGAATCTCCACTCCTCTCCGCCCTCCGTCTCCAAAACAAAGAGATATCTCTCAATTTAATGTCTAAGTTAGTTGTGCACCCAAATGTGGACGTCAATCTACCGGATTACCACGGGGACACGCCTCTTCATGAAGCGGTCAAAAACGAGACGTCCTTAATCAGCGAAGTAATTTTAACCACGCTCCTCAGAAACCCCACGGTCAAAATCAACGTGAAGAACTATTTGGGAGAAACCCCTTTACACGTGGCCAAAACCGTGGCAGCCGCACGACAACTCGTTGAAAAGGGAGCCGACATAAATCGGAGGGATGGGAGCTACAATACTCCGCTACACAAACAGGTAAGACTGCGAAAGTTTGAAGATTCCTTGAGTAATTTTGTCAATAATAGGTCAAGAATCCGGAGGTATGCGACTTCCTCCTGCGCCAAGGCGTTGAAGTCAACGCGCGGAACATCAAAGGGTTTACTCCTCTGCATGAAGCCGTCTACTACAAGGTGGAAGAAACCGTGATTATGCTCCTGGAGTACGGAGCCGACGCGAATTTGGAGAACGACTACACACACAAGATCACGCCTCTGCAGATAGCATGCAGAGTTCATGCTGCTGAAAGCATCAAATCTTTATTGTGGGAGAAGACCAAGCCCAAGTATCTGCTGTTCGCCGCCAGTTACGACAGTACCCAGGTGCCCCAGATCCTAAAGGATTGGTCCACGCTGTCGAAAGAAGAAGACGAACTTGTTGAATTCCTACTCGAATTGATAATCCTTTTAAAAAGCTGCGACGATCTGAGAGCGGTGACGTGCGGTCGCTTAGTTACCGACCACTTCTTCAGCGTCGTTCACCTGCTGAGTCCGTGCAGCTGTCAAAGAATCACCAAGAAGTTCGTCGAGTACTTGATTAAATCCTACTACTTGGAACGCTCTCTTCTCAGCTTCGTCATAAAAACGCACGATTATTCCAGACCTTCCAGTCTCGAAGAAATAACAAGTGTGGTGGACGTGCTTGTTCAAAAAGGCGAAACCGTGGACTTTTCCGACCTCGAATTCATATACCTGCAGTTCGGGGACTGCGACTTACTCCACGACCTCATCAAAACTAACGTCACTTCGAGGAGGCGCAAACTGAAACAAGTTCCGTTCTTCATTAAGGCGATTTGGAATGTCGCGAACGACCCCAAGAACTTAATGGAGGCAAAATCTTTGACGGACATTAGTGTCATGGACTTTCATAGTATTCACACCTTGGCGAGGTACTGTACCTTGCCGCCACTCCTCTTCAAAAACTTCCACAATACGTACAAAAACATCATCAAGTACGAAAAACCCGAGTTATGTACGGAGGAGATGGAAGTCTGTTTGCAAGACATCAAGGAGAACATCGGGATTCCGAGTTTGTTGGAGTTGAGTAGAAATGCGGTGCGTCCGGCGTTATGTAGAAGATATAAGCTAAATAGGGCGGCCGAGTTATACGCTCTGCTGAAAATGTTCGGACTTCCTCCAAGGCTAATTTCCATTATTATGATGGAAAATCCGCTGTTTTACCACATCGAAGCGCCTACGTACCTGCCTTACACGAGGGCTCGATATTACTGGTGATTTTTGTTTATAGGCTAATATTGTTAAGTTAATTTTATTTGTACAGTTGTTAATAAAAAAACGGTTGACCAGATTTTGTTATTTTTCGAAAATTAATTTAAATTTCCACTATCAATTTGCAAGAACACGTATTTCAACTTAGGTTGGTGCAGCAATACTAGTAATAACGTTTTATATTATTATTTTTGCATCACCCTGTATAAGGAAATCGAAAAAATTGGTCTAGAGAGTTTAGACAGTACTTCCTTCGCTGTCGAAAACGTGACGACGGCATGCCTATTATGTTTTTAATTTCTCATTACTGAACGTCAGTTGATGATTTTAAAATCCATACCACGACATAATAATAATAATATATTACTTTATTATAACTTTCAAGTGTCGGTCATTCATTTACTTTTTTGATTCACCTGTTTAAGCAAATCTAAAAAATATGAATGCAATGATTAAAAGTGTTCACATTTTGCACATTTGCGAAAGAATTTATTCGGCAAAATTTTGAGATGCCGTAATCAATTTTTTGGGGTTGACAAACAGATACATTTTCATTAAAAAGTTACCATGCTTACAATAACCTCAAAACGTCAAGATTTTAAAGTATTCAGTTTTACAATATTCTTGATTTAATCAATAAAATAAATTGAGTCAGTCATTAATTTTTTTCACACACCCCGTATAAGCAAGTCTAAAAAATATTTATGCAGTGATGAATCACAATTATAGACTCATCAAACTTTGCACAATGCACATTTAAGACAGCATTTTTCGGAAAAATTTTGGTGTGGCGTGATCAATTTTTTAGGGGGGGGGGGGGGGCATGAGCAAATATATCTTGATCAAAAATTTACCGTGCTCATGATAACTTTAAAACATCTCCAAGATTTCAAATTTGGTTTTGTAGTTCCCGAGTAAATCAATTAAATAAATTTACGCATTCATTAATTTTTTTGAGTCACCCTGCATACGCAAATCCACAAAATATTAATGGAATGATAAATTAGAAGTACAGACTCACATATTTTCTACGTTTTAGATAGTATTTATTCGGCAAACTTTTGAGGTGAAGTCATCTATTTTTTGGAGGGGACTAATACGAGTACATTTTGAATAAAAAATTACCATGCTTATCATAACTGTAAACCATCTGCAAGATTTCAAAGCATTCGGTTTTGCAGATTCCAAATTAAATGTCAAAATGTTGTTTCCTAATTTTGATTTTTTTTCCAAAAATCTGGACGTTTCGGATAAAATCTCAATTCGGAGTCATAAACTACATGTGTAAGACTATGTTATTTGATACAATTTAAAACCCGTTTACTAAGATGTACAATTTTGAAGTGACGTCATCACATTAGTAGTACATGATTAGACAAATTTTGGTTAGCGTTTTACCATCTATGATATACCTAATATAAATACAAAGTTTGACAACAATCGGTCCAGTACATTAGGAAATTATAGTCTAATAAAAATCCGGGACAGCATACATACGGACAGACAGACGGACAGACAGAAACGGGAGACCTATTTCTTCGTCCTCTAGGGGTCATGATAGGTCGAGAAAATGCAAAAGTAGAGAGTCGGCCGACGGACTCGATTACAAAACTTCCTTTGTTTACGCTCGGGAAGTAAAAACAGCCGCATTTTATCTTAGAATATATTTTAGAAAATAAACTTGTTTCGACTTTTCCCAATATTTTTATTGCAATCAGAATTTTACTTACTCTTCCGGTTTCAGTTGCCTCTGGTGAAAGATCGTTTTCAAAATTTAAACTTGCTAAAAATTATCTTCGATCTGCTATGTCACAAACAAGACTTTCTGACTTAGCGATAAAATCCATAGAAACAATATTTTAGATAGTTTGGATTTACGTGATTTAATAGCCAGTTTTTGCAGAAAGCAAAGTTCGCAAAATGCAATTTTTATGGTTTATTTTAAATCAATATTTTTCGTATGTCTGTATATAAGACATCTTAATAAACACGTCTGTACTTGTACCTGTGTTGTTTACAAATAAATATTATACATACAAAAATTATAGTTTTGCCTATTTTCTTAAAAAGAGGGGCGTAAAAATAATGTTTGCACACGGGCGGTCAAAACTCTAGGCGCGGCCATGAATGTATTTAAAATTTTGTGCAAAACTGTATGAAACTGACTCGACTTTTGTAACATGAATGAAAGACACTATATGATATAAATAAAGTTATGACTGTGACAAACAGGTTTTTAAATTACTGAGGGTTATTATAAATAAATCAATGATAGGTCTTATAGGCAACCCACAAAACACAGGTTGGGTTAAATATTCTATCCTCATGTTATTGTTTTTCTCTTCCAACTAAGGTCTAACGCCATGCGTCATTTTTAACGTGTATGGGTGTATATGGGTGTTGGTTGTTTCGGTTTCGGTTGATTATTCCTATTTATCTTTTTTTTTTTTTTTAATTAAATTTTATTATATCGGAGATTGAATTCTTTCCGGTACTCTCCAGAAGAAGCGTGTCAACCAATGCTAAAGCAGAGCTGCTATTTAATGTATTACTTTTTTGTTCAATAATCGAACTAAAACTTACTGAAAAAAAAAACGAAGAGGAGAGAACAATTAGTTTGAAAACATCTTCCTAATCTCGTACAATGGCATTTTAATGACTAACGGATATATTTTCGAAGACAATTTAGCACTGAATCTTACAAATAAATATTTTCAAATGGTCTACAACGACACTTTAATCGGCAATCCGTACTTTGAGTACCTAAAAACATTTACAAAACAATGCCCCCTCATAAAATAGGCAATTTCCGAATTCGTATAAAAGGGTTGTGAAATTAGCAGACAAATTCAGTGTGTGCCTTCAGTTCTCGGCCATCACGTTGTGTCATGTCACACAACGTGATGGCCGATATTCTGGTGAGTAGTTTTCTTAAGATTTTAAAATTCCATTTTTGAATAAATATTCAATACTACATCAGGTCATCTGTTATTTTTTTTTTATTTACTGTCACGCCACATGAAACTTGCAAACAATTTTTTTATTTTCTTTTACGAAACTTGAGCTTTGTGTACGACTTATCTATTAAAGAGTTATTGTTTCCAGAAAACTGTTTCTGTTTTACGAAGAAGACAAGAAGACAGCATGACATCGTACATGGTTTATCCCAACTACTTTGACGAGGAAGTTACGTATTTGAAAAATTTCACGAAGGCTCTGAATGGCGAGGATAGCCCCTTGCACCGATCGATTTTAGACGAAAGGTAATAAACAATCGATAATAATAATAATAATAATAGATTGTGGACTAAATCAAAAAAATTATCAACGCTTTTCAAAATTCTTAAAACCGTTGCTAACTTTATTTGATTTTCCAAATTCCATTATGTCATTGTAAGATAAATACGCAGCGAAGGTATGCGTCGTTTACATTATCCGCTGACGTTGCTATTCGTCTCAAAAACAGATTAGGTATTATTACTACAAAGGTTTACATTTTGCCTTTTCTTAATATGTGTAGTCATCTTTTCACAACAGGAAACTTAAAACATGTTTAAAACGATAATTTGTATACGGAAATATCAAGACCAATTCAATCAATTAAAAAAATATGGCTGAGAAATATCGTAAAAAAAGCACCCTTGTATGTTTTCTTTTCAAGTTTTTTAAGTCATAATGTGTTTATTAAAATCAAAATAGACCACAAATTAATGGAAAATACGTCGAACAATTTTAACAGGATTATCAGAGGAAAATTAATGACATATTGCTTAGTAGAGTTTTTAACAAAAACTAACGATTGAGTAATCTAATGTTAAAGAAGTTAATTTTACGCAATGCGGTACTATCATAAAACCGAATTAGAACTGGGGAACTATAATATTTTTACTCTACTCAGGATCCAGAATTCAATACACATGATTACTAAAAATTCATTGTACTTAAATATTGTTAATATACCGGGCATTTTTTTTAAAACTGAACATAGGGCTATGTTCAGTTTTAAAACGACGCTGTGAATTCAGGAACATTGTTGGTTGCATAACCACGAGAAATCGTTTGAGTAAAGCAGAGCTTTTTCACCGAAACTACAGCGTGTTATGCACATGGTCAACAATAAACAAAACCATAAATACGACAAAAATTTTATAAAACAAAAACTAAATTTTATAACAAATATTCGAAATGACCGCCTCCCTGTTCCAAGCAATAACCAAGTCTGTGATGGAATCCTTGCACTGCATTTCGTACGAAATTTGGATTCAACTCTTGGCAAGCTCTGACTATTCGTTCCTGTAACTCCTGAATTGTTTGAATTTCTACGTGATCATAAATTGTATTATGTAGGTGTCCCCAGAGAAAAAAATCATTTGGCGAAAGATCTGGTGATCGTGCAGGCCAAGCTACAGGACCAAATCTCCCTATCCAACGTTCACCAAATACATCATTTAAATAATTCGTAACTATTCTACACGAATGTGCTGGTGCACCATCCATCTGGAACCAAATATTCTCAATATTTAGTGGTTCAATTTCAGGAATAATATGGTTCCTTAAAAATCTAAGAAATTTATTTGCATTTAAATTGCCATCAATAAAAAATGGTCCAATGAGCCTATTGTTTATTAAGCCAGCCCACACATTTAGTCTTTCTTGTACTTGATGGCGAATTAAATTTTGCACATGAGGATTTGTGCGGGCCCAGTATCTGTAATAAGAACATTTTGGCATAAATAGCATTGAATAATAAAATTGTAGAAAATCTAACCGATAATTTTGTGAATTAACTTCGCCATTCCTACTAAATGATGCCTCATCTGTAAACATAATGTTTTCTAAAAGTTGTTCATTAGTGTTCAGTGAGTTAAACATCAATTCACAAAAATCCGTCCTCCTTATTTTATCCTCTTCAGTGAGGTATTGATGATTCCTAAATTTATATGGTTTAAATCGGCATTCCTTCAAAACTTTTCGAATTGAGAATCTGGAAATACCGAAGTAGTTACTCATTTGCGTTATGGTGGATATTGGTTCCTCTTCAGCGTAGCATAATACGTTTAATTTCATCTCTTCGGTTAAAATGTGACATCTACTATTTCTTTGATGATGGCTATTGACGACACATCCTCTTGCATTAAAATTTTTAATTATGTTCCAAATTGTTGCGAGAGACGGAATTGGCCTAGTAGGGAGTTACTGTATGGAAAATAAATCCCTTACAATTCGCATGCTACTACCAGCTTGGTACCATTGCAGTATTTGAATTTTTTCTTCTGTCGAATACATTGTGTGCAAGCAGTTTTGACATTTTAGAAAACATTTCAAAGCATTCTATTTGATTCTACTTTTTTAAACGATGGAGTTGTTGTAATGTTGGTTGCATTACAGTTGCAATTGACTGCGTCGTTTTAAAACTGAACATAGGCAGTGAGTATAGAGTTAAGTTAAAATATATAGTCACTGACATAGGGATATGTTCAGTTTTAAAAAAAATGCCCGGTATATTTTGCTTTGTTAATTAATAAAACTCATAAACATACTTATAACAATAATAAAAAATACATAAAATACAGCTTTTGTTTAACACGTATAAGTAGCTAAGTGTATCTACTACTTATCCCAGAAAGGAGGTGTTTTAAAAAAGCCCTACGTCCAGTAGCTTCTCCCTACATTGTTCACTCGAAAGACAGTTTTAATACAAAAAGTGCTCGTATATGTTTTCCTTTGCCGAGGGCTAATATTTTGCCTTTTTATTTTAATATAACATAGCTACCTTTTGACAACAAGAAACTTAAAACATGGTTAAAATGGTTACATTTTTGCAAGGAAATATGGATTTCGCAATTATAGAGCGGAGCCTAATTGCAAAATCAATATTTTCTTATACAAATTTACCATTTTAAACATGTTTTAAGTTTGTTGTTCTGAAAAGACGACTATGTATATTAAGAAAAAAGTCAAAACATAAGCCCCGCCCACCCGCCCTATCTCAATTGTGATGATTTTTTTTATTCACCGTGAACCAAGAGCGTGGAGCTTAACTGCAAAATACTTATTTCTTTACAAGAAATTAAAAACATGTTTTTGAATATCGTGTTGTTCAAAGAATACTTACTATGTATACTCAGAAAAAAATTAAGCCAAAGATTAGGACCCATCTTTTTTCATTCGTTGTCAGATCGAGGGGCAGGGCTTAATACCACGATCCGTTTCTTTTTATATATAACCCAATAACATCAAAAACAGTCCCTTCGCTGCAGCACCAAAAACCAAACTATCTCAATTTTGCAGGGTCTATCTTCTGCAAGCGCAGCTCGAGGACCCATCGGTGGACGTCAACGTGCGGAATCAAAACATCGAATCTCCACTCCTCTCCGCCCTCCGTCTCCGAAACAAAGAGATATCTCTCAATTTAATGTCTAAGTTAGTTCTGCACCCAAATGTGGACGCCAATCTACCGGATTACCACGGGGACACGCCTCTTCATGAAGCGGTCAAAAACGAGACGTCTTTAATCAGCGAAGTAATTTTAACCACGCTCCTCAGAAACCCCACGGTCAAAATCAACGTCAAGAACTATTTGGGAGAAACCCCTTTACACGTGGCCAAAACCGTGGCAGCCGCACGACAACTCGTGAAAAAGGGGGCCGACATAAATCGGAGGGATGGGAGCTACAATACTCCTCTGCACAAACAGGTAAGACTGCGAAAGTTTGAAAATTCCATGACTATTTTTGTCAATAATAGGTAAAGAATCCCGATGTGTGCGACTTCCTCCTGCGCCAAGGCGTTGAGATCAACGCTCGGAACATCAATGGGTTTACTCCTCTGCATGAAGCCGTCTACTACAAGGTGGAAGAGACCGTGATTATGCTCCTGGAATACGGGGCCGACGCGAATTTGGAGAACGACTACGCCCACAAGATCACGCCTCTGCAGATAGCATACAGAGTTCATGCTGCTGAAAGCATCAAATCTTTATTGTGGGACAAGACCAAGCCCAAGTATCTGCTGTTCGCCGCCAGTTACGACAGTACCCAGGTGCCCCAGATCTTAAAGGATTGGTCCACGCTGTCGAAAGAAGAAGACGAACTTGTTGAATTCCTACTCGAACTAATAATTCTATTAAAAAGCTGCGACGATCTGAGAGCGGTGACGTGCGGTCGCTTGGTCACCGACTACTTCTTCAGCGTCGTTCACCTGCTGAGTCCGTGCAGCAGTCAAAGAATCACCAAGAAGTTCGTCGAGTACTTGATTAAATCCCACTACTTGGAACGCTCTCTTCTCAGCTTCGTCATAAAAACGCACGATTATTCCAGACCTTCCAGTCTCGAAGAAATAACGAGTGTGGTAGACGTGCTTGTTCAAAAAGGCGAAACCGTGGACTTTTCCGACCTCGAATTCATCTACCTGCAGTTCGGCGACTGCGATTTACTCCACGACCTCATCAAAACTAACGTCACTTCGAGGAGGCGTAAACTGAAACAAGTTCCGTTCTTCATTAAGGCGATTTGGAATGTCGCGAACGACCCCATGAACTTGATGGAGGCAAAATCTTTAACGAACATTAGTGTCATGGACTTTTATAGTATTCATACCTTGGCGAGGTACTGTACCTTGCCGCCACTCCTCTTCAAAAACTTCCACAATACGTACAAAAACATCATCAAGTACGAAAAACCCGAGTTATGTACGGAGGAGATGGAAGTCTGTTTGCAAGACATCAAGGAGAACATCGGGATTCCGAGTTTGTTGGAGTTGAGTAGAAATGCGGTGCGTCCGGCGTTATGTAGAAGATATAAGCTAAATAGGGCGGCCGAGTTGTACGCTCTGCTGAAAATGTTTGGACTTCCTCCACAGCTAATTTCCATTATTATGATGGAAAATCCGCTGTTTTACCACATCGAAGCGCCCACGTACCTGCCTTACACGCGGGCGCAATATTACTGGTGATTTTTGTTTATAGGCTAGTATTGTTAAGTTAATTTTATTTGTACAGTTGTTAATAAAAAAATGATTGATCAGATTTTATTATTTTTCAAAAATTAATTTAAATTTCAACCATGAATTTGCATGAACACGTATTTCAACTTAGGTTGGTGCAGCAATACTAGTAATAACGTATTATATTATTATTTTTGCATCACCCTGTATAAGCAAATCGAAAACATTGGTCTAGAGAGTTTCGACAGAACTTCCCTCGGTGTCGGAAACGTGACGACGGCATGTTATATTATGTTTTTAATTTCTCATTACTGAACGTCAGTTGATTTTAAAATCCATATCCACGACATAATAATAATAATATATTTAATAACTTTCAAGTGTCGGTCATTCATTTATTTTTTTGATCCACATGTTTAAGCAAATCTAAAAAATATTAATGCAATGATTAAAAGTCTGTTCATATTTTGCACATTTGCGAAAGAATTTATTCGGCAAAATTTTGAGATGCCCTAATCAATTTTTTGGGGTTGATAAACAGATACATTTTCATTAAAAAGTTACGTCAAAACGTCAAGATTTTAAAGTATTCAGTTTTGCAATTCTTGATTTAATCAATAAAATAAATTGACTCAGTCATTAATTTTTTTCACACACCCCGTATAAGCAAATCTAAAAAATATTTATGCAGTGGTAAGTCACAATTATAGACTCATCATACTTTGCATAATGCACATTTAAGATAGCATTTTTTTTTTAATTTTGGAATGGCGTGATCAATTTTTTAGGGGGGGGATGAGCAAATATATTTTGATCAAATATTTACCATGCTTATGATAACTTTAAAACATCTCCAAGATTTTAAAGCATTCGGTTTTGTAGTTCCTGATTAAATCAATGAAATATATTTACGCATTCATTAATTTTTTGGAGGGGACAAATAAATATATTTTGAATAAAAACTGATCATGTTTATCATAACTGTAAACCACCTGCAAGATTTCAAAGCATTCGGTTTTGCAGATGCCAAATTAAATGTCAAAATATTGTTTTCTAACTTTGATTTTTTTCCAAAAATCTGGAGGTTTGGGGTAAAATCTCAATTCGGAGTCATAAAGTACACGTGTAAGACTATGTTATTTGATACAATTTAAAACCCGTTTACTAAGATGTACAATTTTAAAGTGACGTCATCACATTAGTAGTACATGATTAGACAAATTTTGGTTAGCGTTTGACCATCTACATGATATACCTAATATAAATACAAAATTTGACAACAATCGATCCAGTACTTTAGGAGATTATTGTCTAATAAAAATCCGGGACTGCAGACAGACCGACAGACAGACAGACGTAAACGGGAGACCTATTTTTTTGTCCTCTAGGGGTCATGATAGGTCAAGAAATTGAAAAAATAGTGAGTCGGCCGACGGACTCGATTACAATACTCCCTTTGCTTACGCTCGGGAAATAAAAAAAAAACGCATTTTATTTTAGAATATATTTTAGAAAATAAACTTGTTTCGACTTTTCCTAATATTTTTATTGCAATCAGAATTTTACTTACTCTTCCGGTTTCAGTTGCCTCTGGTGAAAGATCATTTTCAAAATTGAAACTTAATAAAAATTATCTTCGATCAACTATGTCACAAACAAGACTTTCTGACTTAGCGATAATATCCACAGAAAATATATAATATTTTAGACAGTTTGGACTTACGTGATTTAATAGCCAGTTTTGCAGAAAGCAAAGTTCTCAAAATACAATTTTTATGATCAATATTTTTTGTAAGATATGTTAATATAATAATTATTTATCTTATTTTTTTCATTAAATTTCATTGTATCTGAGATCGAATATTTTCCGGTGCTTTCCGGAAGAAGCGTCTCAAACAAAAGTAAAGAAGAGCTGATATTATATGTAATACTTTTTTGTTCAATAATCGAACTGAACATTACTGAAAAAAAAAACGAAGAGGAGAGAACAATTAGTTTGAAAACATCTTCCTAATCTCCTCGATGTCATTTTAATGACTAACGGATAGTTCCGAAGAAAATTTAGCACTGCATCTTGAAAATAAATGTTTTCGAATAGCCTCTAACGACACTTTAATCGGCAATCCGTACTTTGACTACCTACAAACATTTACAAAACAATCCCCCCTCATAAAATAGGCAATTTCCGAATTCGTATAAAAGGGTTGTGAAACTAGGAGACAAATTCAGTGTGTGCCTTCAGTTCTCGGCCATCACGTTGTGTGATGGCCGATATTCTGGTGAGTAGTTTTCTTAAGATTTTAAAATTTCATTTTTGAATAAATATTCATTACTACATCAGGCCATCTGTTATTTTTTTTATTTACTGTCACGCCACATAAAACCTGTGAACATTTTTTTTTTTTTTTATTTTCTTTTACGAAACTTGAGCTTTGTGTACGACTAATTTATTAAAGAGTTGTTGTTTTCAGAAAACGGTTTCACGCTCCTCAGAAACCCCACGCTCAAAATCAACGTTAAGAACTATTTGGGAGAAACCTCTTTAGACGTGGCCAAAACCGTGGCGGCCGCACGACAACTCGTGGAAAAGGGGGCCGACATAAATCGGAGGGATGGCATCTACAATACTCCGCTACACAAAAAGGTAAAACTGCGGAAGTTTGAAGATTCCTTGACTATTTGTCAATAATAGGTCAAGAATACCGATGTGTGCGAGTTCCTCCTGCGCCGAGGCGCTGAGATCAACGCGCGGAACTTCAATGGTTTTACTCCTCTGCCTGAAGCCGTCTACCACAAGGTGGAAGAAACCGTGCTTCTGCTCCTGGAGTACGGGGCGGACGCGAATTTAGAGAACGACGAATTGATCATTCTTTTAAAAAGCTGCGACGATCTGAGAGATCACGAAGAAGTTCGTCGAGTACTTAATGAAATCCTACTATTTGGAACGCTCTCTTCTGAGCTTCGTCATAAAAACGCACGATTATTCCAGACCTTCCAGTCTTGAAGAAATAACGAGTGTGGTGGACGTGCTTGTTCAAAAAGGCGAAACCGTGGACTTTTCCGACCTCGAATTCATCTACCTGCAGTTCGGCGACTGCGACTTGGTCCACGACATTATCAAAACTAACATCACTTTGAGGAAACGCGAGTTGAAACTAGTTCCGTTTTTTATTAAGGCGATTTGGAACGTTGCGAACGACCTCACGTACTTGATGGAAGCAAAATGTTTAACTAATATTAGTGTCATGGACTTTTATAGTATTCATACCTTGGCGAGGTACTGTACCTTGCCGCCACTCCTCTTCAAAAACTTCAAATCGATATTCTGGTGAGTAGTTTTCTTAAAATTTTAAAATTTTATTTTTGAATACTACACATGAAACCTGTAAACATTTTTTTTAATTTTCTTTTACGGAACGTGAGCTTTGTGTACGATTTATCTATTAAAGAGTTATTGTTTTCAGAAAACTTTTTCTGCCTTACGAAGAAGACAAGAAGACAGCATGACATCGCATATGGTTTATCCCAAATACTTTGACGAGGAAGTTACGTATTTGAAAAATTTCACAGAGACTCTGAATGGCGAGGATAGCCCTTTGCATCGATCTATTTTAGACGAAAGGTAAGAAACAATCGCTAATAATAATAATAATAATAATAATAATAGATTGTGGACTAAATCAGAAAAATAATCAACGCTTTCCAAAATTCTTAAAACCGTTGCTAACTTTATTTGATTTTCAAAATTCCATATGTCATTGTAAGATAAATATGCAGCGAAGGTATGCGTCGTTTACATTATCCGCCGACGTTGCAATTCGTCTCAAAAACAGATTAGGTATCATTACTACAAAGGCTTACATTTTGCCTTTTTTTCTTAATACGTGTAGTCATCTTTTCACAAGAAGAAACTTAAAACATGTTTAAAACGATAATTTGTTTACGGAAATATCAAGACCAGTTCAATCAATTAAAAAAATATGGCTGAGAAATATCGTAAAAAAGGCTCCCTTGTATGTTTTCTTTTCAAGTTCTTTTAGTCATAATGTATTTATTAAAATCAAAATATACCACAAATTAATGCAAAATACGTCGAATAATTTTAACAGAAATATCAGAGGAAAATTAATGACATATTGCTTAGCAGAGTTTTTAACAAAAACTAACGATTAAGTAATCTATTGTTAAAGAAGTTTTACGCAATGCGGTACTATCATACAACCGAATTAGAACTGGGGAACTATGATATTTTTACTCTATTCAAGATCCAGAATTCAATACACATGATTACTAGAAATTTATTGTGGTTAATATTGTTAATATACATTTTGCTTTGTTAATTAATAGAACTCATAAACACATTTATAATAATAATAAAAAATATATAAAATACAGCTTTTGTTTAACACGTATAAGTAGCTAAGTGTATCTACTACTTATCCCAGAGAGGAGGTATTTTAAAAAAGCCCTACGTCCAGTAACTTCTCCCTACATTTTTTTTACTCGAAAAATGGTTTTAAAACAAAAGGTGCTCGTATATGTTTCCATTTGCCAAGGGCTTATATTTTGCCTTTTTTTTTTAATATAACATAACTACCTTTTCTTACATTTTTGCAAGGAACTATGGATTTTGTAATTATAGAGTGGAGCCTAATTGCAAAAGCAATATTTCCTTATACAAATTTACCATTTTAAACATGTTTTAAGTTTGTTGTTCTGAAAAGACGACTATGTATATTACGACAAAAGCCAAAACATAAGCCCCGCCCACCCGCCCTATCTCAATTGTGATTTTTTTTTTATTCACCGTGAAGCAAGAGGGCAGAGCTTAACTGCAAAATACTTATTTCTTTACAAGAACTTAAAAACATGTTTTTGAGTATCGTCTTGTTCAAAGAATACTTAGACACTGTGTATATTCAGAAAAAAATTAAGCCAAAGATTATGACCCACCTTTTTTCATTAGTTGTCAGATCGAGGGGCAGGGCTTAATACTACAATCCGTTTCTTTTTATATTTTATAGATAACCCAATAACTTCAAAAACAGTTCCTTCGCTACGCCACCAAAAACCAAACTATCTCAATGTTACAGGGTGTATCTTCTGCAAGCGCAGCTCGAGCACCCGTCGGTGGACGTCAACGTGCGGAATCAAAACATCGAATCTCCACTCCTCTCCGCCCCCCGTCATCGAAACAAAGAGATATCTCTCAATTTAATGTCTAAGTTAGTTCTGCACCCAAATGTGGACGTCAATCTACCGGATTACCACGGGGACACGCCTCTTCACGAAGCGGTCAAAAACGAGACGCCCTTAATTAGCGAAGTAATCTTAACCAGGCTCCTCAGAAACCCCACGGTCAAAATCAACGTTAAGAACTATTTGGGAGAAACCTCTTTACACGTGACCAAAACCGTGGCAGCGGCACGACAACTCGTGAAAAAGGGGGCCGACATAAATCGGAGGGATGGGAGCCACAATACTCCCCTGCACAAACAGGTAAGACTGCGAAAATTTCAAGATTCCTTGACTATTTTTGTCAATAATAGGTCAAGAATCCCAATGTGTGCGAGTTCCTCCTGCGCCAACGCGTTGAGATCAGCGCGCGGAAGATCAATGGTTTTACTCCTCTGCATGAAGCCGTCTACCACAAGGTGGAAGAAACCGTGCTTCTGCTCCTGGAGTACGGGGCGGACGCGAATTTAGAGAACGACGAATTGATAATTCTTTTAAAAAGCTGCGACGATCTGAGAGATCACGAAGAAGTTCGTCGAGTACTTAATTAAATCCTACTATTTGAAACGCTCTCCTCTCAGCTTCGTCATAAACACGCACGATTATTTCAGACCTTCCAGTCTCGAAAAAATAACAAGTGTGGTGGACGTGCTTGGCCAAAAAGGCGAAACCGTGGAGTTTTCCGACTTCGAATTCATCTACCTGCAGTTCGGCGACTGCGACTTAGTCCACGACATTATCAAAACTAACGTCACTTTGAGGAAACGCGAGTTGAAACTAGTTCCGTTTTTTATTAAGGCGATTTGGAACGTTCCGAACGACCTCGCGTACTTGATGGAAGCAAAATGTTTAACGAATATTAGTGTCATGGACTTTTATAGTATTCATACATTGACGAGGTACTGTACCTTGCCGCCACTCCTCTTCAAAAACTTCCACAATACGTACAAAAACATCATCAAGTACGAAAAACCCGAGTTATGTACGGAGGACATGGAAGTATGTTTGGAAGACATCAAGGAGAACATCGGGATTTCGAGTTTGTTGGAATTAAGTAGAAATGCAGTGCGCCCGGTGTTATGTAGAAGGTATAAGCTAAAAAAGGCAGCCGAGTTGTACGCTCTGTTGAAAAAGCTCGGACTTCCTCCACGGCTAATTTCCATTATTATGATGGAAAATCCGCTATTTTACCACATCGAAGCGCCTACGTACCTGCCTTACACGAGGGCGCAATATCACTGGTGATTTTTGTTTATAGGCTAGTATTGTTAAGTTAATTTTATTTGTACAGTTGTTAATAAAAAAATGATTGATCAGATTTTATTATTTTTCGAAAATTAATTTAAATTTCCACCATCAATTTGCAAGAACACGTATTTCAACTTAGGTTGGTGCAGCAATACTAGTGAGAGGAAAGCAAAATAAGAATGAGAAACGAAACTGCAAACAAAACTGAGGCCAAGTGGCTGCCTGGCTGCAAGTCATAAATAAATGAACGACCGGAAGTGGCCAACTTTGCATTTTGCATAATCTCGAGATCATATGTCAACAACTGGTCAGTCGAAAACGAAATCGTATTTACAATCGTCAAATGGTACAGGAGTAATACGAAAGTTAGAAACGATTAGGTCTGAAAGGCATATGCAAACACCACCCCCTTTGCTGCCAAGACGATCTTTCCGAAATATAGTGTAGGTAACCCTTCAAGGAAACCAGTTACAGCTCTCGCCACGCTAAACGGTGAGCGAGGCTGCAAACAGGCAAAAACCGGGTCGACAGCTATTAAAAACTAATCAGCTCACCAAAAACTATTAACGATAACGAATAGGTACCGCCAAAACATGGAAATCGGAATCGAATTACCAATGGATGTGATTAGTTGACTACTTAATTCACAACCGGATCAAACTCCAAAAAATAATATGGTACGAACTCACCAAAAAGCAATCGAACGTAGGGAACGACAAAACGCACGTCTACACACTTGGCTTTCGGTTGTTTTATCATGTTGTTGTCGAAAGAAGTCTACACATATTAAAACAAAAACGCAAAATGGAGCCTCGCCCACCCGTTCTATCTCAATTGTGCTGACTTTTTTATTCATCGCGAGCCAAGTGGGGGGGGGGGGAGCGTAATTGCAAAATCATTATTTCTCTACACGAAATTAAAAACCGACTATTTTTGACATCATAAGCAAGAACCCGAAATCCGAAATAAAACAACCCCTCTTTCGTTCCAAATGGTGTAATGCCTCGGCCACACAATATATACAGATTTATATATTTACATTTGAACCATCTACAGCTTCTATAAAAAAATCATATCCACTTTCGTTAAGTACAAAAGTTTCCATCCAGTAAAACAATCGCGTCGCAGTCACCATACTCATAAAAGACTCAGCTGCTCGACGGGCCTCTGCAGTTTCCCCTCCAACTTGTTACTCTTCGGTTTTCTCCCCAACTCCACCCTCACCAACGTGAAAATCTCCAAAACCATCGAAACCTGCGGCTCGGAATCCGTCTCGGGAAACCGCACCAAAATCCTCCACATCTTCTTCGCGTTCTCGTCCTTGGGGTCCTTCCGCACTTGGATCTCCTCCGACTTCCACGTCACGTTCTCGCCGAAATTCTAAAACGAAGAGAGAAAATGACGAATCGCGGACTTTCTAGAAACTCACGTTGGTGTAAATCCTGAGCACGGTGCCGGTGTTGAGGACTATAACATCGATGGACCGCTCTTTCGTGTCTACAACGACCGCATCCTGGACGTAGGGTTGGTTGCTTTCGACGTAGTGAGCGAGGTAGAGGTCGGAACTCGCTTCTCCAGCCCGTTTCGCGTGGTACTTTTGCCGGTTACAGGTTTCGGCGACCAGTGCTACTTCCTCAGGCTCCCAGGTGGGTTTGTCGCGGTAGTGGAGCGCGGCTGCTAAGAGCCGGTGGACCATGATGTCGGCGTAACGCCTAATGGGTGACGTAAAATGGGTGTATATGGGTATGCTGAGGGCGAAATGGGTGTAGCTGACGTCGTCCTCCACTGCACCTGCGCAAAAGTAGCGCGCGCGTTTCATGGGTTTAGCGAGGAGGTGATTCAGCACGATCATGCGAGCTTGGCCTAAAATAGTAATCAAAAATTGATAATTGATAATTGTGTGTTGGTACAATCGCACGCAAATGTTTTGAGCCTATGGGCGGATCATTTTTGCCTGCCCTCACCGAAGAAGGCGGTCCAAATCCTTCAAGGGCAGAATTTGTAGGTAGGCTCAAACTACAACGAAATTTACATTTGGTAAGAAGTATTTATGGCTCACACCAGTTCTCTCAAATTTGTCGGAGAAGATTTAGCAGGTAGTTGTTCCCATAAAATAATGGTCACTTTCGTTCGTGAGTAACGATGGTACGGACAGGAATTATTTTGCTTTCTAACATCTTTCGACCAATTGTTCCGTATAAAAAATTTCATCACTTTTTCCAATAAAATACTCTTAAATGTTCATAATAAATAAATAAATAAATAAAAAACGATATTGTCGAGTGTCCCCTCTAAAAAATTTATGACGTCACCTCAAAATTTTGCAGAATAAATCCTATCTTAAATGTATAAAATATGATGAGTTTTTATACTTGTGATTTATCACTGCATTAATATTTTTTAGATTTGGTTATACAGGGTGTCTCAAAAAAGTTAATGACTGAGTCAATTTATTTTATTGAAGAAATCAAGAATAGCAAAATTGAATGCTTTGAAATATTGTGGATGTTTTGAAGTTTTTGTAAGCATGGTAACTTTTTCGAAAATTTGATTAATATGCGCAAAATCAAAAATCTGACAAAATGAAATTCACAAATGCAAAAAACAGAAAATCGAAAAATACGAATCGTAAAAATCAAAAAAATAAAATGGCTAATTTAAAAATCGAAAATTCAATGAATCAAATACCTAGGTCGATCGAAAAGTGGAAATTCACAAACCCCAAAAATCGAAAAATCGAAAATTGAAAACGGGAAAACCAAAAAATCGAAAAGTAATATTGAAAATTAAAAAAATCAAAAACAAAAATAAAAAAAATCGGAAATTAAAATAATCAATATATATGAAGTAGAAAAAATTGCAAAGCCTAAAAACTGAAACGAACAGAAAAATCGAAAAAGCGAAAAATTGGAAAAACAAAAATTCCAAAAATCTAAAATCGAAAAAGTGGAAAATCGAAAATCTGAATAAAGAAACTTGGAAATTCTGAAAATTGGAAAATCGAAAACCAAAAAATCGGGAAGTAACAAAATTGAAGTCTAACAGTTGAGAATAGAAAAATTGAAAAACCGAAAATTATAAAAATCGATAATGGACAAATTGAAAATCGCAAAATTAAATTAAAAAATTGAACATGGAAAAATCAATGAATTGAAAAATCGAAAATTCGACTACTCAAATTTTCTAAAAATCGAAAAATCATAAAACTGAAAAATCCAAAATTCTAATGATCGAAAGTCTGAAAACTGAAAATCGAAAATTCTGAAAAGCGGAAAATAGAATATCGAAAAATTTAAAAGAAAGAAAATTGAAGTCTAAAAACCGAAGAATGGAAAAATTAAAAACCAAAAATTCGAAAAATCAAAACCGAAAAATTCAAAGATTTAAAAACAAAATCGAAAAATCAAAAATCTGATAATTGAAACTCGAAAATTTGGAAAATCGAAAAGTAAAAAAATTGAAGTCTAAAAGCTGAAAAATGGAAAACTGAACAATCGAAAATTCGAAAATCAAATATCGAAAAATCGAAAATTTGATAAATCAGATACGCGAAAAACAGAAAATCTGAAAATACAAAACTGGAAAATCAAAAATCTAAAAATGGAAAAGCCGAAAATCGAAAATTCAATGAATCTAATACGTAGGTCGATCGAAAAACTGTAAATTCACAAATCTGAAAAATCGAAACTTTGCAAGATTGAAAAACCGAGAATTGAAAAATCAAAAAACCGAAAAATAGAAAAATCAAAAATCGAAAAATAGGGAAACCAAAAATTCGAAAATTCATAATATTGAAAACTCTAAAAGTCGACAATTCAAAAATCAAAAAATTGGAAAGTAAAATAATCGAAAAATCGAAAAGTAAACAAATTGCAAAGCCTAAAAACTGACGAACAGAAAAATCGAAAAATCGTAAAATCAAAAAGTGGAAAATCGAAAACTGGAAATTGAAAATTCGAAGATTGGAAAATCGAAAAATCGAAAATCGGAATATCGAGAATCGACAAATTAAAAAACCGAAAAATCGAAAAATTAAAAAATCGGAAATCGAAAAATGAAAAAAAAACAAAATTCAAAAATCGAATAATCCAAAACTAAAATAATAGAAAAGTGGAAAAGTAAAAATTGCAAAGTCTCAAAACTGATGAACAGAAAAATCGAAAAATCAAAAAAAATCGAAAAATATCTAAAAATGGAAAATCGGAAAATGGAAAAACCGAAAAATCGAAAATCGAAAACTCGAAAAATCGAAAATTCGATGAAACAAATACTCGAAAAAGCGAAAAGTAAAAAAAATTGCAAGGCCTAAAAATTGAAAAATCAAAAAATCGGAAAAATGAAAATCGAAAAAACGACGATCGTAAAAAAATAAAATCGAAAATGGAAAATCGGAAAGTAACAAAATTGAAATCTAAAAGCTGAAGAAGAGAAAATTCTAAAAAGCAACAATCGAAAAAAGCAAAATTAAAAATTGAAAATTTGAAAAATGGAAAATCGAAAACTCGAATATCGAGATTTTGAAAAATCGTAAAAATGATAATCGAAAAATCGAAATGCTCAAAAATCGAAAATTCGATTAATCAATATTCTAAAAATCGAAAAAACGGACACAAATCCACAAATCTGAAAAATCGAAAATCGAAAAATGAAAAATTAAAAAACTGAAAAATTGAAAAATCCCAAATCGAAAAATGGAAAAACCGAAAATTCAAAAATCAAACTATCGGAAAGTAAAATAATCGAAAAATGGAAAAATAAAACAAATTGCAGAACCATAAAAACTGAAACAAACAGAAAAATCTAAAAACCACAAAAGCGGAAAAACGAAAATCGAAAAATCGCAAATCGAAAAATCGTAAAATCAGAAAATGGAAAATCGAATAATCGAAAGTTGAAAAATCGAAGGTCGAAAAATAAAACAACCGAAAAATGAAAAATTTAATGATTAATGGAAAATCGAAAAATCGAGAATAGAAGAATTAAAAAACCGGAAAATTGAAAAATCGAGAATTCAAAAATCAAAAAAATCGGAAAGTAAAATATAATCGAAAAATGCAAAAAAATTGCCAAGTCTAAAAGTTGACGAACAGAAAAATCCAAAAATCTAAAAATGGAAAGACAAAAAATCGAAAATTGAAAGAATGGCAAATCAAAAAATCGAAACATCGAAAAATCAAAAAAACAAAAAATTAAAAAATCGAAAAACGAAAAAACTGAAAACTCGAAAATTCAAAATACCGCAAACTTGAAAAATCAGAAAATTGGAAAGTAATAAAATCGAAAAGTTGATAGAAAAATGGAAACTGAAAAATCTAATTCGATGAAACTGTTGGTCGAAAAAACGAAAAATCGAAAATCGAAGTGACCTTTTTTTGAGACAGGCTGTATAAGTAAATCTAAAAAATATTACTGCAATGATAAATCACAGGTATAGACTCATCATATCAAATTTTACGATGACGTCATGCATTTTTTGGTGAAGATAAGCAAATACATTTTGATCGTGGCTTTGAAAGTATTCTTCGACTTTCGTTCCATTTCAAAATTTACTCTTTGTATATTTCAGTGGTCACAACGAGTTCACTAACTACGCTGAAGTATGCAAAGATTAAATTTGTCACCGAAAAGATGTCGGAAGTAATAAATTATCCTATCGGTCGAAGAACGTTCGGTCCGGTCTTACACCTCGACCCAAGAGAGACCGCAGTAAAGGATAACAAATGGAACGGATAAAATAAAGCGTCAAATATGATTGATAAACTTTAAACCAAAATTATGAAGTTTATAAACTGAACATTTTTTTTGCTTTTTGAAATGTAATACACTTCAAAAAATGTCCGTGACTTACTTTAATGTGAATTTTATAAGTATGGTCGGCACAATTAGACCTAATATTAGTGTGATTTTGAGCATATTCTCGATGTTATTAGAGCAGGACAGGTTTTTTTTTTCTAACTAATTGACAAGATTTCTATGTATTCAGTTTTGCAATTCTTGATTTCTTCAATAGTCACCCTGTATGTATAAACGAATCCAAAAATATTAATGGAATGGTAAATCAAAAAGTATAGACTCATCATATTCTGAACATTTTAGATAGGGTATTTATAAAATTAAAACTAATTTAGGGTAAGAATTTGGTCAACACGTAAATTTCGTTGTAGTTTGAGCCTACCTACAAATTCTGCCCTTGGACGATTTAGACCGCCTCCTTCGGTGACGACAGGCAAAAATGATCCGCCCATAGGCTCAAAACATTTGCGTGCGATTGTACGAAGTACCTAAGTAATCGTCTCCGACGTATTTGTTAAGCGACGACTGGATTCCCCCCGAACTTGATATGTCAATATGCATCCCAATGGTCTCTAAATTCTTTTGAAGGTCGACCATCATGGTCGGTTTAGGCGCTTCGTGCAACCTAAGACAGACGCCATACTTTAAAACGAACCTTTCGACGTTCAAACCTCACCTCAAGAACGCCAAATCCGGCAGCTCGTCATTGATAAACCTAGCGACGCTCTGATTCGCCAACAACATAAACTCCTCGATCAAACGATTTGCCGCCTTCTGTTCGTGAATCCAGAACTCCTTCGGCTCCCCCGTCGCCGGATCCAACGAAAACCCGATCTTCACCTGGTCGATCTTCAACGACCCGTTCTGCCTTCTCTTCTCCCTCAAGCAAACCGCGATCTTCTGCAAGCTATTCACCACCTTGCTCAGATCCTCCCCCTTGAACCCGTTATGAATCTTCGGGAGTTCGTCCTCCTCGAACTTCTTCTCCGGTTCGTCGATCATCATCTGCGCATGCTCGTACGCCAGCTGCACGCACGAATTGATCACACTCCTCGTGATTCTTTGATTGACGATTTCGCCGTCTGGACTCAACTCCCAGATCACCGAAAACGACAATTTATCCTGACCAGGGAGGAGCGAACAGTGCAGACACAACTCCACGGGAAGCATGTGATAAACACTATCCACCATGTATATCGTGGTAGCTTTACTCTTCACCATCTCGTCTAACATCGTATCCTCCTTGAGAAAAAAAGACGCGTCGGAGATATGTACACCGACTTCGAAATTCCCGTTTGGGAGTTCTTTGCAGGACACTGCGTCGTCGAGGTCTCGCGCTGTCAAAGGGTCTATCGTGAAAACGCACTCCTTGCGAAAATCTTCCCTGTATTCGAATTCCTTCGCAGGGATATCACAGGTTTTCGGGAGGAATTGCTTCATGGTGTCGGGGAAAGGTGTCGGGTCTAGGCAGAATTCCCGCAGGATGGCTAAGGATTCGACTTTGAGGTCGCCGTTCATGCCTAGATTTTCGACGAGGGTGCCTAGGGCGTACTTGACTTCTTTCCAGTCGGAGATCTTCGCCAGGAAGAGGATGTCGCTGTAGAGTTTCGGGTCGGACTGGAATCCGCTCGGCCAGCTTATTTTAGGGATTTTCATTTTGGGGATTCGTTTGTCGCGTGGGGTGAACACTGCGAACTCTTTGTTTTTGTCGAGGGGTTGGAGGTAGCCAATGGCTGTGCGTGGATGGACCTAAAGACAGCAGAGGTCCAAGGTAACTACATATGAACTATCCAGAAGGTTAGATGTAATTTTGTTTCTATTCAGAATAAGATCATTCATTTCTACAGTTCGAATAAAATCAATCTCTGAAAAGGAGACAGGGTGGGTGGGCGGGGCTAATTATGTCATTCCGTCGAGTGGCAATGGAAACTAGTCTTTCTTAGCAAGTATTACAATTTAAAAAAAAAAATGATTATTATTGTCATTATCGTGTGCACTGGAAGTGCAACACGTTGCATGTTTTTATCAATGTCACTCAGATAACAATCACTTAAAAAAAACCTGTACATACAACAAACAAAGCGAAAATTTGTGTAACTTTTGAGTATATGGAAGATTATTACCAAACAAAAAATCAAATACCTTTTTTGTTATATGTATCACCTGGGTAACTAATCTTTCATCTTCTCTTTTATATTTCAAAAATAATACTACTTCATCTCCTTCTAAAGCTCGGTTTCTGTCGACCACTGAAGCAATGACGTAGTCAGGTTTTGAGGGATCTTTGTGTTCGACGAAAGCAAAATTATTAAAATTCACGTCTACTCGAAGAATTCCCTTCACGAACTCTCCGGTTTTTAACCCAAACTCTGCGCTTCGTCTTGAGATATATTTTGGATAAAATGCCCGCACATTCGTCATTGTACTACACTGAACTGCGTTTAATAAAGTTCACAATAGACGAAATGTTTAGAAAAAGATAACGAAAATTGATAAACAGGAGAAACAATGAAACTTTAAAAACCGTATTAAAGGGATCGTGACGACTTTCTCCGAAACGTATTTAACCCCTACAGTGGAATTTATATAGTATTATATTGAACGATAAAAAAAGTAAAATAAGAATGAGAAACGATATTGCAAACAAAACTCCGTTGCCAAGTTACCATTGATAGTAACTTTGATGTTTTAAGTTTTTTGTTACCGAAAGAAGTCTACACATAATAAGAAAACAAGGCAAAAGGTAGCCCCGCCCACCCGCCCTATCTCAATTGTGGTGATTTTTTTTATTCATCGTGAGCCAATGGGGCGGAGCTTAACTGCAAAATCGTGATTTCTCTACGAAAATTTAAAAACATGTTTTTGAGTGTCGTGTTCAGAGAATACTATGTACATTAAGAAAAAAATAAAGCCAAAGATTAAGCCCTACGCATTCCTGACCTGATTTAAATATGTAATGTTTAATTAAGATTTAATAATGTAATTGTTGGTAGACCTAGGGGCTAAGAATAAAAAAATCATCACAATTGAGATGGGGTGGGTGGGCGGGGTTTATATTTTGTCCTTTTTTTCTTAATATACTTAGTATTCTTTGAACAACACGATACTCAAAAATTGTTTTTAATTTTTTGTAAAGAAATAAGTATTTTGCAGTTAAGGTTGGTTCACGAAGAATAAAAAAAATCATCATAGTTGAGATAGGGCGGGTGGGCGGGTTTACATTTTGCCTTTTTGTTTTAATATGTGTAGACTCCTTTTCCCAATATGAAAATTAAAACATGTTTAAAATGGCAAATTTGTGTAAGGAAATATCGATTTCCAATTTTTCAAATCTTCAATTCTTTCATGTTTTAATTTTTCAATTTTTAAAATTTTAGATTTTTGGATTTCTCGATTTTTCAGTTCTTCGATATTTCTATTTTTCAATTTTTCGATTCTTAATTTTTCAATTTTTAGATTTTTCGACTCTTCGAGTTGATTTGTCGAGTTTTCCATTTTTCAGGTTTTTGATTTTTCAGTTTTATGATTTTTAAAAATTTTCCATTTTTCGACTACGATTTTTCGATTTCTGAATTTTTCAATGTTTTGAGATATTTTAATTTTTCAGTTCAATTTTTCTTCAATTATTCAGTTTTTCTGTATTTGTTTTTGGATTCTCCAATACTTTTAATTCTTCCATTTTTCGATTTCTCAATTTTTTAATTTTTAGATTTTGCAGTTTTTAGATTTTTCAGTTTTTGGATTTTTCAAGTTTTCAAATTTTCCGATTTCTCGATTTCTCAATTTTTGGATATTTCAGTGTGGCGAATTTAAATTTTTTGATTTTTCAAGTGTTCAATTTCGCGATTTTTTCATTTTTCGATTTTCCAATTTTCCGATATTTCAGTTTTACAATTTTTCAATTTTTCCATTCAATCTTTCAATTTTTCAATGTTTGATTTCACGACTTCTCGATTTTTCAATTTTTCAGGTTTTTGATTTTTCAGTTTTGATTTTTTTAAATTTTCGCTTTTTCAACCACGATATTTCGCTTTTTTGGTATCCCGATTTTTCATTTGTCGTTTTCTCAATTTTCGATTGTATCGATTTTAAGATTTTTCAATTTTTCGATTCTTAAATTTTTCCTCGATTTTTCAAATTTTCGATATTTCACTGTTGAGATTTTTCAATATTTAATTCCTCAATTTTTCGTTATTTTGACTTTTGATATCTGTATCTTCTTGCTTTTTCGATTTTTCAATTTTTATATGTTTCAGTTTTTCGTTTTTATTGTTTTGATTTCCTATTTTTTCAATTTTTCAATTTTTCAGTTTTCATGTTTTAATTTTTCAATTTTTAAAATTTTGGATTTTTGGATTTCTTAATTTTTCAGTTCTTCGATATTATTTTCTATTTTTCAATTTTTCGATTTTTAATTTTTCAAGTTTGGGCTATTTCGATTTCAATTTTTAGATTTTTCGACTCTTCGAGTTGATTTCTCGTCTTTTCCATTTTTCAGTTTTTCAATTTTTCAGGTTTTTGATTTTTCAGTTTTATGATTTTTAAAAATTTTCGATTTTTCGATTTCTCAATTTTTCGATATTTTAATTTTTCAAATCAATTTTTCTTCAATTATTCAGTTTTTTTGTATTTCAGTTTTGGGATTCTCCAATTTTAGATTTCTCAATTTTTCAATATTTCGATTGTGCAGTTTTTAGATTTTTCAGTTTTTGGATTTTTCAAGTTTTCAAATTTTCCGCTTTCCGATTTCTCGATTTCTCAAATTTTGGATATTTAAGTTTTGGGTTTTTTCAGTTTTTTCGTCGATTTTCAATTTTTCGATACATATTTCAGTGTTGCGATTTTTCAATTTTTTGATTCTGCAAGTGTTCCATTTCGCGATTTTTTCATTTTTCGATTTTCCAATTTTCCGATGTTTCAGTTTTACAATTTTTCAATTTGTCCATTCAATCTTTCAATTTTTCAATTTTTGATTTCACGACTTTTTTATTTTTCGACTACTCGATTTTTCAATTTTTCAGGTTTTTGATTTTTCAGTTCTGATTTTTTTTAAATTTTCGCTTTTTCAACCACGATTTTTTGCTTTTTTGGTATCTCGATTTTTCATTTATCCCTTTCTCAATTTTCGATTGTATCGGTTTTAAGATTTTTCAATTTTTCGATTCTTAAATGTTTCCTGGATTTTTCAAATTTTCGATATTTCACTGTTGAGATTTTTCCATATTTAATTCCTCAATTTTTCGTTATTTTGATTTTTCGTATCTGTATTTTCTTGCTTTTTCGGTTTTTCAATTTTTAGATTTTTCTGTTTTTCGTTTTTATTGTTTCGTTTTCCCATTTTTTCAATTTTTCAATTCTTCAATTCTTTCATGTTTTAATCTTTCAATTTTTAAAATTTTAGATTTTTGGATTTCTCGATTTTTCAGTTCTTCGATATTTCTATTTTTCAATTTTTCGATTCTTAATTTTTCAATTTTTAGATTTTTCGACTCTTCGAGTTGATTTCTCGAGTTTTCCATTTTTCAGATTTTTAATTTTTCAGTTTTATGATTTTTAAAAATTTTTCATTTTTCGACTACGATTTTTCAATTTCTGAATTTTTCGATGTTTTGAGATATTTTAATTTTTCAATTCAATTGTTCTTCAATTATTCAGTTTTTCTGTATTTCAGTTTTGGGATTCTCCAATATTTAATTCTTCCATTTTCCGACTTCTCAATTTTTTAATATTTCGATTTTGCAGTTTTTAGATTTTTCAGTTTTTGGATTTTTCAAGTCTTCAAATTTTCCGCTTTCCGATTTCTCGATTTCTCAATTTTTGGATATTTAAGTTTTGGGTTTTTTCAGTTTCTTCGTCGATTTTTCAATTTTCCGATTTTTGAGTTTTACAATTTTTCAATTTTTCCATTCAATCTTTCAATTTTTAATTTCACGACTTTTTTATTTCTCGACTTCTCGATTTTTCAATTTTTCAGGTTTTTGATTTTTCAGTTTTATGATTTTTTCAATTTTCGGTTTTTCGATTTCTCAAAAACTAAAAAATCGAAAAATTTAAAAATGGAAAGATTAAATAGTAAAATTGAATTTTTTTTACAATTTGTCGATTTAATATTTCCACTTTTAAATTTTTCGTTTTTTCAATTTTTCAAGTTTTTGATTTTTCAATTTTACAGGTTTTTGATTTTTCAGTTTTGATTTTTTTTAATTTTCGCTTTTTCAGCCACGATTTTTCACCTTTTTGATATCCTCGATTTTTCATTTGTCGCTTTCTCAATTTTCGATTGTATCGGTTTTAAGATTTTTCAATTTTTCGATTCTTAAATTTTTCCTCGATTTTTCGAATTTTACATATTTCACTGTTGGGATTTTTCAATATTTAATTCCTCAATTTTTCGTTATTTTGATTTTTCAGTTTTTCGTTTTTATTGTTTCGATTTCCCATTTTTTCAATTTTTCATTTCTTCAATTCTTTCATGTTTTAATTTTTCAATTTTTAAAATTTTAGATTTTTGGATTTCTCGATTTTTCACTTCTTCGATATTATTTTCTATTTTTCAATTTTTCGATTTATAATTTTTCAATTTTGGGCTATTTCGAATTCAATTTTTAGATTTTTCGACTCTGAGTTGATTTCTCGAGTTTTCCATTTTTCAGTTTATCAATTTTTCAGGTTTTTGATTTTTCAGTTTTATGATTTTTAAAAATGTTCGATTTTTCGATTTCTCAATTTTTCGGTTTTGAGATATTTTAATTTTTCAATTCAATTTTTCTTCAATTATTCAGTTTTTCTGTATTTCAGTTTTGGGATTCTCCAATACTTAATTCTTCCATTTTTCGATTTCTCAATTTTTTAATTATTCGATTTCGCAATTTTTAGATTTTACAGTTTTGGATTTTTCAAGTTTTCAAATTTTCCGCTTTCCGATTTCTCGTTTTCTCAATTATTGGATATTTAAATTTTGGGTTTTTTCAGTTTTTTCGTCGATTTTCAATTTTTCGATATTTCAGTGTTGCCATTTTTCAATTTTTTGATTTTGCAAATGTTCAATTTCGCGATTTTTTCAATTTTCGATTTTCCAATTTTCCGATGTTTCAGTTTTACAAGTTTTCAATTTTTCCATTCAATCTTTCAATTTTTCAGGTTTTGATTTCTCGACTTCTCGATTTTTCAATTTTTCAGGTTTTTGATTTTTCAGTTTTGATTTTTTTAAATTTTCGCTTTTCAACCACGATTTTTCGCTTTTTTGGTATCTCCATTTTTCATTTATCCCTTTCTCAATTTTCGATTGTATCGGTTTTAAGATTTTTCAATTTTTCGATTCTTAAATGTTTCCTCGATTTTTCAAATTTTCGAGATTTCACTGTTGAGATTTTTCAATATTTAATTCCTCAATTTTTCGTTATTTTGATTTTTAATATCTGTATTTTCTTGCTTTTTCGATTTTTCAATTCTTTCATGTTTTGATTTTTCAATTTTTAAAATTTTAGATTTTTGGATTTCTCGATTTTTCAGTTCTTCGATATGTCTCTTTTTCAATTTTTCGATTTTTAATTTTTAAATTTTTAGATTTTTCGATTCTTCGAGTTGATTTATCGAGTTTTCCATTTTTCAGGTTTTTGATTTTTCAGTTTTATGATTTTTAAAAATTTTCGATTTTTCGACTACGATTTTTCGATTTCTCAATTTTTCGATGTTTCGCTTTTGAGATTTTTTAAATTTTCAATTCAATTTTTCTTCATTTATTCAGTTTTTCTGTATTTCCGATTTCTCGATTTCTCAATTTTTGGCTATTTAAGTTTTTCGATATTTCAGCGTTGCGATTTTTCAATTTTTTGATTCAGCAAGTGTTCAATTTCGCGATTTTTTCATTTTTCGATTTTCCAATTTTCCGATGTTTCAGTTTTACAATTTTTCAATTTTTCCATTAAATTTTTCAATTTTTGACTTCACAACTTTTTTATTTCTCGATTTTTCAATTTTTCAGGTTTTTGATTTTTCAGTTTTATGATTTTTTAAATTTTCGGTTTTTCCACTACGATTTTTAATAACGATTTTACAATTAAATTCCGCTCCTTTGACTCTCGACGATTACAAATAAATCATCACAATTGAAATAGGGCGGGTGGGCGGGATTATATTTTGCCTTTTTTCATAATATACGTAGTCGCCCTTTCAGAACAAGAAACTTAATAAATAGTAAATTCTTCCAGACAAATATGAATCTTTTAATTAAACCCCGCCCCTCGATCTGACAACGAATGAGAACTGAGGTCGGGACGCGTATGGCTGGGAACTAATCTTGGACTTTATTTTTTTCTGGATATACATAATAATATTCTTTGTACAACACGATACTCTAAAACATGTTTTTAATTTCTCGTAGAGAAATAAGGATTTTGCAGTTAAGCTCCGCCCCCTTGGCTCACGATGAATAAAAAAAATCATCACAATCGAGACAGGGCGGGTGGGCGGGGCTTATATTTTGCCTTTTGTTTTTAATATAAATAGCCATCTTTTCACAAAAAAAAAACTTAAAACATGGTTAAAATGGTACTTGCAAGAAAATATGGATCTTGCAATTATGGGACGGAACAAAATATTAGCCCCGCCCACCCGCCCTGTCTCGATTGTGATGATTTTTTTTATTCATCGTGAGCCGAGGGGGCGGAGCTTAACTACAAAATCCTTATTTCTCTACGGGAAATTAAAAACATGTTTTTAAGTATCGTATTGTTCAAAATATACTATGTATATTAAGATAAAATTAAAGCCAACGATTAAGTCCCCGATCCGCATATGTAGTAATGAAGTTTTCATTCGTTCATTTTCATAAATCCAAAATATACTATTTTAAAGGTGTTTTAAGTTCCTAAGAATAAAAGAAATAATGACAATTCAGATGGGGTGGGAGGACGGGATATATATTTTATTTTGCAGTTAAGCTCCGCCCCTTGTTTCACGGCGAATAAAAAAAATCATCACAATGGAGATAGGGTGGGTGGGCGGGCATACTTTTTATCTTTTTGTTTTAATGTGTGTAAACTTCTTTTCAGAACATGAAACTTAAAACATGTTTAAAATGGAAAATTTGTATAAGGAAATATCGATTTTGCAATTAGCCTTCGCCCCGTAATTGCAAAATCCATATTAAAATGGCTACGTATATTAAGAAATACAAGGCAAAATATAAGCCCCGCCCACCCACCTTATCTCAATTGTGATGATTTTTTGTATTCGTCGTGAGTCAAGAAGGTGGAACTTGACTGCAAAATCTTTATTTCTCTACGAGAAATTAAAAAAATGTTTTCGAGTATCGTGCTCTTCAAAAAATACTATGTATATCAAGGAAAAAACAAGTCAAAAATTAAGCCCCACCCATATCCATCCCAAGCTCAATTTTTATGAATTTTTCATTCGTTGTCAGACCGAGAGGCGGAGCCTAATTGCAAAATCGAGACTTTACCGATACCTTCGCGGCGTATTTATCTCACAACGGCAACGTCAACGCGAAAAAATAGGAACGGCAGACAGACAGACAGGCAGACAGACAGACAGACAGACAGAGAGACAGAAATCCTGGAGGACAAAAAAACCTGAAAAAAATTGCTCTCACCCTTCTTGTTATATAAACAACCTCCATGAGCTTCTTCCCTTCCGACTCAGTTTTCAACCTCAAAACCACCTCATCGCCATCCAGCGCCCGATTTCTATCCAAAACCGACCCGATCACATAATCCGTCTTCGTCGTGTCCTCGTTCCCCACATACGACTCCTTAAAATTCTTCGGATTAATCCTTATGCTCCCCTTCATCAGCTCTCCCTTTTCAAGCCCCACCCCAACCTCCTCCTCCGTCAAATACTTAGGAAAAACCGCCTGCTTCTTCTTCTTTTTCTTCACAGCCCGGTTCGACAGACTCCTATCGCTCGCCTTCTTCGCCGGACTAGACTTACTACTCCCGGGCACGCAGAACCCATTCACCGTCAAATTCTCAATCCGCTTCAATATACTTAGACTAGAATCACAACCAGAAGTTCCTGTTTGAAAGACGCAAGGAATAGCCCCATTGTGGATGAAAGACTTCAAGTTGATGGGTCCGAAGGACTTGTCGCGCGCTTTGTAGGAAACCCCCAGGCGCTCCTTCACGGCTTGAATGACGAAATTGGGGGTGAACGGCGAACACTCCGCGGTCGTGTCGTCCTCGGCGACTTCGTTCACCTTTTTCGCTTTGCTTCTGGGTTTACGTCTCGTTCGCTTCTTTTTCTTCGCTTCGGTGGCGTCGACTGAGTCGTGCGGTTCTACCGTGTTGGATGAACTTGGTCCCGGAGAATTTGCCATTTCTTTAATTTTTTTTATTGATGAACGAATGTTTAAAAAAATGTTGTGAAATATTCATAGAATACCCTCCCTGGAAATATTGCTAAACGTCACATTTTTTTCAACTGTCGGAAAAAGTGGGGTTATGTTTGGGGAAGTGTCACTTGTCGTTTGTGGATGGGTGGCGCGAAATTCAAACTCGGTTTGGTCAAAGAAATTTATTTCAAGAAATAAAACTAAATAAAAATGTTACGTTGAATTTTCGCACATTTGGTCGAATAAACACTCGCTGTCGGTGTCGTAATAGTCCATGAATTGCGTCATAGTGCATAAATCGCTGTCTGCACAACTAGGTAGCCGGACTATGTGTTCTTGATGAAGAGTTAGAATTTTTGGTTCATCTTGACAGCTGCACAAAATTAATCAGTCGAGTTAATGACAGCTAAATCCACTTACTCAAATAAAACAAACACCAAATTTGTTCCAAAAGAGTCAATTTGGCTGACCCTCCAAGTCCTATTGCCATTTAGGTGAAAGTCATCAGCAATCAAATGCTTTTTTTGTTTATACAGACCCATGTGGGCCAACATTTTCAATAGAGTTCCGGAATGGGTGAAGTATATTGTTGATTTGGGGAATGTTTCATTACTAAAAACAATTATGTACATATTTCAGACAATGTTTAATTTTAGTAAACACCTTTGGAAAAACTCTACCAAGTCATTTAGCGCCTTACAAGCTTGTCCATACGTCAATTCATGCCCATACCCATCTATCCAATAATACTTCAAATCTTCACCATACTCCACCACCTTAAAATCATCCATACTGAGGGCTGAGCACCAAGGCGACCTTTTTCTTTTATTCCACGCAGTTTCATAGGCACAGGTCATGTACATAGCGTGAACATCACCTAAATCCACAAACACAAAACAACTTTCAAAAAAAAAAAAAAATTGACACTTACTCAAATCAATTTCATCTGTAAGCCCCAAACGTTCATTGACCGCCTTAACCGTTTTTGCCGCCTCCTCGCCACTATGGAACTTCTTCATTTCTGCTTGAGCCTCAGGATTCTTCTTCACTTCTTTAGTCCACTTCTCACACAATTTATAAAACTAAATTTCTGTTTTAAATGGATTTAAACTCTCTCATGATCTGATTTACCCTTAAAACTGGATCCTTCTTCACTGGCTCTGGAAACTCTATGTCTCTCACTGCACCTCTGCCAAACAGACCAGCGGCAAACGCTTCAGCACTCTTCTTTGTCCTTTGTGAATGAGTATATTTAAACTGGATTAAATTAGCTTCAATACACAACTAAATCAAGTCCTTACTTTATATAAAGTGCTGCTGTAAATGTTGGTCATTAGTTTAGGAAAGCGATTTTGCAGCCTTTCCGCTAAAAAAAGCATTTCCTCTTCACCCTCATGAGTGAGTTTTTTTTCATCTTTGTCGCGTAATTTAGGGGTCCAGGAGCGGAATAAATCCAAATCTATGTTGCTGATTTCATCTACAAATCCAGTGCAAACAAACGCTATTTTGTAATTTTTATATACCTGTTCCTTCTGGTAAATTCTCCAAGATTAATTCTTTGATCTCGGCAAGTCTAGTTCTCATCTTTTGAATGAGAGCGAGGCTAGGGTTTCTGGTCCCGTGTCTGATTAAAGCCCATAATTTGACAGCTTGACAACCTAAGAAATTTTAACTAAAAATGAGCCCTACGCGCTTGATATTCATACCGTCGTATTTTATTTCGCTGGAATTGTAATTCGCCACCGTTCTGTACGCCGTTTTGGTTCCTAAGTGGCTTTCGTATTCGTTTTTGGGGCACTGGAAGCTGGTACAAACACACAGGAAGAACACAAAAAAGGGTACAAAAGGTCGATTGGGGGACATCGCGCTAAAATTTGGCACCGATTTCGCTTGTGATTAGCAAATCACTGCTGCGAATTAGTGATTTAAGTACATTTTATGGTAAAATTGAGGTTAAAGTTCCGTTGTATAACCTAGAAAAATGACAGCTGCTGTCACATGTTCGATGTTTTCGATGGTGTACAGACGAGCGCATACGTAATGACTTGTGTACGGTTCCATTCCAAAATAATGCAGCCAGTAATTATTACACATTTGTTATACTGTTTCCTTCACTTTAATTCACTTCACACGAAATTACAGTTCGTCGTCTGAGAACTTGTTTGATCTACAGACCAGAACGCACTCAGGCCAATGTCAGCCATAATTTCTTGCTGTTTCAACTTTCGAATTCTCAGTTTTTCGAAATTTTAGTTTGGGGACTGTTGAGTTTACTCCTATTTATTATTCAATTTTTGGATTTTACAATTTCTCAATTTTTCAGTTTCTCGGTTTTCAGTTTTTCTCTTCAATTTTACGATTTTTAAATATTGCCATTTTTCAGGTTTTTTGGTTTTTCAATTTTTCTATTTTTTCAGGTTTCGATTTTTCAACTTCACTTTTTTGATTTTTCGATTTCTCAATTTTTTAATTTTTTAATTTCTCAGTTTTTGGACATTTTAGTTTTGGGATTTTTCAGTTTACTTGTTACTCAATTTTTCGATCTTACGATTTTGCAGGTTTTTGATTTTTCAATTTTTCGATTTTTTTAAGGTTTCGATATTTCGACTTCACTTTTTTGATTTTTCGATTTCCCAGTTTGGATTCTCAGTTTTTGGATATTTCAGTTTTGGGATTTTTCAATTTTTCGATTCGTCAGTTTTTCTTTCATTTTTCACTTCTTCGATATTTCAGTTTTGGGATTTTTCAATATTTCGATTTTTCGACTTCACTTTTTGGATTTTGCGATTGCTCAATTTTTCGACTTTTTAGGTTTTCAGTTTTTGGATTTTTCAGGTTTTTAATTTTTCAGTTTTCCTTTCATTTTTCAGTTTTTCAATATTTCGATTCTTCAACTTTTCGATGTGTCGATTTTTTTACTTTTTCGATTTTTAAATTGTAGATTTTTTAACTTTTAAAATTTTATATTTTTCGATTTCTCGATTTTTCATTTCAGTTCTTCGATATTTCAATTTTCCAAGTTTTCGAATTTTTCAAATGTTTCGATTTTTTAACCCTTTGATTTTTCGACTTCCCGGTTTTAGATTTTCTGTTTTTCAATTGTCATTTTGTCAAAATTTCGATTTTTTAATTTTTCAAATTTGACTTTTATAAACTCTCAATTTTTCGATTTTTCAATTAATCGATGTTTTGATTTTCCCTTTTCTTGACCTTCGAGTGTTTTGATTTTTCTGCTCTTCAATTCTTTAATTTTTCTATTTTCGGGTTTTCGATTTTTCATTTTTTAGTTTTTTTAAGGTTTCGATTTTTCGACTTCACTTTTTGGATTTTTCGATTGCTCAATTTTTCGACTTTTTAGGTTCTCAGCTTTTTGATATTTCAGTTTTCGCATTTTTCAGTTTTTCTTTCATTTTTCAGTTTTTCCTGGATTTTTCGATGTGTCGATTTTTTTTACTTTTTCGATTTTTAAAGTTTAGATTTCTCAATTTTTGGGTATTTTAATTTTTCAGTACTTCAAATTTTAGATTTTTTTTTATTTTTCGATTTCTCGATTTTTCATTTCTTCAATATTTCTATTTTTCAAATGTTTCGATTTCTTAATCTATCAATTTTTCGACTATCCGGTTTTAGATTTTCTGTTTTTTCAATTGTCTTTTTTTCAAATTTTCGATTTTTCAATTAATCGATGTTTTGATTTTCCCATTTCTTGACTTTCGAAGGTTTCGATATTCCTGTTCTTCAATTCTTTAATTTCTCCATTTTTCAGGTTTTTGATTTTTCATTTTTTAGTTTTCTTAAGGTTTAGATTTTTCGACTTCACTTTTTGGATTTTTCGATTGCTCAATTTTTCGACTTTTTAGGTTCTCAGCTTTTGGATATTTCAGTTTTCGCATTTTTCAGTTTTTCTTTCATTTTTCAGTTTTTCCTGGATTTTTTGATGTGTCGATTTTTTTACTTTTTCGATTTTTAAATTTTAGATTTTTTAACTTAAGATTTTAGATTTTTCGATTTCTCAATTTTTCATTTGTTCTTCGATATTTGAATTTTTCAAGTTTTCGAATTTTTCAAATGTTTCGATTTCTTAATCATTTGATTTTTCGACTTCCTAGTTTTAGATTTTCTGTTTTTCATTTGTCATTTTGTCAAATTTTCGATTTTTTAATTTTTCAAATTTGACTTTTATAAACTCTCGATTTTTCAGTTAATCGATGTTTTGATTTTCCCATTTCTTGACCTTCAAGTGTTTCGATTTTCCTGTTCTTCAATTCTTTAATTTTTTGATTTTTCAGGTTCTTGATTTTTCAATTTTTCAGTTTTAGGATTTTTCAATATTTCAGTTTTTCGGCTTTTCCATTTTTGATTTCTGTATTTTTTGATGTATTCCCTTTTTATTTTATCGATTTTTCAATGTTTGAATTTTTAAATTTTAGATTTTTTAATTTTTAAAATTTAAGATTTTTCGATTTCTCGATTTTTCATTTCAGTTCTTCGATATTTGAATTTTTCAAGTTTTAGAATTTTCCAAATGTTTCGATTTCTTAATCTATCAATTTTTCGACTTCCCGGTTTGAGATTTTCTGTTTTTTCAATTGTCATTTTTTCAAATTTTCGATTTTTTAATTTTTCAATTTTCGATTCGTCAGTTTTTCTTTCATTTTTCAGTTTTTCAATGTCTCAGTTTTGGCATTTTTCAATATTTCTTTTCTTCGACTTTTCCATTTTTGACTTCTGGATTTTTTGGTGTGTCGACTTTTTACTTTTTCGATTTTTAAATTTTAGATTTCTCGTCTTTTTGGTATTTTAATTTTTTAATATTTAAAATTTTAGATTTTTCGATTTCTCGATTTTTCATTTCAGCTCTTCCATATTTCAATTTTTCAAATGTTTCGATTTCTTAATCTTTTGATTTTTCGATTTCCCGGTTTTAGATTTTCTGTTTTTCAATTGTCCTTTTTTAAAATTTTCGATTTTTCAATTTTTTAAATTTGACATTTATAAACTCAATTTTTCGATTTTTCAATTAATCGATGTTTTGATTTTCCCATTTCTTAGCTTTCGGGGGTTTCGATATTCCTGTTCTTCAATTCTTTAGTTTTTCGATTTTTCAGGTTTTTGATTTTTCATTTTTTAGTTTTTTTAAGGTTTCGATTTTTCGACTTCACTTTTTGGATTTTTCGATTGCTCAATTTTTCGACTTTTTAGGTTCTCAGTTCTTGGATATTTCAGTTTTCAGATTTTTGACTTCTGGATTTTTCGATATGTCGATTTTTTTACTTTTTCGATTTTTAAATTTTAGATTTTTTAACTTTTAAAATTTTAGATTTTTCGATTTCTAGATTTTTCATTTCAGTTCTTCGATATTTCAGTTTTTCATTTCTTCAATATTTCTATTTTTCAAATGTTTCGATTTCTTAATCTTTTGATTTTTCGACTTCCCGGTTTTAGATTTTCTGTTTTTCAGTTGTCATTTTGTCAAATTTTCGATTTTTTTATTTTTCAAATTTGACTTTTGTAAACTCTTAATTTTTTGATTTTTCAATTAACCGATGTTTTGATTTTCCCATTTCTTGACCTTTGAGTGTTTCGATTTTTCTGTTCTTCAATTCTTTAATCTTTTGATTTTTCTATTTTTCGAATTCACTTTTTTGATATTTCGATTTTTCAGTTTTAGGATTTTTCAATATTTCAATTCTTCGGCTTTTCTATTTTTGACTTCTGGATTTTTCGATGTGTCTACCTTTTTATTTTTTCGATTTTTCAATTTTTGGATTTTTAAAATTTTTGATTTTGATATTTTAATTTTTCAATATTTATTAATCTTTCGATTTTTCGACTTCCTGGTTTTAGATGTTCTGTTTTTCGATTTTTCGATTTGTTAATTTTTCGTTTCCGATTTATCGAGATTTGATTGTTCAGGTTTTCGATTTATCAATTTTTCAATTTTTTATTTTGGCCTAAATTTTTCCAATTTTCCATTTTTTCGTTTTTGATTTTTCCACTTTTCCAATTTCTCAACTTTTAACTTTTTATTTGTGGATTTCTCTATTTTTCGACTTCCTCACTTCTCGATTTCTCGTTCTTTTAATCTTTCAATCTCTCAATTTTTCAATTTTTCGAATTTTTAATTTTTTTGTTTTCTCGATTTATCGAGATTTGGATTTTTCGATATTTTGATTGTCAATTTCTCAAATTATAATTGTTCAATTTTTAACTTTTCGAGTTTTCGATTTTGGCCTATTTCGGTTTCTCAATTGTTCGATTTTTCGACTCCACGATTTCTTGATCTTTTGATTTTTTCATTTCTTAATATATATTTCGATTTTTCAAGTTTTCGAATTTTTCAAAGGTTTTGATTTCTTAATCTAACGATTTTTCGACTTTCCGGTTTTAGATTTTCTATTTTTCAATTGTCGTTTTTTCAAATTTTCTATTTTTCAGTTTTTCGATTTTTCAATTAATCGATGTTTTGATTTTCCCATTTTTTGACTTTCGAGGGTTTCGATATTCCTGTTCTTCAATTCTTTAATTTTTCGATTTTTCATTTTTTAGTTTTTTTAAGGTTTCGATTTTTCGACTTCACTTTTTGGATTTTTCAATTGCTCAATTTTTCGACTTTTTAGGTTCTTAGTTTTCGGATTTTTCAGGTTTTCAATATTTCGAGTCTTCGACTTCGATTTTTGACTTCCGGATTTTTCGATGTGTCGATTTTTCTACTTTTTTGATTTTTAAATCTTAGATTTTTTAACTTTTAAAATTTTAGATTTTTCGATTTAGATTTTTCAATTTCTCGATTTTTCATTTCTTCAATATTTCTATTTTTCAAATGTTTCGATTTCTTAATCTTTCGATTTTTCGACTTCCCGGTTTTAGATTTTCTGTTTTTCAATTGTCATTTTGTCAAATTTTCGATTTTTTAATTTTTCAAATTTGACTTTCATAAACTCGCAATTTTTCGATTTTTTCAGGTTTTTGATTTTTCAATTTTTCGATTTTGTAAGGTTTCTATTTTTCGACTTCACTTTTTTTATTTTTCGATTTTTCAGTTTTTAGATATTTCAGTATTAGGATTTTTCAATATTTAAATTCTTGGGCTTTTCTATTTTTGACTTCTGGATTTTTCGATGTGTCTACTTTTTTATTTTTTCGATTTTTCAATTTTTGGATTTTTCAATTTTAGATTTTTCAATCTTTTGATATTTCAATTTTTCAATATTTCTTAATCTTTCGATTTTTCGACTTCCTGGTTTTAAATGTACTCTTTTTCAATTTTTCGTTTTGTTAATTTTTCATTCCCGATTTATCGAGATTAGATTGTTCAGGTTTTCGATTTATCAGTTTTTCAATTTTTTATTTAGGCCTATTTCGGTTTCTCAGTTTTTCCAGTTTTCCATTTTTTCGTTTTTTGATTTTTCCGCTTTTCCAATTTTTCAACTTTTAACTTTTAGTTTGTCGATTTCTCTATTTTTCCGAATTTTTAAGTTTTTTTAGATTTCTCGATTTTTCGAATTTTCGATTATTTTAATTTTTCATTTTTTTCTCACTGTTAATATCATACAGTGTATCGAAAACAACTACAAAAATTGTCACTAAAAACATTTAAAAATTCATACATAAAGAATTAATTCTTAGTTAAACAAAATATGTAAAATGATCTAAATATGTACCAAAAAAAACAAACCAAATCGCTTCTGAACGCTTAGAGTCGACATTGGCCTGAACGCGCTCTGGTCTGTAGATCAAACAAGTTCTCAGGCGACGAGTCGTAGCGAAACAAGTTTTTTTATTTATTTATAAGGGTGTTTTTGCAAAATCAGCCTGTATGTCGCATCTATATTAATCTATGCTTTTATTCTTGTAAAACTTTACAATTTGGTTTTCATGGCCTACACAAGTTGGCTTTCAAGCGATTGGACCTAGTCGCTTTCGTTAACTTGACTTTAACCACACTAAACACATCCACAACTAACGACGTTTCCGGAAACCCAATACTCATTTTCCACATCGCTTTAGCGTTTCCTTCCACAACAACTTTATCAGATTTCCACTCCCACGTTTCGTCAAAAGTCTGCAACAAAATCGTACATAAATAAGTAAAATTTCACAAATACAAAATCGCACGTTTGCGTAAACCCGAAGCGAACGTCCCGTGCGGAAAACGACGACATCGAAACAGTCCTTTTTCACGTTATACACAACTGCTTCTTCTATAAACGGTTGGTGGCTTTCAACGAAATGAGCCAAGTATAAATCAAAACTAGCGTCAGCTGCTTTTTCAGCTCGAAGCTCCTGCCCGTTACAAATGTTCGCAATGTCTGAAATTTCGGGCACTTTTAGTCTGAAATGTTTCCTGTATTGTAAACTGGTTGCTAAAAGACGGTGTGTTACGATGTCGGCGTATCTTCTTATAGGCGACGTGAAGTGGGTGTATATTGGAAAACCGAGACTGAAATGTTCAAAGGAGGCATTCTTGGAAGTTCCACTACATATGTACTTTTTTTTGTGCATGCACTTGCCGACGAGACGGTTGAGGACCACTGCGAAAGCGTCATCTACAAATAAAAATTTTAAGAAAATAATCTATATGGCGTTTGAAAAGTAAACCGATGTTGTATTTGTCGATGGATTCCTGGATTTTCTTAGACGACGAAACTTCAATATGGATTCCCAAGGACTGTAAATTTTTTTTTAGACGAGTTATTTTGGCAATGTTTGGTGGTTCATGCACTCTAAATAAACAAATAATAATAATAATAATAATAATAAAAAAATAGATCGTAAAAATCGCACGCAAATGTTTTGAGCCTATGGGCGGATCATTTTTGGCGGTCGTCACCGAAGGAGGCGGTCCAAATCGTCCAAGGGCAGAATTTGTAGGTAGGCTCAAACCACAACGAAATTTACGTGTTGACCAAATTCTTACCCTGAATTAGTTTTAATTTTATAAATACTTACTCTGAATTAGTTTTAATTTTATAAATACCCTATCTAAAATGTTCAGAATATGATGAGTCTATACTTGTGATTTACCATTCCATTAATATTTTTTGGATTTGTTTATACATACAGGGTGACTCAAAAAAAATAATGACTGAGTCAATTTATTTTATTGAAGAAATCAAGAATTGCAAAACTGAATACTTTGAAATCTTGTCAATTAGTTAGAAAAAAAAACCTGTCCTGCTTTAATAACATCGAGAATATGCTCAAAATCACATTAATATTAGGTCTAATTGTGACAACCATTGTTATAAAATTCACATTAAAGTAAGTCACGGACATTTTTTGAAAAGCAAAAAAAATGTTCAGTTTATAAACTTCATAATTTTGATTTAAAGTTTATCAAATCGAAGAATACTTTCAAAGCCACGATCAAAATGTATTTGCTTATCTTCGCCAAAAAATGCATGACGCCATCGTAAAATTTGATATGATGAGTCTATCCCTGTGATTTATCATTGCAGTAATATCTTTTAGATTTACTTATACAGCCTGTCTCAAAAAAGGTCACTTCGATTTTCGATTTTTCGTTTTTTCGACCAACAGTTTCATCGAATTAGATTTTTCAGTTTTCATTTTTCTATCAACTTTTCGATTTTATTACTTTCTAGTTTGCTGATTTTTCAAATTTGCGGTATTTTGATTTTTCGAGTTTTCAGTTTTTTCGTTTTTCGATTTTTTAATTTTTCGTTTTTTTGATTTTTCGATGTTTCGATTTTTTAATTTGCCATTCTTTCAATTTTCGACTTTTCGTCTTCCCATTTTTAGATTTTTTGATTTTTCTGTTTGTCAGTTTTTAGACTTTGCAGTTTTTTTGCATTTTTCGATCATATTTTACTTTCCAATTTTTTTGATTTTTGAATTCTCGATTTTACGTTTTTAATTCTTCGATTTCCGATTTTTCAATTTTCCGGTTTTTTAATTCTTCTATTCTCGATTTTTCGATTTTCCATTAATCATAAAATTTTTCGATTTTTCGGTTGTTTTATTTTTCGACCTTCGATTTTTCAACTTTCGATTATTCGATTTTCCATTTTCTGATTTTACGATTTTTTGATTTGCGATTTTTCGATTTTCATTTTTTCGATTTTTTGATTTTTCAATTTTTAGGCCTTGCAATTTTTTTACTTTTCGCTTTTTCGAGTATTTGTTTCATCGAATTTTCGATTTTTCGACTTTTCGATTTTCGATTTTTCGGTTTTTCCATTTTCCGATTTTCGATTTTTCGATTTTTCATGTTTAGATATTTTTCTATTTTTTTTTATTTTTCGATTGTTCTGTTCGTCAGTTTTGAGACTTTGCAATTTTTACTTTTCCACTTTTCTATTATTTTAGTTTCGGATTATTCGATTTTTTAATTTTCGTTTTTTTCTTCATTTTTCGATTTCCGATTTTTTAATTTTTCGATTTTTCGGCTTTTTAATTTGTCGATTCTCGATATTCCGATTTTCGATTTTTCGATTTTCCAATCTTCGATTTTTCAAATTCCAGTTTTCGATTTTCCACTTTTTGATTTTACGATTTTTCGATTTTTCTGTTCGTCAGTTTTTAGACTTTGCAATTTGTTTACTTTTTAATTGTCGACTTTTAGAGTTTTCAATATTATCAATTTTCGAATTTTCGGTTTTCCTATTTTTTGATTTTTGATGTTTCCATTTTTCGGTTTTTTGATTTTTCAATTCTCGGTTTTTCAATGTTGCAAATTTTCGATTTTTCAGATTTGTGAATTTCCAGTTTTTCGATCGATCTACGTATTAGATTAATTGAATTTTCGATTTTCGGTTTTTCCATTTTTAGATTTTTGATTTTCCAGTTTTATATTTTCAGATTTTCTGTTTTTCGCATATCTGATTTATCGAATTTTCGATTTTTCGGCTTTTCGATTTTTCGATATTTGATTTTCGAATTTTCGATAGTTCAGTTTTCCATTTTTCAGCTTTTAGACTTCAATTTTTTTACTTTTCGATTTTCCAAATTTTCGAGTTTCAATTTTCAGATTTTTGATTTTTCGATTTTCTTTTTAAATCTTTGAATTTTTCGGTTTTGATTTTCGAATTTTTGATTTTTAATTTTTCCATTCTTCGGCTTTTAGACTTCAATTTTCTTTCTTTTAAATTTTTCGATATTCTATTTTCCGCTTTTCAGAATTTTCGATTTTCAGTTTTCAGACTTTCGATGAATAGAATTTTGGATTTTTCAGTTTTATGATATTTTGATTTTTAGAAAATTTGAGTAGTCGAATTTTCGATTTTTCAATTCATCGATTTTTCTATGTTCAATTTTTCAATTTAAATTTTGCGATTTTCAATTTGTCCATTGTCGATTTTTAGAATTTTCGGTTTTTCAATCTTTCCATTCTCAACTGTTAGAATTTTGTTACTTTCCGATTTTTTGGTTTTCGATTTTCCAATTTTCAGAATTTCCAAGTTCTTTATTCAGATTTTCGATTTTCCACTTTTTCGATTTTAGATTTTTCGAATTTTTGTTTTTCCAATTTTTTGCTTTTTCGATTTTTCTGTTCGTTTCAGTTTTTAGACTCCAATTTTTTTTTACTTTATATATTTTGATTATTTTAATTTCCGATTTTTTTAATTTTTGTTTTTGATTTTTTTAATTTTCAATATTACAAATTTTTGAATTTTCGATTTTTTGGTTTTCCCGTTTTTCAATTTTCGATTTTTCGATTTTTGAGGTTTGTGAATTTCCACTTTTCGATCGACCTAGGTATTTGATTAATTGAATCTTCAATTTTTTGATTAGCCATTTTTAGATTTTCGATTTTTACGATTTGTATTTTTCGATTTTCTGTTTTTTGCATTAGTGAATTTAAAATCCTATCTTAAATGTATAAAATATGATGAGTTTTTATACTTGTGATTTATCACTGCATTAATATTTTTTAGATTTGGTTATACAGGGTGTCACAAAAAAGTTAATGACTGAGTCAATTTATTTTATTGAAGAAATCACGAATAGCAAAATTGAATGCTTTGAAATATTGTAGATGTTTTGAAGTTTTTCTAAGCATGGTAACTTTTTCGAAAATTTGATTAATATGCGCAAAATCAAAAATCTGAAAAAAGGAAATTCACAAATGCAAAAAACAGAAAATCGAAAAATACGAATCGTAAAAATCAAAAAATTAAAATGGCTAATTAAAAAATCGAAAATTCAATGAATCAAATACCTAGGTCAATCGAAAAGTGGAAATTCACAAACCCCAAAAAACGGGAAAACCAAAAAATCGAAAAGTAATATTGAAAATTAAAAAAATCAAAAACAAAAATAAAAAAAATCGGAAATTAAAATAATCAATATATATGAAGTAGAAAAAATTGCAAAGCCTAAAAACTGAAACGAACAGAAAAATCGAAAAAGCAAAAAATTGGAAAAACAAAAATTCGAAAAATCTAAAATCGAAAAAGTGGAAAATCGAAAATCTGAATAAAGAAACTTGGAAATTCTGAAAATTGGAAAATCGAAAACCAAAAAATCGGGAAGTAACAAAATTGAAGTCTAACAGTTGAGAATAGAAAAATTGAAAAACCGAAAATTATAAAAATCGACAATGGACAAATTGAAAATCGCAAAATTTAAATTGAAAAATTGAACATGGAAAAATCGATGAATTAAAAAATCGAAAATTCGACTACTCAAATTTTCTAAAAATCGAAAAATCATAAAACTGAAAAATCCAAAATTCTAATGATCGAAAGTCTGAAAACTGAAAATCGAAAATTCTGAAAAGCGGAAAATAGAATATCGAAAAATTTAAAAGAAAGAAAATTGAAGTCTAAAAACCGAAGAATGGAAAAATCAAAAATTCGAAAAATCAAAACCGAAAAATTCAAAGATTTAAAAAGAAAATCGAAAAATCAAAAATCTGATAATTGAAACTCGAAAATTTGGAAAATCGAAAAGTAAAAAAATTGAAGTCTAAAAGCTGAAAAATGGAAAACTGAACAATCGAAAATTCGAAAATCAAATATCGAAAAATCGAAAAACCGAAAAATCGAAAATTTGATAAATCAGATACGCGAAAAACAGAAAATCTGAAAATACAAAACTGGAAAATCAAAAATCTAAAAATGGAAAAGCCGAAAATCGAAAATTCAATGAATCTAATACGTAGGTCGATCGAAAAACTGTAAATTCACAAATCTGAAAAATCGAAACTTTGCAAGATTGAAAAACCGAGAATTGAAAAATCAAAAAACCGAAAAATGGAAAAATCAAAAATCGAAAAATAGGGAAACCGAAAATTCGAAAATTCATAATATTGAAAACTCTAATAGTCGACAATTCAAAAATCAAAAAATTGGAAAGTAAAATAATCGAAAAATCGAAAAGTAAACAAATTGCAAAGCCTAAGAACTGACGAACAGAAAAATCGAAAAATCGTAAAATCAAAAAGTGGAAAATCGAAAACTGGAAATTGAAAAATCGAAGATTGAAAAATCGAAACATCGAAAATCGGAATATCGAGAATCGATAAATTAAAAAACCGAAAAATCGAAAAATTAAAAAATCGGAAATCGAAAAATAAAAAAAAAACAAAATTCAAAAATCGAATAATCCAAAACTAAAATAATAGAAAAGTGGAAAAGTAAAAATTGCAAAGTCTCAAAACTGACGAACAGAAAAATCGAAAAATTAAAAAAAAATCGAAAAATATCTAAAAATGGAAAATCGGAAAATGGAAAAACCGAAAAATCGAAAACTCGAAAAATCGAAAATTCGATGAAACAAATACTCGAAAAAGCGAAAAGTAAAAAAAATTGCAAGGCCTAAAAATTAAAAAATCAAAAAATCGGAAAAATGAAAATCGAAAATGGAAAATCGGAAAGTAACAAAATTGAAATCTAAAAACTGAAGAAGGGAAAATTCTAAAAAGCAACAATCGAAAAAAGCAAAATTAAAAATTGAAAATTTGAAAAATGGAATATCGAGATTTTGAAAAATCGTAAAAATGATAATCGAAAAATCGAAATGCTCAAAAATCGAAAATTCGATTAATCAATATTCTAAAAATCGAAAAAACGGACACAAATCCACAAATCTGAAAAATCGAAAATCGAAATATGAAAAATTAAAAAACCGAAAAATTGAAAAATCCCAAATCGAAAAATGGAAAAACCGAAAATTCAAAAATCAAACTATCGGAAAGTAAAATAATCGAAAAATGGAAAAATAAAACAAATTGCAGAACCATAAAAACTGAAACAAACAGAAAAATCTAAAAACCACAAAAGCGGAAAAACGAAAATCGAAAAATCGCAAATCGAAAAATCGTAAAATCAGAAAATGGAAAATAGAATAATCGAAAGTTGAAAAATCGAAGGTCGAAAAATAAAACAACCGAAAAATGGAAAATTTAATGGTTAATGGAAAATCGAAAAATCGAGAATAGAAGAATTAAAAAACCGGAAAATTGAAAAATCGAGAATTCAAAAATCAAAAAAATCGGAAAGTAAAATATAATCGAAAAATGCAAAAAAATTGCCAAGTCTAAAAGCTGACGAACAGAAAAATCCAAAAATTTAAAAGTGGAAAGACGAAAAATCGAAAATTGAAAGAATGGCAAATCAAAAAATCGAAACATCGAAAAATCAAAAAAATGAAAAATTAAAAAATCGATAAACGAAAAAACTGAAAACTCGAAAATTCAAAATACCGCAAACTTGAAAAATCAGAAAATTGGAAAGTAATAAAATCGAAAAGTTGATAGAAAAATGGAAACTGAAAAATCTAATTCGATGAAACTGTTGGTCGAAAAATCGAAAAATCGAAAATCGAAGTGACCTTTTTTTGAGACAGGCTGTATAAGTAAATCTAAAAAATATTACTGCAATGATAAATCACAGGTATAGACTCATCATATCAAATTTTACGATGACGTCATGAATTTTTTGGCGAAGATAAGCAAATACATTTTGATCGTGGCTTTGAAAGTATTCTTCGACTTTCGTTCCATTTCAAAATTTACTCTTTGTATATTTCAGTGGTCACAACGAGTTCACTAACTACGCTGAAGTATGCAAAGATTAAATTTGTCACCGAAAAGATGTCGGAAGTAATAAATTATCCTATCGGTCGAAGAACGTTCGGTCCGGTGTTACACCTCGACCCAAGAGAGACCGCAGTAAAGGATAACAAATGGAACGGATAAAATAAAGCGTCAAATATGATTGATAAACTTTAAACCAAAATTATGAAGTTTATAAACTGAACATTTTTTTTGCTTTTTGAAATGTAATACACTTCAAAAAATGTCCGTGACTTACTTTAATGTGAATTTTATAACTATGGTCGGCACAATTAGACCTAATATTAGTGTGATTTTGAGCATATTCTCGATGTTATTAGAGCAGGACAGGTTTTTTTTTTCTAACTAATTGACAAGATTTCTATGTATTCAGTTTTGCAATTCTTGATTTCTTCAATAGTATGTATAAACAAATTTAATGGAATGGTAAATCAAAAAGTATAGACCCATCATATTCTGAACATTTTAGATAGGGTATTTATAAAATTAAAACTAATTCAGAGTAAGTATTTATAAAATTAAAACTAATTTAGGGTAAGAATTTGGTCAACACGTAAATTTCGTTGTAGTTTGAGCCTACCTACAAATTCTGCCCTTGGACGATTTGGACCGCCTCCTTCGGTGACGACAGGCAAAAATGATCCGCCCATAGGCTCAAAACATTTGCGTGCGATTGTACCTCAGGAGAGTTAACTGCGGAAAATAGTGATAGACCCTTTCTGCTACAGTAACATTGGTTAGAAGCATAAGCTCTTCTACTAGTTGCTGCGACGCAATGTATGCTTGTTTCACCAATTCAATAGGTTCTCCAGTCACTTGGTCAAGTCGAAACGTGACAGAAGGTGATTGTTTTCTCAAGCCATACTTTCTACGTCTTTCTTCTTTGCATTGTAGTGCAACTTTTTGAAGAGCATTCACCGCTTTGCTTAAATCTTGAGGTGTGAAGCCGTGATAAATCGGTGGAAGGGAGTTTCTATCAAAAATTGTGTTAGGAGCGTCTAGGAGCATCTGCGCATGCGTGTAAGTTAACTCAGCACAGGAGTTAATAACGCTTTTAGCACCTCGCTTACGCAGAACAATACCATCACGAGTTGTTTCATAAAATATAGAAAAAGTGAGTCTTTCTTTGTTTGGTTCTAAGGAACACAAAGAACACAAATCGTCGGGTAGCATATTGTACGAAGCGTTTACTAAGTAGACGCTTGTGGCTTTTGTTTTGACAGTCTCGTCCAATGCGGTGCCTTCTTTCAAATAGTGCGAAACGTCAGAAATGTGAACACCGATTTCGTAGTTCCCGTTCGGTAATTCGTGCCATGACAACGCATCGTCCATGTCCCTAGTGCCTGAATTATCTATAGTAAAAACGCATTTCATTCGCAAATCTTCTCTAGGTAGATCGGGTAAAAAGTGTGACGATAAACCGATACCACAGTAGGCGGTAAGGCAAAACTCTTTCAAAATTGCTAAATTTTCACACTTCAAGTTGCCAGAAACTCCTAAAACCTCTATAATGTTTCCTTGGGCTCGTTTAATTTTGATCCATTTCCATATCTGCGCAACGCATAAAACGTCCTTAAAGTGCTCTGGGTGTAAGTCGAAATTTTTGGGCCACTGCGACTTGTGGATGCTCATTTTCGGAACTCTTTTGTCTCTTGGTGAAAATAAAGCGAAGTTGGTGTTGTTTTCGACTGGTGTCAAAAAACCCACCGCTAGTCTTGATTGCACCTAAACTAACACATTAACAAAGACAAAAATTTGCTTTGTACGACTACCTTTTTGGAAATAAACACGACTTGGGGTCCTTTTTGATTTTCCGAATTATTCTCCTCCATTTGCAAAATTACTTCGTCTCCATCCAGGGCTCGATTTCTGTCAATAAACGAAGATATAACGTAGCAGGGTCCAGACGAGTTTTCCGTGGTGACGTATGACTGTTTTGTAAAATTGGGATTTATGCGTAGAATCCCTTTAATGAAGTGTCCTGTCCTCAAACCGTTGTTTGCTTCTTCTCGGGAGATGTAGTTTGGGTAACATTGTGCCAGCCCAGATTTCTTGTTGTTTGATTCGTCGTGTTTTTCTGTTTCTTCTTGTATTTTCTTTTTTTGTTTCGCAAAGTGCGTCATTTTGTACTTCACAGTCATAAAACACGCGACCAACTGATAGGGTTTTGATGTTCTCGCATACCCCATTGTCCATTTAAGGAAAGATAAAGCAAGAAATGAGTCAAATTATTTTTTATAGACCGATAAAAGAGATAAAAAGTAATCAAAGAAATTTTTCGAGATGCTAAACTTTATTGATAGAGTTACAAAAAATGGCAACATAGTGTTTGAGCTGATTGGTGTGGAGTGAGTGACTGACTTCAGCAAATGGACTTCCCGTGAATGTGCTTAATGACAGTCTAGAGTTTAATTACTAATCTCATCACGAATGAAGATACATCTATCTAAAAACGGGTAAAAAAATTAGCGGGGAATCCCAATTGTAGATATTCTGACCGCGCGATAAAAGATATATCATTATTTTGTTTACCTTTATCAGCAGAGATAACAGAGAGATAAGTGAACGGAAATTTGTTGCATATAACAGAATTTAGGTAATTCCAATTTTACAGTAAATAAAATATGTCATCTGCCAAAATCACTCTTATCGTAGCAGGTATTAGAAAACGGGTGGAGGCTAATATTAATTTTTTTTACGGAATCTTTTATAAGCAAGCACTGGCATTCCAAACTCCGTCTCAGATTATATTTTTTTGTAAAATAGAAAATTAAGTTTTTTCCTCTTGTGAAAACAATACCGAACGTCGCGCATTCGATTCCAAACTTGGCCTTTCGTTTTTTTCTCTCCTTTTCTCTTACATTGTGTATTATCATGTTTATGACGTCATACCAAATTTTTTATTGTTCAAATTACCCCACTTTCTCGAAAAGATGACAATACTCTTATAATGTAAAACCTTCTCAAGTGTCTTTTTTAAATGTGAAACATTCTCGGGGGTCCCAACTGTGTTTTGTGAAAATGTGAAACCTTCTTGGGGGCGCCAAATATCTTTTTTTTAAGGTGAAACCTTCTCGGGGGTCCCAATTGTATTTTTTTAAATTGTAAAACCTTTTCGCGGGCCCCAAATGTATATTTTTAAGAATGTGAAACCTTCTCGGAGGTCCCAACTGTCTTTTTTAAAAATGTAAAACCTTCTCGGGGACGCCAAATATATATTTTTTTAAATGTGAAACCTTCTCGGGGGTCAAAATTGTCTTTTTTAAAAATTAAAAACCTTCTCGGGGGTCCCAAGTGTCTTTTGTGAAAATGTAAAACCTTCTCGGGGGTGTCAAATGTCCAACTATCTTTTTTAAAAATGTAAAAGGACGAAAAGGACGAAAATGGATAATAAGGACGAAAAGGACGAAAAAGGACCAAACAGGATGAAAATAATGAAAAGGACGAAAAAGGACGAAAAGTAGGAAAGAGGACGAAAAAGGACGAGAAGGACGAAAAAGGACGAAAAGGACGTAAAAGGACTAAAAAGGACGAGAAGGACGTACACGGACGAAAAGGACGTAAAAGGTCTAAAAAGGACGAAAAGGATGAAAAAGAACGAAAAGGGATCAAAAGGACGAAAAAGGACCAAAAAGGACGAAAAGGACGGAAAAGGACGAAACGGACGAAAAAAGACGAAAAAGGATGAAAAGGACGAAGAAGGACGAAAAGTAAGAAAAAGAACGAAAAAGGACGAAAAGGACGAAAAAGGACTAAAAAGGACGAAAAGGACGGAAAAGACGAAAAAGGACGAAAAAGGACGAAAAAGGACGAAAAAGGACGAAAAAGGACGAAAAAGGATAATGAAGGCGAAAAAAGACGAAAATGGACGAAAAGGACGAAAATGACAAAAAAAACTTACAGGACGAAAAGGACGAAGAAGGGCGAAAGAGAACGACAAGGACGGAAAAGGAAGAAAAGCTGAACGACTAAACCTTATTTCTCCGGTACCTGAGATAGATCTTATTGGTATCAAAGTTCAAGGTAATAGTACTTTCACTTTCGTTGTGATATACATTCCGCCAGCATTACATGTTGATGCATACACTCAAATCTTTGAGTATATTGAAAGTGCCATTGATTTTTCAAATCCGGTTGTTATTGTAGGCGATTTTAATATACCTGAGTTAGTAGATTGTGCATCTGGCCGGAACTCGTCACACATCTTCAATATTTATTCTCACTTCATTTCCATGAATAATTTGAAACAACATAATTCAGTTTTAAACTCCAACAACAGAATCTTGGACATAGTTTTGACAACTGATGAAGTCTCAGCTGAAGTAACAAATAGCAATTTTCCATTAGTTCGTGAAGATGCTCACCACCCTTGCTTGGACATCAATTTATTTATCAAAGACCAATCAAGTAATCCATTTCCAAGAACATCGAACACAGTAAAATTTAATTTTCGTAAAGCAGATTTAGTAAGATTGTATAATGCCTTTATTGAAACTGACTGGTCAGAAGTTTTAGACACAGTGGATGTTGAGACAGCATGTTCTACTTTTTATGATATCAATCATAAATTATTAAATGTTTATGTTCCGAAGTGTTCGTCATCAGCGAAGACATATTACCCTCCCTGGTTCACAAAAACGATTATATCCAGCATTAAAGAAAAACACAGGCTATGGAATCTCTATAGGAAAAGTAAATTGTTAACTTACTTGGATAGAATAAGAATTCTAAAATGCGACATACGACGTAATATTCGGCAAGCTTATAAAGTCTTCATCAGTGAGGCTGAAAATTCACTTCATAATGACCCAAAGAAGTTTTGGTCATTCGTAAATAAAAGGAGGAAAACTACTTGTGTTCCCAGTTGCATGACAGCTGGTGATGGTGTTATAATATCTAATCCGCAAGACATAGTGAACGCATTTGCATCACAATTCGCAAGTGTTTACACCAATGACAACCATAAACCCTGTGTTGCATCAAGTTGTAATAAAATTAACTGTGAATACTGCGGAAGCTGCCGATGCTCTTTAGTAAGTGATAATCCTATTTGTGATAATTCCATCTGTGATAATTCTGTCTGTGATAACAATCTCATATTCAACCTGCCTGTGATTAATGACTGTGATATTTTAAAAGCTGCGAAAAAAATTAAACCAAATTTCGTTTGTGGTCCAGATGATATACCGGCATTTTTAGTGATTGATTGTCTTCAGTATTTGTTAAAACCTTTATGTCATATATACAACTTAATTTTAAAGTCGTCTATTTATCCACAAATGTGGAAAGTCTCTCGTGTATTTCCTGTGTTTAAAGCTGGTGACAAAGCTAACATTGTAAATTACAGACCGATAGCACTTATATCGAACTATGCTAAATTATTTGAATGTATTATGTCAGACTTCCTGTATACCCACTGTATTTCAACAATTGCCTTAGAACAGCATGGATTTATAAAAGGAAGATCCACTCTCACCAATTTATGTGAATTCACCGAATACGTATCCTTGGCTTTAGATAATCGCTTTCAAGTTGATGCCATATACACTGATTTATCCAAAGCTTTTGATAGAGTAGATCATTGCATATTGTTAAAAAAACTTGATACATTAGGAATATGTCATCAGCTAGTAATGATTTTTAGAAATCTCCTGTTTGGTAGGGAACAATTTGGTGAAATTCATGGAGTCCAGTCAACATTATTTCCTGTTAACAGCGGAGTTACTCAAGGCTCAAACCTAGGCCCGCTGTTATTTACTGTTTTCTTCAATGATGTCCTAAATGTTATTAGTTGTAGAGCGTTTATATATGCCGATGATTTAAAAATAGCTAAAGTAATAAAAACGAACAGAGATTGTTTAGTTTTACAAGATAATGTAGATAAATTAGCGCTGTGGTGTGAACAGAATAAGTTAAGCCTTAATAAAAAAAAATGTAGAAAAATTACATTCTCCAGGAAAGACACTAATTTTAATTTTTATTACAATATTAATGGAACTTTGCTAGAAAACTGTAATCAAATACGCGATTTAGGCATAATTGTAGACTCTGCATTGTCATTTGTTCCTCATATCATTGATATAACAAATTCAGCTATCAAAACACTTGGCTTCATCTGTAGAAATACTAAAGAATTTAATAATATTTTATGTATTAAACAGCTTTATTATAGTCTAGTTAGGTCAAAATTAGAATACTGTTCTATAATTTGGAGACCTCATCACCAAATTTATATTAATATTATAGAAAACGTTAACAGGAAATTTGCTAAGTATCTGTATTTTAAAATGTTCAACTGTTATCCTGTTAGTCATTGTAACCAAAGAGCTCTTCTTAATATAGTGAATGAAAATTTTCTAGAGTATAGACGAAATATTGCTTGTTTTGTATTTTTGCAGAAATTGGTGCGTGGTGATATATTCTGTCCAGCGTTACTAAATAATATTAACTTTTGTGTTCCTCGTTTATTGTGCAGAAATCCATCCACTTTTTACTATCAAATTCCAAATTCTTATCATCACTTTAATAGCCCCTTAATTACATGTTTGATTAGACTTTATAATAACTGTACTTTAGACGATAGCATTGATATTTTTCACGCTAATTTTAATAAAGCATCTTTCAAAAAAAAGTTATTAGCACGATATGCACAATAATATATGTACATAATATTTGTTCTGATGTTAGATTTAATTTTTTTTTTTTTAGATTTTTTTTAAATTGTAAGTTTAGTTTAAGCTGAATTTAATGTCTTTTTGTGTATACATGTCCACCATAGACTAACGTCTGTTGGAATGAATAAACGTATTATTATTATTATTATTAAAAAGGACGAAAAGCCTTCTCGAGGGCGCAAAATTTCCTTTGTGAAAATGTAAAATCTCGTCGGGGGCGTCAAATAACCAACTGTCGATGTCGTTTTTAAAAATGTAAACGGACGAAAAGGACGAAAAAAGACGAAAAGGACGAAAATGGATAATAAGGACGAAAAGAACGGAAAGGACGAAAAAGGACCACATAGGACGAAAAAGAATAATAAGGACGAAAAAAAACGAAAAATGACCAAAAAGGACGAAAAGGACGAAAAGGACGACAAGGACGAAAAACGATGAAAAAGACGAAAAAGGACGAAAAATGACCGAAAGGGCGAAAAAGGACGAAAAGGACGAGAAGGACAAAAAAAGACGAAAAAGGACGAAATGGACGAACAGGAGGAAAAAGGACGAAAAAAGACGAAAAGGTCGAAAAGGACGAAAAATGTCCAAAAAGGACAAAAAAGGACGAAAAGTAGGAAAGAGGACGAAAAAGGACGAAAAGGACAAAAAAGGACGAGAAGCAGGAAAAAGAACTAAAAAGGACGAAGAAGAACAAAAAGGACATTGAGAATAATAAGGACGAAAAAGGACCTAAAGGACGAAACATGACCAAATAGGACGAAAAGGACATCAAGGACGAAAAAGGACGAAAAGTAGGAAAAAGGACAAAAAAGGACGAAAAGGACGAAAAAGACGAAAAACGACGAAAAAGACGAAAAAGACGAAAAAGGACGAAAAATGACCGAAAAGGACGAACAGGAGAAAAAAGGACGAAAAAAGACGAAAAGGTCGAAAAGGACGAAAAATGTCCAAAAAGGACGAAAAGGACGAAAAGAACGAAAAAGGACAAACATTAGAAAAAAGGACGAATAAGAACGAAAAAGAACGAAGAGGACGAAAAAGGACGAAGAGAACGAAAAAGAACTAAAAAGACGATAGGGACAAAAAAGGACGAAAAGTAGGAAAGAGGACGAAAAAGGACGAAAAGGACAAAAAAGGACGAAAAGCAGGAAAAAGGACTAAAAAGACGAAGAAGGAAAAAAAGGATATTGAGAACAATAAGGACGAAAAAGGACGTAAAGGACGAAAAATGACCAAATAGGACGAAAAGGACAACAAGGACGAAAAAGGACGAGAAGTAGGAAAAAAGACAAAAAAGGACGAAAAGAACGAAAAGAACGAAAAAGGACCAAAAAGACGAAAAAAGACGAAAAACGATAATAAGGACGAACAAGGACGAAAAGGACAAAAAAGGACGAAAAGTAGGAAAAAGGACTAAAAAGGACGAAGAAGGACGAAAAGGACCTTGAGAATAATAAGGACGAAAAAGGACGTAATAGACGAAAAATGACCAAAAAGGACGAAAAGGACAAAAAGGACGAAAAAGGACGAAAAGGACGAAAAAGGACGAAAAGGACTGAAAAGGACGAAAAGGACGAACGAGGATAATAAGGACGAAACTGGACGAAAAGGACGAAAAAGGACGGAAAAAGACGAAAATGACGAAAAGGACGAAAAGGACGAGAAAGGACGAAAAAGACTAAAAAGGACGAAAAGTAGGTAAAAGAACAAAAAAGAACGAAAAGTAGGAAAGAGGAAGAAAAAGGATGAAAAGAACAAAAAAGGACGAAAAGTAGGAAAAAGGACGTAAAGGACGAAAATGACCAAAAAAGACGAAAACGACAAAAAGGACGAAAAGTAGGAAAAAAGACAAAAAAGGACGAAAAGAACGAAAAGAACGGAAAAGGATAATAAGGACGAAGAAGGACGAAAAAGACGAAAAAGTACCAAAAGGACGAAAAAGGACCAAACAGGATGAAAAGGACGATAAGGACGAAAAAGGATGAAAAGGAGGAGAAAGGACGCTAAAGGACGAAAAAGGACGAAAAAGGACTAAAAAGGACGAAAAGGACGTAGAAGAACGAAAACGACGAAAAAGAACGAAGAAGGATGATACGGACAAAAAGGACGAAAAAGGACGAAAAGGACGAAAAGGATGAAAAGGACGAAGAAGGACGAAGAAGGACGAAAAGTCGGAAAAAGGACGAAAAAGGACGAAAAAGGACGAAGAGGACGAAAAGGACAAAACAGGACGAAAACGACGAAAACGACGAAAAAGGACCACAAGGGACGGAAAGGAAGAAAAAGGACGAAAAGGACGAAAAAGGACCAAACAGGATGAAAAGGACGAAAAATGACCAAAAAGGACGAACAGGACGAAAAATAATAATAATAATAAATAATAAATCTTTATTTCCTACGGTATTTACACCCAGTTACAGGATATATTGACAAATAATTGATTAATAGAGTGAGAGTAACTACATAAAGATAACAAAATAATTATAATATTGATTACAAACCAAAAAAACCCAAAAAAAAACTAAAAATAAACCTATTTAACAGAAATGGTTTTTAATACAATTTGTAATGAACTTAATACAACTATAAGTGTCACAATAGGCGGCAGGACGAAAAACAGGGAAACGGACGAATAAGGACGAAAAAAGACAAAAAATGACGAAAAACGACGAAAAGGACTAAAAAGGACGAAAAAGGATGAAGAAGGACGAAAAGGACGGATGAGGATAATAAGGACGAAACTGGACGAAACTGGACGAAAAAGGACGAAAATGAACGAAAAGAACCAAAAAGGACGAAAAGTAGGAAGTAAAATGAAAAAGGACGTAAGAGGACGAAAAGGACGAAAAAGGACTAAAAACGACAAAAAAAAACGAAGAAGGACGAAAAAGACGAATGAGGACGAAAAGGACGAATGATGATAATAAGGGCGAAACTGGACGAAAAGGACGAAAAAGGGCGAAAAAAGACGAAAAGGACGAGAAGGACGAAAAGGACGAAAAGGAAGAAAAAAGACCAAAAAGAACGAAAAGGACGAAAAGAACGAAAAAGGACGAAAAGTAGGAAAGAGGACGAAGAAGGACGAAAAAAGAGGAAAAGGACGAAAAGGACGAAAAAAGACGAAAAAGAACGAAAAGAAGGAAAAATGTCCAGAAAGGACGAAATGGACGAAAAAAACGAAAAAAGAACGAAAAGTAGGAATAAGGAGGAAAAAGGACGACAAGGACGAAAAGGGCAAAAAAGGACGAAAAGTAGGAAAAAGAACGGAAAAGGACGAAAAAGGCCGAAAGGGACGAAAAGGACGAAAAAGGACGAAAACAACGGAAAGGACGAAAATGGATAATGAGGACGAAAAAGGACGACAAGGACGAAAAAGGACGAAAAAGGACGACAAGGATGAAAAAGGACGAAAAATGACGAAAAACGACGGAGAGGAGGAAAAGGACGAAGAAGGTTGAAAAGAACGAAAAAGGACGAAAAACGACGAAAATTAGGAAAGAGGACGAAAAAGGATTAAAAAGGACGAAAAGAACGAAGAAGGAGGAAAAGGACGAATGCGGATAATAAGGACGAAAAAGGACGAAAAGGACGAAAAAGGACTAAAAAGGACCAACCGTCGTTTTTTTTTAAATGTGAAACCTTCTCGGGGGAACTAAATTTTATTTTTAGAATGTGAAACCTTCTCGGGGGTCAAAGCTGTCTTTTTTAATAATGTAAAACCTTCTTGGGGACGCCAAATGTTTTTCTTTTAATGTGAAACCTTCTCAGGGGTCCCTACTGTCTTTTGTGAAGATCTAAAACCTTCTCGGAAGCGCCAAATGTCTTTTTTTTTAATGCAAAACTTTCTCGCGGGCCCCAAATATGTATTTCTAAGAATGTGAAACCTTCTCGGAGATCCCAACTGTCTTTTTTAAAAATGTAAAACCTTCTCGGGGACGCCAAATATATATATTTTTTAATGTGAAACCTTCTCGGGGGTCAAAACTGTCTTATTTTAAAAATGTAAAACCTTCTTGGGGACGCCAAATATTTTTTTTTTAATGTGAAACCTTCTCAGGAGTCCCTACTGTCTTTTGTGAAGATGTAAAACCTTCTCAGGAGCGCCAAATGTCTTTTTTTTAATGTAAAACTTTCTCGCGGGCCCCAAATATATATTTCTAAGAATGTGAAACCTTCTCGGAGGTCCCAACTGTCTGTTTTAAAAATGTGTAAAACCTTCTCTGGGACGCCAAATATATGTTTTTTTTAATGTGAAACCTTCTCGGGGCTCAAAACTGTCTTTTTTAAAAATGTAAAACCTTCTCGGGGGGGGGGGGGGGGGGGGCAAGTGTCCTTTGTGAAAATGTAAAACCTTCTCGTAGGCTCCAAATGTCCAACTGTCTTTTTTAAAAATGTATAACCTTCTCGGGGCCCCATGTATCTTTTGTTTTAATGTAAAACCTTCTCAGGGGCGCTAAATGTCTTTTTTAAGGTGAAACTTTTAACTAATAATTTTTATTTCAGAGTTACAAAATGTAAGTAGATGACACAAAACTTTTTAAGGAACAAATGATCCTTTCGAAATCTTAATGGTTATGCAACCAACAATATGTATACGAAGAATTGAATAGTTTCCGGGTGATGTTTCATTAGTCGTTCTCAGTTTCTCGACGCTCCGAAACACCTGCTTGTTTCTAAGTCAAGTGTAAATTTTCGAAAGTTTCCGAATTTAATATGTATAAGCGAAATTTCATGTCGGTTATCGCATGACGAACTCTCTTGTGAAAACGCGGTAATATTATAAAACGCTTCATTACGCAACCACCTAATCAAAGTTACTCAACAAAATATCAGTTACTTTTAGTCTCGCCCCCAGTTTGTGCGTGCTCGAAGTCGCTTTAACCATTTATTTTTGTTTTCGTGACACACAATCTCGAAATCAATCACTTCCAAAAGTAAACCAGTTACATAACTCTCTTCGAAGACACTCATTCAAGTCTTCGTTTCGAGGTCACCTATACGGAAAAGAAAGTGACCGCCTCACCTGATTCACTCCGAATTCCTCGCGTCCGAGCATCGATACCGTCCCTCCCATCGAGCGCCGCCCCAACCAAAAATAGAAACCAACCCACCAAAAAACAAACCTCCGAATCAATCCCCGCTAAAAGTGTCATCAGACATGTCATCCGCTCTAAATAAATAATAGTTTTCTCCAAATCGATACTCCAAGAAGTGTAAACTCGAAAAACGTCCCTGCACGCATGCGTGCGTAAAATGTGCTTTTACCCAACAATACTTGCATCCAGTCTAACGAAACCGTTGTAGAATGCTCATCGCGCGAAAATCGCTTTTCGAAATGTGACAGCTCGGTGTGCCGCCTCTGATCGGTTTCGAAAATGGTGCAGAGAAACGATGCGATTTTCTTGGTGGTTTTCGTAGTAGGGTTGCTGGGCATCCAGGGGAAGCCCTCGTGGTCGCTGAATCTGCCGGCGATCGGCCCGCTTCGGAACTTCGGGCAAAGGGACCACACTTTCCATATCAAGAGCTACAGCGGGAAAAGGGTGAAGAACGACTCCATTAGGATGGTGTACTTTCACGACCAGACGGTCGCTATCGTGGAGTTGGAGCCGGATAAGTTGCTGCTGAATTGCGAACTGATTGAAGTTTAGTGAGTATGGGGGGTTTCTTTAGAAAGTTGGTGACATTATTTGTTTGTGGAAATCGATCTGCAATGAAGGTCATGGGTGTGTATCGCATTTTGCGTTAAAATTACAACGAAGTCGTAAATAGCGCAGGCGGACGATGGAAAATTGATAAAATTGACCATCAAATCCGAAATCAATGTATTATTTGACGACAATTTCAAAAAATGTTGAAGTTAGCAAATGTTGGATTTGATGTTCTGATACTACGGTGCGGTGGCGTTTTACAGCTAGTCGTTAGTTGTTGTTCTGAAAGTATAAAATTCACACTAGAAGCGTTGACTAACATAATATTACTAGGTGAACGTATTTGTCGTATTTTGCGTATGACCATGAACAAAAGTTTTAGTCCTTTACGTCAAACGTTGATTTTATGTCATTTACAACTGTTGTCACGCGGCTTGCCATTGTTACAAAACTTGCCGCTTTATTAAACTTTTCACGTCAATTTTTTTGCAAAATGAGTCAACAACCATTTATGTACTTACCCACACGATATTAATACATATTTAAATAAATAACAACATTTACTAGTAATCGTTTTATTTACTTATTTTTTTTAAATACCGATAACACTTGCATGCGTAATAAGGCCATAAACTGTGAAAAATATCTCATAAATGTGGAAATCAAGTAACACATTACCTCCACTGCTTTTATTTAATTGCCAAGGTCGGTTTATAATGGTTGGTTGTCGTTTTCATATGGTTTTCATTTACACGTCTGCCGTATCGTTTGCATGTCCAAAGTTTAACTTTTCCCTAAAGAGTCTTTTATAGGAAAGCAATAGTCCCGCCCACCCACCCTCTCTTCATTCCAGTGATTTTTCTTAATATTGTTCAGTTTTATCGTTGCAAGTACTAGCCCCACCCACCCTTTATTTTCTTAGAAGTATGTCATCTGCCAAAATCAGTCTTGTCTTAACAAGTACTAGCCACGCCCACTCTCCCTCTTCTTATCTTGGAGACTAATTTTATTTCTGTATAAGATCCACCTTTCGTTCAGAATAGATAAAATTGATCACCGAAATGGAGGCGGGTGGGTGGGCGGGGTTAGTTATGTGTTCTTTTGTAGACTCGAAGTGGAAACTAATAGAAATTAGGCTGAAAAAAAAAACGCTAATTATGACATTTTTGTTGTATTATTTGTCACAAGATTTATTTCTTATTTGAGAAGAAAATAAAATCAGAGAACGGGTGGGTGGGCGTTGATAAGTGTAACTTTTTCCTAAAGAGTTTTTTATAGGCAAGTAATAGCCCCGCCCACACTCACTCGTTTCATTCCATTTACTACTCTCAATATTGTTCAGTTTTATCGTTGCAAGTACTAGCCCCACCCACCCACCCTTTATTTTTTTAAATGTATGTCATCTGCCAAAATCACTCTTGTCTTAACAAGTACTAGCCACGCCCACTCTCCCTCTTCTCATTTTCGAGACTAATTTTATTTCTGTATGAGATCCACCTTTTCAGTCAGAGTAACTAGATAAAATTAATCACAGAAATGGAGGCGGGTGGGTGGGCGGCGTTAGTTATATGTTCTTTTGTAGACTGGGAGTGGGAACTAATAGAAATTAGGCTGTAAAAAAGCGCTAATATTGACTTTTTTGTTGTATTATTTGTCACAAGATTTATTTCTTATTTAAGAAGAAAATAAAATGACAGAACGGGTGGGTGGGCGGGGCTAAGTTTAACCTTTTCCTAAAGAGTCTCTTATATGCAAGCAATAGCCCCGCCCACCCACCCCCTCTTCATTCCAGTGGTTTTTCTTAATATTGTTCAGTCTTACCGTTGCAAGTATTAGCCCCACCCACCCACCCTTTATTTTTTTAGAGGTATGTCATCTGCCAAAATCAGTCTTGTCTTAACAAGTACTAGCCACGCCCACTCTCCCTCTTCTCATTTTTGAGACTAATTTATTTCTGTATAAGATCCACCTTTTCATTCAGAGTAACTAGATAAAATTAATCACAGAAATGAAGGCGGGCGCGTGAGCGGGGTTAGTTATATGTTCTTCTGTATACTGGGATTGGAAACTAATAGACATTAGGCTGTAAAAAAGCGCTAATGGTGACTTTTTTGTTGTATTATTTGTCACAAGATTTATTTCTTACTTCAGAAGAAAATAAAATGGGAGAACGGGTGGGTGGGCGGGAATATGTTTGACTTTTTCATAAAGAGTATTTTATAGGCCAGGAATAGCCCCGCCCACCCACGCCCTCTTCATTCCAGTGATTTTTCTTAATTTTGTTCAGTTTTATCGTTGCAAGTACTAGCCCCACCCACCCACCCTTTATTTTTTTAGAGGTATGTCATTTGCCAAGATCACTCTTGTCTTAACAAATTTTAGCCACGCCCACTCTCCCCCTTCTCATTTTAGAAACTCATTTGATTTCTGTGTAAGATCCACCTTTTCATTTAGAGTAACTAGATAAAATTAATCACCGAAATGGAGGCGGGAGGGTGGGCGGGGTTACTTATATGTTCTTCTTTGGACTGGGAGTAGGAACTAATAGAAATTAGGCTGTAAAAAGCGCTAAAATAACTTTTTTGTTGTATTATTTGTCACAAGATTTATTTCTTATTTGAGAAGAAAATAAAATGAGAGAACGGGTGGGTGGGCGGGGATAAGTGTAACTTTTTCCTAAAGATTTTTTTATAGGCAAGTAATAGCCCCGCCCACCCACCCCCTCTTTATTCCAGTGATTTTTCTTAATATGTATTGTTCAGTCTTACCGTTGCAAGCACTAGCCCCACCCACCCACCCCTTAATTTTTTTAAATGTATGTCATCTGCCAAAATCACTCCTATCTTAACAAGTACTAGCCACGCCCACTCTCCGTCTTCTTATTTTAGAGACTAATTTATTTCTGTATAAGATCCACCTTTCATCCAGAGTAGATAAAATTAACGGGTGGGTGGGTGGGCGGGGTTAATTATATGTTCTTCTATAGACTGAGAGTAGCAACTATTGTCTTTGCCATTTCTATTGAAACACCACTTGTTGATTTTGCTTAAAATTTAGCAATTGGTGACAGCTTTCGATTGATTGACAACGGCTTTTAGTTAGAAAATTGTCTGAATATGAACGTTGCCAAATTTACGATTAACAAGTGGTGTTTCAATAGAAATGGCAAAGACTATAATAGAAATTAGTCTGTAAAAAAGCACTAATCGTGACTTTTTTGTGGTATTATTTGTCATAAGATTTATTTCTTATTTCTGAAAACATAAAAATAATAAAATCTTCAACTCCTCAAATCTTCAGAAAATCATAATCTTCAAATCCACAGAACATCATAAACCTCAAATCCTGAAAACACCATAATCCTCAAATCGTCAGAACATCATAATTCTCAAATCCTCAAAACACCATTATCCTCAAAACACCACAGCTCTCAAATCCTCAAAACAGCATTATCCTCAGATCCTCAGAACATCATAATCCTCAAATCCTCAGAACATCATAATCTTCAAATCCTCAGAATATCATAGTCCTCAAATCCTCAGAACAACATAATCCTTAAATCCTGAAAACACCATAAGCCTCAAAACTTCACAACATAATATTCCTCAGTTCCTCAAAACATCATAATCTTCAAATGCTCAAAACACTATAATCCTCCTAAATTACGAGTTTTCAAAATTAATTTCAAAAAGGCGAATGTTCAAAATTTCAAAGGTACCAAAAACGGTCAAACTAACCCCACCCACCTCCAATTTTGAATTTCAATTAAAAAAAAATCAAGTGGTACACCGTTTTCTTTTAGATCACTTATTTTTGACGAAATTTCTTGGAAAATTTTGTTTTTGGATAAAAGTGCAACAATTTCAACAAAAAGCTGACGTTTGATTACGTCAGTAAGTCGGTATAAAATTCCTAATTTTGCCAAGGTCTGCGCTTTAGGTGTCTCGTACAATAACGATTAATAAGTACATTAATTGTTCGAATGGAGAGTACAAAGCAATTAACCACGGTCAGAAAAACCTACATTTACATTCATGATTAGAAGCTATGCCTATCCACGGATTCTCCACCTCTTAGTTAATTAAACGTAATCCCAAAAATAAGTGGGTAGAATAGTAACATCAGAAATTACTAGTGCATTCATGTTACCACACAAACTGCATTCAACTGTTGCATTAACATACATTCTAATTTTGCAATAACGTTTGCTAATAACCCACATTGCACTTTTTCACGTTCGTAACGTGAAAAATGTAGACATTTAGATATCGTTACTCACAATCCCGTTGAAACGACAAAGGAAATCGATACGAAATTCAATTAAATATTCACAAGAGTCGGTATATAAACGGAGAAGTAAAAATAGGCAGGAGCTGATTTGTTGTTGATGGCTTTTGTGCATAATAGATCGAATTGTGGTCGTTAAGACGACTTCAAAGTTTATGATAATGACGGTAGTTTGTGTGACAATAATACTTTATCGTACTTTCCAAACTTACAAATAAAATGGTTCGAATGTGGCATTGAAAAATGTGTACTTTTATGCAATTACCATAACGAGATAAAGCAACAAAACAAAGATAACGGTAACGAAATCGCCAAGTGTGAAACGGCATAATTACGCATAATTAATTGTCGAAGCGTTTTAAGCCGCATTGTATTTGCTTATGGTGAAAACAGATCGTCGATGCCGGTACAATGTTCTACTTTTACTTTACGTGGAAACAGATTACATTCACGTCATTACGAAAAACCCACTAAGTGTGTTTTTTTCCAGCGAACCCGAAGACGCGATCAAAGCCCTAGGCGACTTCCAGCAGGTCTCGCGCCCCGTCGCTATCACCTTCAAAGAAATGACAACCCTAATGCGCCAATGCCAGCAAGTCGAAGACGGCAAAACCATGACCAATGAACTGTCTAAAAACATCACGACGCATCCAATCGGCCGGGGAATCCTCGCCAACAACCCCTTCGTCCTCCTCAGCGGGATCATTCCAGGTGTCACAGTCGCTTTTTGTAAAATTCGCCTGAATTAGTTTGTTTTAGGAACTAAATGGTGCGGAACTGGGGACATAGCCAAAGACTACTACGACCTGGGGGCCGAACCCACCGTTGATAAATGTTGCAGAGCTCACGACTTGTGTCCCGTGAAAGTACGGGCGTTTTCGGAGAGATACAACATAACGAACGATTCCTTGTATACCAAGTCGCATTGTTTGTGCGACGACCAGTTATATACTTGTCTTAAACAAAATTCGTCACCCACGGCGCACATAATGGGGACTATTTATTTCAATCTGGTCCAAATCCCGTGCCTTGAAGACACCAAGAGTGGAAAACGGTACAGGACACCAAAAAATAGCTTTTGACGTAGACGTATTTTGTGCAATACTGTAAGCTCAATTTTATAGTTAAATCGTTATTTATTACTTGTTGGAAAATCTAAGTGCCTCGGTCAATAAAACAATAATTTTTAATAAATTCCTAAGCTATAATTATTTACACTCAATCGCTCTATTTACAAAGACAAATTCTCAATCTGTTTAATTACATCCATGTGTTTGAATTCATCAGGCTTTTCCGTGAACCTCTGCAGCAGCTCCAATTTCTCCGTCGTCGGTCTCACGTAATACAACTGCAGCTGATTGGCTAGACACTGCGCCTCCTTCAAATCAATCACGTTCTTGTCGTACTCCCCTCTCATCAAAACAATCTTCTTGCTATCTTTAAACTCCACATAATGCGTAATTGTTAAACACTCCGGCGCGTTTTCTTTATGCACCTGGTAGTACAACAACGGCGTGAAATGTACACAGTTTCTGTCAAACTGTGACATAATAAATTCGTATCCTTGGCTCCTAGGTAAAGCAAACAAAAAAGTCGGAAATTCCCTACCTCGCGTCTCCAGTTCTTCGTAATCGTGTGCGGGAACCACAGCCGCTATGAAGTTCTTCTGGACGTGATACTCGTGCCAGATTTCCCTGATTTCGTCGGCACTTTTGTCTTTGATTAAGTCGATTTTCATAACTTTATCCAGAGGGGCTTCAGACGCTTCTGCATGGTCGAGGGGCTTCTTGGGGTTGAGAAGTTGCGAAAATTTACCTTCAGTTACTTGTTCCGGTTTCTTGGTCGGAGTTTTGTGCTTTTCCAGTTGTTCGACTCTGGATAGGAATTCTTGGGGAGAGGTTTTCTGGAGCTGGGCGATTTTGTCGGCGTACTTTTCGTAGTAGGCATTTTTCGAGAGGTCTTCTAGGGCCTTTTCGGCACGGCTTTGGGTTGTCATAAAGCTTCTTTTTATTACAGAGGTGGATATTCGGAAGAAGGTTCGTGAAAGAAATAGGTTAGGTACGGGTGCCATAACTATCACTAGATTTGGGGATTTTTGCTGTCAACGAAAGCAAGCACGTCTGTCACTAATAAGAAAATGGATTTGAATATTTGTTGATTATTGTTAAAATGGAAATGTAAATATGTGTTTATGTGTATAGAACAAAATAAAAATGAATTTGTGTTTATTTCAGAGTAAATGCAAATAGTGCCACTTTGAGTAATTTTGAGGTTATGAAGCACCTGCAGAAAGTCAAAGACAGCAGAAAAAAACATAAGGGTCAGTTGGCAACGATAACGTATGAGGTATTTTAAATAATAATCCCGTTTTTTGTGTGTTTATTTGTTTATTTTTTAGACTTTACGATACTTGGAAAATACTCCTTGTGCACAACATAGTCCAGAAGCAATGACTCAGTGCTTGAGAGAATTAGACGGTTTCAATTTAAACAAAAACGAAAAACTGATGTTGATAAACTCGCCCCCGACGACGGCACTTGAAATTCAATTAGTAACTACTTTGTACATTTTTTCCATTTGGGTTTGTGAGTAATTAAATATTTTTAGATGATTGAAGAGAGTGAGGAACGGCTGAGTGAAGAACAAGTGCAAAAAATCTTGACCATCATGATCCAATATTTCCCTCATATCCAGAAACCCCAGGAAGCCGAACCCCAAGAGCAAGACTAATCTTAGAAAAAAAATAACATGAAAAACACACAACTGTATTGATATAAATACATAATTAAATAAAGTGTGATTATCGTTTTTGGTCGCCCAAATCTTCAATTAGATCTTCATCAATCTGTGAATAAAACGCATAAATGTGGTTACTTTCGTACGAAAAATTATACCTCTGGCCACTTTTCAGGAATCACATCAAATAGGTCATCTTTAACGTCTCCCTGAATTACAATTTCATCGTCGCCTGTGACCGACGATCCGCACGCAAATCGCGTTCCGAAGAATTTAGCAGCCACTTTCAGATCAATATCTAAACAGTCACACTTAAATAAATAATAGGACTTGTTGAAGACAAACTACCAAAACTGCTGAGTCCTGTGACGACAGTAACTGACTTCTTTTTCCCTCTTGGTGCTCTCGACACGCACACCTGCTTAGGCCCGTCCTCCTTCTTTTTAGTTTTGATCATGCCTTTGCCCCCGCGTTTCTGGCGTTTCTTCTCTTCTTCGCCGCCCCCGCTCTCGTTGGCTTCATCCCCGATCTTCACTTTCTCGAATTCGTCGGGTAAGTTTCGTTCCAGCCACTGTTTGCACTTGTCGTATTCGGGATAGTACTCGCAGTACTGGAAGGATTGGCTTTAATTCGCGAAAATTAAAGAGACACTAACCTCAATTGGCATCGTACAGTTGCCGCAGTAGATTACTTGAAGCGGATACGCTAAACCCGGTTTGGGGCCCATCTGTAACTTCTCTTCCAGTGACATAATCGCCCTATTTTTTTTAATTAACCCAAAAAAATTCGTGATCGGAATGGAGAACTAACCTCAAAGGGAAATTAGGTGGAAATGGGGTTGGTAGGACTGGGAGGTTAAACCGGTGTGGAGTTTAACGAAGTCGGTGTGGAAAAAGCCGCGTTACTTATTTTTGGAAGTGTATTTAGAACTGAAAATGCGATAATTATTTAATTAATACCACCGACTGTTGTTTCGGAAATTTAAAATAATTATTAATGTGGTCGTTGTTCGTAGTTGGTAGCAATGACTGTCACTCGGAGACTTGTCAATTTCAAAACTTATAAGGTTATAATTATTTGTTTGTTGTTTGTTTGAAAACAGGAAAATGAAGAAAGGCGCAAAAGTATGTTTTGTGTAATTTTAGATACATGATTTATATTTGTTTTTATTAGAAGTGGTTAGGTCTTCAATTTGACTTTGAAGAAAACTCAAAGACAATTCCATCTACAAATTGTACCACAGTTGAAGTAAAGAAATCCAAAAGTGACTTGTCTGCACTAAAGAAACGCACTTTTAATTTCCAACTTCACTTGAAGCCTAAAATTGTGACAGATCTGGCGGTTCATTCCAAAAAAATTGGCGAAGTGGAATCTTGGTTACAACTGAATGTCATTAACAGACCAAAGAACTCTGTATGCAATCAGACTGCGAGTTTCTTGCTGATTTGTGGCCCCACGGGGTCCGGAAAAACCGCCACCATTCAAGTTCTGTGCAAAAAACTGGGTATTGATATTTCAGAGTGGACAAACCCTGTGGACCAGGAGTTTGACTTCTACAGGGGAGTGAACCAAGTTACAGGGTTTACTGAGTTTTTGACTGAGTCCAAGTGGAACTCTTTGTTTTCTGTCAGTGATAAAAAAATTATTTTGGTTGAAGATTTTCCAAATGCTTTGGTGAGGAAATCTGAGGATTTTGGCGCCGTTTTAGAGTAACAAATTGCGTATTTTTGTATTTAAAGTACTGAGTTTAATTTTAGGGAGTGTTATTACAAAGGGAATTACCCTATTGTTTTTATTTGCACTGATTCTAATGACAGTAAGATGAATTTATCAGAGAAATTGTTTACTCAAGATTTAAGAAATAAATATAAAATAGTGGAAATAAGGTGAGATTCTAGCATTAGTAATGGTGTGTAATATAATTATTTTTTGTAGTTTTAACGCATGTGCCATGACATTGTTACGAAATGCGCTCAAAAGAGCCCACAATCTTGTCCAAGACAACTTAGACTTATTTAAAACACCGTCACCAGAGACAGTTAATGCGATAATAGCGACTTCAATGGGTGACATTAAATGTGCCATAAACCAGTATTACTTTGCCAGTTTATTAGGTATTCCAATTTTGAAACAATTAAATTTTTATCACCCATACCCAACTTGTAGGAACTGCAGATTTGCCCACCGTATCAACCAAAAAACCCCAGAAAACTGGTACCAAAAGAAAACGTACGGAAACCTCTTCCTCAGTCCAGTCAATGTCCAGGGATCAAACTTTAGGCCTATTTCACGGCGTCGGCAAGGTCCTAAACCCCAAACGCGTCGAAACTGGGGGCTCCTGGCGCCTAAATTGCGACCTCCAAAAACTAATTGACGAATTTAGCACGCAACCGACGTCTTTCATCGCTTTTCTTTTTGAAAATTATGTAAAATATTACGGAAATTTGGACGATGTTTGTGCAGCAGCTGAAATTTTGAGTTTATCACAAACTTTTCTTGAAAAATGGGTGGATAGACAGGATGTTTTGCCATTCTCGTTGTGGGTTGCGGTGATGGGTTTGATGATTCATAATGAACATAGAGTGATGAAGTGGACGCCGATAACGGGACCAAAAAAAACACAAAAAAAGTGTGCAGGATTTATCAGAGTTAATAGTTTGTTTTTACTTTTATTTTAGGGTGTCTGAGAGGGACGTTACTGATTTGTACTACCGCAATATAATTAACAACGTTGAAAATTCCCGATTTGATGTTACAGTGTGATTTTCTAATAAAAGTTTGGGTGTTTTTACGTTTTTGAATTGCGCGCGCGCACCACAGTGCGTTGCTACGTCACTACGCGAATGCGTCACGTCGTTCATCTCTCTCCCCCAACTGTGTCCGCCATCAGTTCTCCTTTTTCACACGTCGCGTTGTGTTTGCGTTACGTACGTCACCCAGATGTCATTTTCTGTCAAAATCGTCAAGACCCAACATTCCTAATTTTTCTAGAAAAACGGGATTTCCTTGGCACAGCAGTGACACGCCTCACCAACCCCACGAAAAATGTCTTTAAACACCGCCCACATAAACGGAGGCGTGTTGATCCACGCCGGAGAACAGTAAGCAAAAACGCCCCATTTTTCGTCAGTCAATGACTCCTTTTCCAGGATTCTTCTGTACTCGGACAACTGCATCGTGGAATGGTCGGGCCAGGGCGAGGGGGCCTTCAAGGGCTCCAAGCAGGGTCGCCTCTACCTGACCACCCATCGGCTCATCTTCAACAACAAAAACATGAACGACGCAATGCAGTCTTTCAGTTTCCCCTTTATCACGCTGAGCGAGGTAAAAATGCGCGGCGCGTCGAATTCGCTGTTGTTGACCGTTTGCTTCAGGTGGAGATTGAACAACCAGTATTTGGAGCCAATTACATAAAAGGGAAAGTTAGAGCTCAGCCTAATGGCAACTGGGTAGGAGAGGCCAAGTTTAAGTTAACCTTTAAGCGCGGCGGCGCCATCGAGTTCGGCGAGGCGATGCTCAAAGCTGCGTACTTGGGTGAGTGTCTTCGTGCATGATTTTTGTGGAGTTTGTGCGGAGGATTGTGGCTGCATGCAAAAATTCTCTTTGGAATTTTTAATGGAGGAGTAGAGTGTTGTTGCGTAATGCAGTGTGTTGCTCAATGATGAAAGGTGTTCCACTTGTGAACTATGGGGGAAGATAAGCCTAGTTCTGTAGTGAGAGTGCTATGACTCCTTGCTCTGGTGTAAGTAGTTCAAGTTCAGCTATTTGGATGGCGGTTTTGGGTGGTTAGCGGCCGATATTAGTGAGCTAACTGTCGGTGTTGATTATTATTGGAAGAATTTCGAAGATTGGACAGTGCATTGAGTAACGAGAGAGAAAAACAATTACATCAAGTGTTGATGCAACTGGGAACTGGTGACCTTGAGCAGTAACACTGTCAACAGCACCATCTAGCGGCGCAATTTTAGTTTTAATTAGGTTTTTTTTTTCTTAAAGTCGTTATTTTAACACGATTTCGTCCTAATGGCTGGAAATTTTAGTTGCTTCTTCAACGAATTCCGATTTTAATTTTTGCAGCAAGAAAAAATATCAAGTTAAAGTGTTTGAGGGTAAGTTAAATTAGTAAAATTCTGTTTGATGAAATTAATTTCATACTATTTCAAATTAGAAGTAACTATTATAATAGAGGATGTGAAGACATATTTTGAAATTTATGAGAGATTCGTTCGGTCTACCTTATGAAACTGACGATAATTTATTCCAATTGCCAATAGCGGAGGTGTAAAATTTATCGTCGATGCGGTCACCATTTTAAGTACGCAGCGAAAGTATGCGTCGTTTATATCATCCTTTGACGTTGTCGTTGACGTTGGGTTTTCAACCAATCAAATTGCGGTAGTGCTGCCAACTTGAAGGAAAATCCTCTAGGACATTCTTCTGGTTGACAACACTAATTCCACGAAAATCATATTAAGTAAATTTTGCCATTTTCTTCTTAATATATGTAGTCTTCTTTTCACAACAAGAAAGGTAAAACATGTTTAAAACGGTAAATTTTTGTAGGAAAGTGTCCATTTTGCAATTAGGCTCCGCCCCTCGGTTGAACGAATGAAAAATTCATCACAATTGAGCTTAGAATGGATATGGGCGGGGCTTATATTTTGCTTGTTTTTTAATACAACATAGCCATCTTTTCACAACAAGAAACTAAAAACATGGCACATTTTTACAAGGAAATATGGATTTTGCAATTATGGAGCGGAGCCTAATTGCAAAATTCCTTATACAAATTTTCCATTTTAAACATATTTTAAGTTTCTTGTTGTGAAAAAAAGTCTACAGATTGGAAAAAAAGAAAGGAAAATGTAAGCCCGCCCACCCGCCCTATCTCAATTGTGATGATCTTTTTTTATTTGCCGTGAACCAAAGGGACGAAGTTTAATTGCAAAATAGTTATTTCTTTACAGGAAATTAAGATCATATTTTAAGTTTCTTGTTCTGAAAAGACGACTACGTATATTAAGAAAAAGGGTCAAATATAAGCCCCGCCCACCCACCCCATCTCAATTGTGATGATTTTTATATTCTTAGAAACTCGAAACACGTTTAAAATGGTGAATTTTTGTAAGGAAATGTGGATTTTGGAATTGAATTCCGCCCCTTTGACTCTTGAAGATTAAAAAAAATCATCACAATCGAGATAGGGTGGGTGGGCGGGGCTTATATTTTGTCTTTTTTTTTTAATATACCTAGCCATGTTTTCTCCACAAGAAACGTAAAATATTGTTAAAATGGTCCATTTTTACTAGGAAATATGGATTTTGCAAAATCGATATTTCCTTATACAAATTTTCCATTTTAAACATGTTTTAATTTTCATGTTGGGAAAAGGAGTCTACACATATTAAAACAAAAATGCAAAATATAAGCCCGCCCACCCGCCCTATCTCAATTGTGATGATTTTTTTTATTTGCCGTGAACCAAGGGGACAGAGCTTAACTGCAAAATACTTATTTCTTTACAGGAAATTAAGAACATGTTTTTTAGTATCGTGTTATTCAAAACATACTATGTATATTAAGAGCAAAAGGGAAAATATAAACCCCGCCCACCCACCCCATCGCAATTGTGATGATTTTTATATTCTTAGAAACTTGAAACACGTTTAAAATGGTGAATTTTTGTAATAAAATATGGATTTTGCTATTAAATTCCGCTCCTTTGGGTCTTGATGATTTAAAAAATATATTTTGCTTTTTTTCTTAATTTACACAGTCGTCTTTTCAGAACAAGAAACTTAAAACATGTTTAAAATGATAAATTCTTGTAGACAAATATAGATCTTGCAATTGAGCCCCGCCCTTCGATCCGACAACTAATAAAAAAATCATCACTATCGAGATAGGGTGGGTGGGTGAGGTTATATTTCGCCTTTTTTCCTTAATATGTGTAGTCATCTTTTCACAACAAGAAACTTAAAACATGTTTAAAATGGTAAATAGGGAAATATCGATTTTGCAATTATGGGGCGGAGCGTAATTGCAAAATCGATATTTCCTTATACAAATTCTCCATTTTAAAGATGTTTTAAGTTTTGTTGTAAAAAGAAGTCTACACATATGTTTAAAACAAAAGGCAAAATTTAATCCCGCCCACCCGCCCTGTCTCAATTGTAATGATTTTTTTTTCACTGTCAGTCAAGGGGGCAGAACTTTACTGCAAAATCCGTATTTCTCTACGAGAAATTAAAAACATGTTTTTGAGTATGGTGTTCTACAAAGAATATTATGTATATCAATGAAAAAATAAAGCCAAAGATTAACTCCGCCCCGATCTCAATTCTCAATTGTGATGAATTTTTCATTCGTTGTCAGATCGAGGGGCGGGGTTTAATTACAAGATTCATATTTGTCTAGAAGAATTTACTATTTATCAAGTTTCTTGTTCTGAAAGGGAGACTACGTATATTATGAAAAAAGGCAAAATATAAGCCCCGCCCACCCGCCCTGTCTCAATTGTGATGATTTTTTTTTAATCGTCGAGAGTCAAAGGAGCGAAATTTAATTGTAAAATCGTTATTAAAAATCGTAGTGGAAAAACTGAAAATTTAAAAAATCATAAAAATAAAAAATTGAAAAATCGAAAAATCGAGAAGTCGAGAAATCAAAAAAACGTGAAATCAAAAATTAAAAAATTGAAAGATTCAATGGAAAAATCGAAAAATTGTAAAACTGAAACATCGGAAAATTGGAAAATCGAAAAATGAAAAAATCCCGAAATTGAATACTTGCAGAATCAAAAAATTGAAAAATCCCAAAACTGAAATATCGAAAAATTGAAAATCGACGAAAAAACTGAAAAAACCCAAAACTTAAATATCTAAAAATTGAGAAATGGAGAAATCGGAAATTTTGAAAACTTGAAAAATTCAAAAACTGCAAAATCGAAAATTTAAAAAATTGAGAAATCGAAAAATGGAAGAATTAAATATTGGAGAATCCCAAAACTGAAATACAGAAAAACTGAATAATTGAACTGAAAAATTAAAAAATTTCAAAACCGAAATATCGAAAAATCGAAAATTTTTAAAAATCATAAAACTGAAAAATCAAAGACCCGAAAAATTGAAAAACTGAAAAATGGAAAACTCGAGAAATCAACTCGAAGAGTGGAAAAATCTAAAAATTGAAAAATTAAAAATTGAAAAATTGGAAAGAGAAATATACATAGAAGAACTAAAAAATCGAGAAATCCAAAAATCTAAAATTATAAAAATTGAAAAATTAAAACATGAAAGAATTGAAAAATGGGAAATCGAAACAATAAAAACGAAAAATTGAAAAATCGAAAAAGCAAGAAAATAGAGATATCAAAAATCAAAATAACGAAAAATTGAGGAATTAAATATTGAAAAATCCCAACAGTGAAAAATCGAAAATTTGAAAAATCGAGGAATAATTTAAGAATCGAAAAATTGAAAAATCTTAAAACCGATACAATCAAAAATTGAGAAGGCGACAAATGAAAAATCGAGATACCAAAAAAGCGAAAAATCGTGGTTGAAAAAGCAAAAATTTAAAAAAATCAAAACTGAATATTCAAAAACCTGCAAAATTGAAAAATCGAGAAGTCGAAGAATAAAAAAGTCGTGAAATCAAAAATTGAAAAATTGAAAGATTGAAAAATTGTAAAACTGAAACTTTGGAAAATTGGAAAATCGAAAAATGAAAAAATCGCGAAATTGAACACTTGCAGAATCAAAAAATTGAAAAATCGCAACACTGAAGTATCGAAAAATTGAAAATCGACGAAAAAACTGAAAAAATCCAAAACTTAAATATCCAAAAATTGAGAAATCGAGAAATCGGAAAATTTGAAAACTTGAAAAGTCCAAAAACTGAAAAATCTAAAAACTGCAAAATCGAAAAATTAAAAAATTGAGAAATCGAAAAATGGAAGAATTAAATATTGGAGAATCCCAAAACTGAAATACAGAAAAACTGAATAACTGAAGAAAAATTTGATTGAAAAATTAAAAAATCTCAAAGCCGAAACATCGAAAAATTGAAAAATCGAAAAATCGAAAATTTTTAAAAATCATAAAACTGAAAAATCGAAAACCTGAAAAATTGAAAAACTGAAAAATGGAAAATAATATCGAAGAACTGAAAAATCTAGAAATCTAAATGTCAAAAATTTTAAAAATTTAAAGATTAAAACATGAAAGAATTGAAAAATTGAAAAAATGGGAAATCTATACAATAAAAACGAAAAACTGACAAATCTAAAAATTGAAAATCGAAAAAGCAAGAAAATACAGATATCAAAAATTGGTCTAAAGAGTTTAGACAGTACTTCCCTCGCTGTCGGAAACTTGACGACTGCATGCCTATTGTGTTTTTTTTCTCATTACATTTTTGTAGTGGGAATTTAAAAAAAAATTGCGATGACGTCATCAACATTTTTGCAAGGACACGTATATCAGTTGGGATAGATGTGGTGTAATACTAAGAATAAAATTATTATATTCTCAAATTTTCGGGAAAATGAATTGGGTCGTTTTGAATATTGATTTGTAATAATCAATAAAATAACGAAACAATTTACTCACGTATACGTATCAGAGGCAACTGAAAATCGTGTATGTATAAACATTCTTAATTTAAGATGACAGGCGTAACAGCATACGTGAGAGTCAAACAGAGAAACTGTAAACAAAACGACCATCGGTTTTATTGCTTCGACTTCCGCTTAATATATAAAACATTGGGTTTTATTTTAATTCTTGACGGTGAAATTCACAATTGGTTGATTATAAACATGTCTATTTCATATTCGCGGAACCAAGTGAGCGCATAAAACAAATGCAGGTCTGTAATGTTAAAGTCGATGTAAATAAGCGTGCTACCCTTATGTTTCAACCGAGTTTTTCCTTTAACAAATTTTGTGTCTACCAAATTGGGTTGGTTGGGGTGTAATACTAATAATAAGTGTTGCCTTTAATTTAATCAATAAAATAAATTGACTTCATTAATTTTTTTAAACCACCTCTTAAGAAAATCTAAAAAATATGAATGGAATGATAAATCACAAGTACAAACTCATCATATTTTTTGCATTTTAGATACGATTTATTCAGCAAAATTTAAGGGTGACGTCATCAATTTTTTTAGGAGGGATGAACAAATACATTTTGAACAAAAGTTTACCATGCTTATAATAACTTTAAAATATTCCCAAGATTTCAAAGCATTCGGTTTTGTAATTCCTGATTAAATCGATAAAATAAATTCACGCCTTCATTAATTTTTTTGAGTCACCCTGCATATGCAAATCCAAAAATATGAATGGAATGATAAATCACAAGTACAGACTCATCATATTTTGTACATTTTAGATACGATTTACTCGGCAAACTTTTGAGCTGACGTCATCAGTTTTTTGTAGAAGATAACCAAACATATTTTGACTAAAAATTTATTATGCTCTTTATAACCTTAAAACATCTGCAAGATTTCAAAGCATTCGGTTTTGTAGTTCCTGATTAAGTCAATAAAATAAATTTACGCATTCATTAATTTTTTTGAGTCACCCTGTGTATGCAAATCGAAAAAATTTGAATGGAATGATAAATCACAAGAAGAGACTCACCATATTTTGTACATTTTAGATAGGATTTATTCAGCAAAATTTTGTGGTGACGTCATAAATTTTTTAGGGGGGACGACCAAATACGTTTTGATCAAAAATTTACCATGCTTATGATAATTTTAAAATATCTTCAAGATTTCGAAGCATTCGGTTTTGTAGTTCCTGAGTAAATCAGTAAAATAAATTTACGCTTTCATTTATTTTCTTGAATCACCCTGTATATGCAAATCCAAAAAATATGAATGGAGTGATAGATCACAAGTACAGACTGATCATATTTTGTACATTTTAGATATGATTTATTCGGCAAATTTTCGAGCTGACGTCATCAAGTTTTTGGAGGGGATAAGCAAATATATTTTGACTAAACATTTATTATGCTCTTTATAACCTTAAAACATGTGCAAGATGTCAGAGCATTCCGTTTTGTAGTTCCTGAGTAAATCAGTAAAATAAATTTACGCTTTCATTTATTTTCTTGAATCACCCTGTATATGCAAATCCAAAAAATATGAATGGAGTGATAGATCACAAGTACAGACTGATCATATTTTGTACATTTTAGATATGATTTATTCGGCAAACTTTCGAGCTGACGTCATCAAGTTTTTGGAGGGGATAAGCAAATATATTTTGACTAAACATTTATTATGCTCTTTATGACCTTAAAACATCTGCAAGATTTCAGAGCATTCAGTTTTGTAGTTCCTGATTAAATCAATAAAATATATTTACGCATTCATTAATTTTTTTGAGTCACCCTGTATATACAAATCCAAAAAATATGAATGGAGTGATAGATCACAAGTACAGACTCATCATATTTTGTACATTTTAGATATGATTTATTCCACAAACTTTTGAGCTGACGTCATCAAGTTTTTGGAGGGGATAAGCAAATATTTTTTGACTAAAGATTTATGATGCTCTTTATAGCCTTAAAACATCTGCAACATTTCAAAGCATTCTGGTTAGCAGATTAAAAATTAAATTTCAAAATATTGTTTTATAATTTTGATTTTTTTTCCAAAAATCTGGACGTTTCGGGTGAAAAGTCGATTCAGAGTTGTAAACTACATGTGTAGGACTATGTTATTTTATACAATTGAAAACCCATTTACTATGTACAATTTTGAAGTGACGTCATCGCATTAGTGGTGGGGATGATTAGACAAATTTTGGTTAGCGTTTTACCATCTACATGATATTCTTAATATAAGTACAAAATTTCACAACAATCGGTCGAGTACTTTCGGAGATTATCTGTCTAATAAAAATCCGGGACAACAGACGGACAGACGGACAGACGGACAGACGGACGGACAGACGGACGGACAGACAGACGGAAATGTGAGACCTATTTCTTCGTCTTCTAGGGGTCATGAAAGATCGAGAAAACGTAAAAGTAGAGAGTCGGCCGACGGACTCGATTACAATACTTCCTTTGCTTACGCTCGGGAAGTAAAAATCAAAATAACGAAAAATTGAGGAATTAAATATTGAAAAAGCCCGATAGTGAAATATCGAAAATTTGAAAAATCGAGGAAAAATTTAAGAATCGAAAAATTGAAAAATCTTAAAACCGATACAAGCGACAAATGACAAATCGAGATATCTAAAAGGCAAAAATCGTGGTTGAAAAAGCGAAAATTAAAAAAAATCAAAACTGAAAAATCAAAAACCTGTAAAATTGAAAAATCAAAAACTTGAAAAATTGAGAAATCGAAAAATCAAAAAATCGATTAATCGAGAAATCGAAAATTTAGAAGCGTCAGAATTTAAAAAAACAAAAAATTTAAAAATGGAAATATTAAATCGAAAAGTCGAAAAATTGTAGGCAAAAAATCAGCCAAAGATGGTAAATTCTTGTAGGCAAATATGGATCTTGCAATTAAGCCCCGCCCCTCAATCTGACAACGAATGAAAAATCCATCCCAATTGAGAATTGAGATCGGGGCGGGTATGGGTGGGGCCTAATCTTTAGCTTTATTATTTTCTTAATATACATCGTACTCTTTGAAGAACACGACAATCAAAAACATGTTTTTAATTTTTCGTCGAGAAATAAGGATTTTGCAGTTAAGCTCTGCCCTCTTGACTCACGATGAATAAAAAAAATCATCACAATTGCGATAGGGTGGGTGGGTGGGGCTCCATTTTCCTTTTTTTGTTAATACATATGTGCAGACTTACTTCGTTAACAAGAAACTTAAAATTATTGTAGTGATCAACGTTGTAATGTAACGATAAAAGTTAAAAAGGTAAAGATTTGTTTCTGATTACGCATAATTCTAGTAATTGTCTCTAACGAACATAACTAAGCACTCATAATTACACAAAATTAGTTCCCAGAAGCAACGAAGGCGCAATTTAAACCAAACAACATAATTAAGTAATAGAAAAGATTTATTTATTATACAAATTTCCAGTCTTACTAGTCTAGTTTTCCTCGCAATCCTCCTGCTTGATCTCGTTCTCGACGACATAAATCGCGTCGTTTTCTTGACTCGCGGTGTTCGAAATGGAGCTCGAGATGCTTATATTCTTACTGAACTTCTTGTTCGAGTACGTATTCAAATGCGTTTTGAAATGTTTGTGAATGTTTGACATAATCCAAAACCCGTTCTGGTTCCTGAAAATCTTGAGTTCTCGCAGACATATGCAGCACGTAACGAAGCACTGGTTGGGGTCCTCGTGCGATATGTCCACCTTCATCTTGTTTATTTCTTTACTCACATGTGCGGCTTCTTCGAACGTCAGATTCCTCGAACAGAAGTTACTAATCCAGTTCATAAGCAACGAATAAATGTTTTGCTTTTCGCTGTCGACGTCTCTGGGTTTCGTACTGGTTCGGGGATGCCCTTCGATCTGCACCTGCTCGGGAGTTTTTTTGGCGGGAGTGTCCGACGCGTCGGTCAGAACACGCTTCTTGTTCGAGAAGTTCTTGTAGAACTGCGACATTTCTTGAAGGAGTTTCTTGTGGCCGGAAAATATGCAAAAACCTTGAGGGTAGTTTTTGAAGTACCCTAAGTATTTTTCGTGGTCGGGTTTGTCGATAATGTAGGGGACTATCTCGCGGCCGATTCTTTCCAGTTCTGTGATGTCCTCGACTTCCAGCTTCGACAAAGAGATTTTGTTGTCGAAGCCGGCGAGTAAGAGGAGGTTTTTGACGTGCAGAGGGAGCTTGATGGATTTTTCGCGTTCGAAGAAGTCGAGGATGTTGTCTTCGGACATGGCCTAAAAATGACAAGTTTGACATTTTGACACGGAAAAACTAACCTGAAATAGAGCAGACAAACGTTTTGCTTCGATTAGTCACACACTTATGCGAAGAATGGCGGCTAGGAGGCGACCGACGTGCTGTTATTCAGATGTCGATGTCGTGACTGTTCGTTACTCGATAACAATGTAGGTAGATTGGGTGTAGTTTCGTTACAATTATGCGTAATTAAAGGTAATTGTTCGGATTTGTAATTTGCGTAATTTATAGTAATGATGGGTAATTATTTGTATTTTTCGAGACGGTCGATGCGTGCACGCCCACGTCGCCGACGCGCACTTCTAATCTAGAAGGAGAGGATCAATATACGCTGTCAAGGTCAACGCTGACTAACAGGATAATTATGGTTGTAATTATCTGGAATTAACTGGATGTTTATTACTTCCCGAGCGTAAGCAAAGGAAGTATTGTAATCGAGTCCGTCGGCCGACTCTCTACTTTTACGTTTTCTCGATCTTTCATGACTCCTAGAATACGAAGAAAAAGGTCTCCCATTTCCGTCTGTCTGTCCGTCTGTCCATCTGTCCGTCTGTCCGTCTGCCGTCCCGGATTTTTATTAAACAGATAATCTCCGAAAGTACTCGACCGATTGTTGTGAAATTTTGTACTTTTATTAAGAATATCATGTAGATGGTAAAACGCTAACCAAAATTTGTCTAATCATCCCCACCACTAATGCGATGACGTCACTTCAAAATTGTACATAGTAAATGGGTTTTCAATTGTATAAAATAACATAGTCCTACACATGTAGTTTACAACTCTGAATCGACTTTTCACCCGAAACGTCCAGATTTTTGGAAAAAAAATCAAAATTATAAAACAACATTTTGATATTTAATTTTTAATCTGTTAACCAGAATGCTTTGAAATGTTGCAGATGTTTTAAGGCTATAAAGAGCATCATAAATCTTTAGTCAAAAAACATTTGCTTATCCCCTCCAAAAACTTGATGACGTCAGCTCAAAAGTTTGTGGAATAAATCATATCTAAAATGTACAAAATATGATGAGTCTGTACTTGTGATCTATCACTCCATTCATATTTTTTGGATTTGCATATACAGGGTGATTCAAAAAAATTAATGAAAGCGTAAATTTATTTTACTGATTTACAAAGAAACTACAAAACCGAATGCTTTGAAATCTTGCAGATGTTTTAAGGTTATAAAGAGCATAATAAATGTTTAGTCAAAATATATTTGCTTATCCCCTCCAAAAAATTTATGACGTCAGCTCAAAAGTTTGCCGAATAAATCGTATCTAAAATGTACAAAATATGATGAGTCTGTACTTGTGATTTATCATTCCATTCATATTTTTGGATTTGCATATGCAGGGTGACTCAAAAAAATTAATGAATGCGTCAATTTATTTTATCGATTTAATCAGGAATTACAAAACCGAATGCTTTGAAATCTTGGAGATATTTTAAAGTTATTATAAGCATGGTAAACTTTTGTTCAAAATGTATTTGTTCATCCCTCCTAAAAAAATTGTTGACGTCACTCTTAAATTTTGCTGAATAAATCCTATCTAAAATGCAAAAAATATGATGAGTTTGTACTTGTGATTTATCATTCCATTCATATTTTTACTTCCCGAGCGTAAGCAAAGGAAGGATTGTAATCGAGTCCGTCGGCCGACTCTCTACTTTTACGTTTTCTCGATCTTTCATGACCCCTAGAAGACGAAGAAATAGGTCTCCCATTTCCGTCTGTCTGTCCGTCTGTCCGTCCGTCTGTCTGTCCGTCTGCCGTCCCGGATTTTTATTAGACAGATAATCTCCGAAAGTACTCGACCGATTGTTGTGAAATTTTGTACTTATATTAAGAATATCATGTAGATGGTAAAACGCTAACCAAAATTTGTCTAATCATCCCCACCACTAATGCGATGACGTCACTTCAAAATTGTACATAGTAAATGGGTTTTCAATTGTATAAAATAACATAGTCCTACACATGTAGTTTACAACTCTGAATCGACTTCTCACCCGAAACGTCCAGATTTTTGGAAAAAAAAATCAAAATTATAAAACAACATTTTGAAATTTAATTTTTAATCTGCTAACCAGAATGTTTTGAAATGTTGCAGATGTTTTACGGCTATAAAGAGCATCATAAATCTTTAGTCAAAAAATATTTGCTTATCCCCTCCAAAAACTTGATGACGTCAGCTCAAAAGTTTGTGGAATAAGTCATATCTAAAATGTACAAAATATGATGAGTCTGTACTTGTGATCTATCACTCCATTCATATTTTTTGGATTTGCTTGTACAGGGTGACTCAAAAAAATTAATGAATGCGTAAATTTATTTTAATGATTTACTCAGAAACTACAAAACCGAATGCTTTGAAATCTTGCAGATGTTTTAAGGTTATAAAGAGCATAATAAATGTTTAGTCAAAATATATTTGCTTATCCCCTCCAAAAAATTGATGACGTCAGCTCGAAAGTTTGCCGAATAAATCCTATCCAAACTGTAAAAATATGATGAGTCTGTACTTGTAATTTATCACTCCATTCATATTTTTTGGATTTGCATATACAGAGTGACTCAAAAAAATTAATGAATGCGTAAATATATTTTATTGATTTAATCAGGAACTACAAAACCGAATGTTCTGAAATCTTGCAGATGTTTTAAGGCCATAAAGAGCATAATAAATGTTTAGTCAAAATATATTTGCTTATCCCCTCCAAAAACTTGATGACGTCAGCTCGAAAGTTTGCCGAATAAATCATATCTAAAATGTACAAAATATGATGAGTCTGTACTTGTCATTTATCACTCCATTCATATTTTTTGGATTTGCATATACAGAGTGACTCAAAAAAATTAATGAATGCGTAAATATATTTTATTGATGTAATCAGGAACTACAAAACGGAATGCTCTGACATCTTGCAGATGTTTTAAGGTTATAAAGAGCATAATAAATGTTTAGTCAAAATATATTTGCTTATCCCCTCCAAAAACTTGATGACGTCAGCTCGAAAATTTGCCGAATAAATCATATCTAAAATGTACAAAATATGATCAGTCTGTACTTGTGATCTATCACTCTATTCATATTTTTTGGATTTGCATATACAGGGTGATTCAAGAAAATAAATGAAAGCGTAAATTTATTTTACTGATTTACTCAGGAACTACAAAACCGAATGCTTCGAAATCTTGAAGATATTTTAAAATTATCATAAGCATGGTAAATTTTTGATCAAAATGTATTTGGTCGTCCCCCCTAAAAAATTTATGACGTCACCACAAAATTTTGCTGAATAAATCCTATCTAAAATGTACAAAATATGGTGAGTCTCTTCTTGTGATTTATCATTCCATTCAAATTTTTTCGATTTGCATATACAGGGTGACTCAAAAAAATTAATGAATGCGTAAATTTATTTTATTGATTTAATCAGGAACTACAAAACCGAATGCTTTGAAATCTTGCAGATGTTTTAAGGTTATAAAGAGCATAATAAAGTTTTAGGCAAAATATATTTGGTTATCTTCTACAAAAAACTGATGACGTCAGCTCAAAAGTTTGCCGAATAAATCGTATCTAAAATGTACAAAATATGATGAGTCTGTACTTGTGATTTATCATTCCATTCATATTTTTGGATTTGCATATGCAGGGTGACTCAAAAAAATTAATGAAGGCGTGGATTTATTTTATCGATTTAATCAGGAATTACAAAACCGAATGCTTTGAAATCTTGGGAATATTTTAAAGTTATTATAAGCATGGTAAACTTTTGTTCAAAATGTATTAGTTCATCCCTCCTAAAAAAATTGATGACGTCACCCTTAAATTTTGCTGAATAAATCCTATCTAAAATGCAAAAAATATGATGAGTTTGTACTTGTGATTTATCATTCCATTCATATTTTTTAGATTTTCTTAAGAGGTGGTTCAAATGAAGTCTATTTATTTTATTGATTAAATTAAAGGCAACACTTATTATTAGTATTACACCCCAACCAACCCAATTTGGTAGACACAAAATTTGTTAAAGGAAAAACTCGGTTGAAACATAAGGATAGCACGCTTATTTACATCGACTTTAACATTACAGACCTGCATTTGTTTTATGCGCTCACTTGGTTCCGCGAATGTGAAATAGACATGTTTATAATCAACCAATTGTGAATTTCACCGTCAAGAATTAAAATAAAACCCAATGTTTTATATAATAAGCGGAAGTCGAAGCAATAAAACCGATGGTCGTTTTGTTTACAGTTTCTCTGTTTGACTCTCACGTATGCTGTTACGCTTGTCATCTTAAATTAAGAATGTTTATACATAAACGATTTTCAGTTGCCTCTCATATTACACACCGGCGCCGTATACATGAGTAAATTGTTTCGTTATTTTATTGATTATAAGAAATCAATATTCAAAACGACCCAAATCATTTTCCCGAAAATTTGGGAATACAATAATTTTATTCTTAGTATTACACTACATCTATCCCAACTGATATACGTGTCCTTGCAAAAATGTTGATGACGTCATCGCAATTTTTTTTTAAATTCCCACTACAAAAATGTAATGAGAAAAAAACACAATAGGCATGCAGTCGTCAAGTTTCCGACAGCGAGGGAAGTACTGTCTAAACTCTTTAGACCAATTTTTTTATGGATGTTTTAGATTCTTGCGTCATTGTTTAGTAAAACTATCGAATTCGACATCAGAATTGTAAAGAAATTATTTTTTTCAGCAACGAGAGGCATGAACAACGATGCCCCGCCCCCGTACGTCCCTCCCGACACGCAGTGGTACGCCGCCCCGCCCCCAGCGTACGCCCCGCCCCCGGAAGGCTACTACGGCTGGGCGCCGCCGAGGCACGCTTTCCCCGACAACCCCCCGACCGACGGCGTGTACATGACCCAGGCTCCGCCCCCGTACCCAGGTATAAACCCCGCCTACCAACCGGGCGGTTACCCGCAGCAGGGCGGGCATCCGCAGCACGGGGGTTTCCCGCCCCAGAGAGGCTATCCTCCGCAGGGGGGCTACCCGCCGCAAGGGGGCTATCCGACGCAGCCAGGCTATCCGCCGCAACCGGGGTATCCGGCGCAAGGGGGCGCCTCCGGGTTTACGTCAGCAGCAGGTAATTATCCGTCTTGTGACAGGAGGCGCGGGAATCGGTTTGCGGACTATTCGGGTTACGGGGGAAGGGGGAGAGGAAACCAGCAATGTACTATCCAGTAGATGAATAAAAGTGGCATCTCAAATGTTCTTTTTGTTGTGTTTTAAGATGCTAAGGCGGCCGAGGCGGCTCAGTCGGCTTACTATGATCCGAATAGGCCACAGATGGCGTTCGTACCACCACCGGCCTACTATGTAAGTATGCCATGTCGTGTTTGTGTAAACATGCTGAACAATCACTCGGTAGTTGTAAAATTTTGTTTGTTTTGCAGGAAAATCCCCCAAGTTACAGCCAAGCCACCAAAAAAGACCAGTGATTTTCTGGAAAATGATGCGCGTCGTGAATAAATTTGTCTTTATTACTCTGACCGTAATTGTGTATTATTTTAATTATTTTCTGTTAAAGTTATGTATATTGTTGTTTGAATAATTTTATCATTCCGTTGAATAGGTTAAACCTGAGCACGGTCACGCAGGTGCGCAGGGCTTTAGATTTAGTTACTAAAGTTTAAACATCGTTGAACTCACAAATAATAATTGCATGCTTATTCCAGCAGCGTTGTTGTGTAATAAATATTTTAAAAGGTTTTGCACCCGCTTAACGAATTATGTATAAATAGTTAAGAATTATTGTAATATATTCTTATAATGTATAGATAGATCTGTATTCTCAGTTCAAAATAAAGATCTTATGTGGACTTTTTGTTGGGTTTTTATTGAAGTGATAATTTTTTACCATCTTCGCCATTTCCGACAAATCTACCATGGTTGTTACAGTGTTTTGGATGCCTTCTTGTAATTCTCGACACATGGCTAGCTGATTTCACAGTTTCGATTTTCAGGGACCGTACCGGTTATTTCCGTGAGCATTTTGTGTGTCGCTGGGATGTTTCTGTTTTGTTGTTTCTGGTAAGTGTTTGAGCTTCTCAACCTCTTTTTGAGTCATTTTGTTCGATTGTGGTTTAATTCATAATTTTAGTCCTGTTTTGGGAAGATAAATTTATTCAAATCAAACTAACTTCTACGTGACATTCTTTCGATGTATAAACATAAATAAACACTTGAGCTTCAGATTGCTATTACCTAGTGCTGAAGGACAAGGTGTCTTACTTATGCCTCTGGTTTTTACTTTACAGCGGTAATGACAAAACGAAAACCGTAAAATCAAATTTTATTATGTTTTTAAAGAATGTATTTGTCGGAAATTAAGAACCTCATTTTTTAAATTTGCTTATACAGGGTCACAATTAAATAATAAGGATCACTCCATTTTCCCAGAAAATATGTATACATAGTATTTTTTAACAACACGATACCCAAGAACATGTTTTTTCTTTCTAATAGAAAAATAAGGATTTTACAATTAAGCTTTGCCCCTCGCGTTACGACGAATAAAAAAAATCATCAGAATTGAGATAGGGTGGGTGGGCGGGGCTTATATTTTGCCTTTTTTTTCTTAATATACAGAGCAATCTTTTCACGACAAGAAACTTAAAATACGGTTAAAATGGTACATTTTTGCAAGGACAAATGGATCTTGCAATGATGGGGCGGAGCCTAATTGTAAAATCGATGTTTCCTTATACAAATTTTCCATTTTAAACATGTCGTAAAAAGAAGTCTACATATATTAAAACAAAAAGGCAAAATGAAGGCCCGCCCACCCACCCCATCTCAATTGTGATGAATTTTTTTATTCTTATAAATTTAAAACACGTTTAGAATGGTTAATTTTTGTAAGGAAATATGGATTTTGCAATTAGGCTCCGCCCCTAGGTCTGCCAACGAATGAAAATTTCATTACTATTTAGATCAATGCAGGTATGGGTGGGGCTTAATCTTTGGCTGATTTTTTGCCTACAATTTTTCGATTTCTCAATTTTTAAAAAATTAAAAAAATTTTTCGATTTTTTAATTTGACACTTTTAAATTTTCCATTTCTCAATTTCGCGGATAAACGATTTTTTGATTTTTCGATTTTTCAATTTTTCAGGTTTTGATTTTTGAGTTTTATGATTTTTTTTAAATTATCGCTTTTTCAACCACGATTTTTCGCCTTTTTGGTAGTTCGATATTTCATTTGTCGCTTTCTCAATTTTCGATTGTATCGGTTTTAAGATTTTTCAATTTTTCGATTCTTAAATTTTTCCTCGATTTTTCAAATTTTCGATATTTCACTGTTGAGATTTTTCAATATTTAATTCCTCGAGTTTTCGTTATTTTGATTTTTGATTTATGTATTTTCCTGCTTTTTCGATTTTTCAATTCTACAATTCTTTCATGTTTTAATTATTCAATTTTTAAAATTATAGATTTTTGGATTTCTGGATTTTTCAGTTCTTCGATATTTCTATTTTTCAATTTTTCGATGTATAATTTTTCAATTTTTAGATTTTTCGACGAATTGATTTCTCGAGTTTTCCATTTTTCAATTGTTCAATTTTTCCGGTTTTTGATTTTTCAGTTTTACGATTTTTAAAAATTTTAGATTTTTCGATTTCTCAATTTTTTAATTTTTCGATTTTGCAGTTTTTAGATTTTTCAGTTTTTGGATTTTTCAAATGTTCCGCTTTCTGATTTCTCGATTTCTCAATTTTTGGATATTTAAGTTTTGGGTTTTTTCAATTTTTTCGTCGATTTTCAATTTTTCGATATTTCAGTGTTGCGATTTTTCAATTTTTTGAGTCTGCAAGTGTTCAATTACAAGATTTTTTCATTTTTCGATTTTCCAATTTTCCGATGTTTCAGTTTTACAATTTTTCAATTTTTCCATTCAATTTTTCAATTTTTGATTTCACGAGTTTTTGATTTCTCGATTTTTCGGTTTTTCAATTTTTTTAAATTTTCGGTTTTTCCACTATGATTTTTAATAACGATTTTACAATTAAATTCCGCTCCTTTGACTGTCGACGATTAAAATAAATCATCACAATTGAGATAGGGTGGGTGGGCGGGGTTATATTTTTCCATTCAATCTTTCAATTTTTGATTTTTCGACTATTTGATTTATGGACTTCTCGATTTTTCGATTTTTCAATTTTTCAGGTTTTTGATTTTTCAGTTTTATGATTTTTTTAAATTTTCGCATTTTCAACCACGATTTTTCGCCTTTTAGATATCTCGATTTTTCATTTGTCGCTTGTATTGGTTTTAAGATTTTTCAATTTTTCGATTCTTAAATTTCTCCTCGATTTTTCAAATTTTCAATATTTCACTGTTGGGATTTTTCAATATTTAATACCTCAGTTTTTCGTTATTTTGATTTTTGATATCTGTATTTTCTTGTTTTTTTCGATTTTTCAATTATAGATTTTTCAGTTTTTCGTTTTTATTGTTTCGATTTCCCATTTTTTCAATTTTTCAATTCTTCCATGTTTTAATTTTTGCAATTTTTAAAATTTTAGATTTTTGGATTTCGCGTTTTTTCAATTCTTCGATATTTCTATTTTTCAATTTTTCAATTTTTAGATTTTTCGACTCTTTGAATTGATTTCTCGAGTTTTCCATTTTTCAGTTTTTCAATTTTTCAGGTTTTTGATCTTTCAGTCTTATGATTTTTAAAAATTTCCGATTTTTCGACTACGATTTTTCGATGTTTCCGTGTTCAGATTTTTTAATTTACCAATTCAATTGTTCTTCAATTATTCAGTTTTTCTGTGTTTAAGTTTTGGGATTCTCCAATATTTAATTCTTCCATTTTTCGATTTCTCAATTTTTTAATTTTTCGATTTCGCAGTTTTTAGATTTTTCAGTTTTTGGATTTTTCAAGTTTTCAAATTTTTCGCTCTCCGATTTCTCGATTTCTCAATTTTTGGATACTTAAGTTTTTAAGTTTTTCCAGTTTTTTCGTTCGATTTTTCGATATTTCAGTCTTGCGATTTTTCAATTTTTTGATTCTGCAAGTGTTTAATTTCGTGATTTTTTCATTGTTCGATTTTCCAATTTTCGATGTTTCAGTTTTACAATTTATCAATTTTTCCATTTAATCTTTCAATTTTTCAATTTTTGATTTCACGACTTTTTGATTTCTCGACTTCTGGATTTTTCGATTTTTCGATTTTTCAGTTTTATGATTTTTTAAATTTTCCGTTTTTCCACTACGATTTTTAATAACGATTTTACAATTAAATTCCGCCCCTTTGACTCTCAACGATTTTTCGACTTTTCGATTTTTTAATTTCTGACGCTTCCAAATTTTGGATTTCTCGATTAATCAATATTTTGATTTTTCGATTTTTCAATTTTTCAAGTTTTTGATTTTTCAATTTTACAGGTTTTTGATTTTTCAGTTTTGATTTTTTTTATTTTTGATTGGGATTTTTCAAATTTTCGATTTTTCACTGTTGGGATTTTTCAATATTTAATTCCTCAATTTTTCGTTATTTTGATTTTTGATATCTGTATTTTCTTGCTTTTTCGATTTTTCAATTTTTCGTTTTTATTGTTTCGATTTCCCATTTTTCAATTTTTCAATTCTTTCATGTTTTAATTTTTCAATTTTTATAATTTTAGATTTTTGGATTTCTCGATTTTTTAGTTCTTCTATATTTCTCTTTTTCAATTTTTCAATTTTTAGATTTTTCCACTCTTCGAGTTGATTTCTCGAGTTTTCCATTTTTCAGTTTTTCAATTTTTCGAGTCTTTGATTTTTCAGTTTTATGATTTTTAAAAATTTTCGATTTTTCGATATTTCGGTTTTGAAATTTTTTAATTATTCAGTTCAATTATTCAGTTTTTCTGTATTTCAGTTTTGGGATTCTCCAATATTTAATTCTTCCATTTTTCGATTTCTCAATTTCTTAAATTTTCGATTTTGCAGTTTTGGGATTTTTCAAGTTTTCAAATTTTTCGATTTCTCCATTTCTCAATTTTTAGATATTTAAGTTTTGGGTTTTTTCAGTTTTTTCTTCGATTTTCAATTTTTCGATATTTCAGTCTTGCGATTTTTCAATTTTTTGATTCTGTAAGTGTTCAATTTCGCGATTTTTTCATTTTTCGATTTTCCAATTTTACGGTGTTTCAGTTTTACAATTTTTCAATTTTTCCATTCAATCTTTTAATGTTTCAATTTTTGATTTCACGACTTTTTGATTTCTTTTTATTCGCTGTTAAGCAAGGGGGCAGAACTTAACTTAACAAAAAATTAAAAACATGTCTTTCAGAATCGTCTTGTTCCAAGAATACTCTGTATATTAAGAAAAAAAGGCAAAATATAAACCCCGCCCACCCACCCCGTCTCAATTGTGATGATCTTTTTCATTCTTATAAACTCAAAACACGTTTAGAATGGTAAATTTGTAGAGAAATAGGAAATTTGCAGTTAAGCTCCGCCCCCTTGGCTCACGACGAATAAAAAAAAATCATCAGAATTGAGATAGGGTGGGTGGGCGGGGTTACAATTTACCTTTTTTTTTTTCTTAATACGTATTTAACTCGTAAATTTGAATTACTAAGAAATAAATTGTAAGATGTGTATACAATGGCACAGGGCCCCACTTAGTAAATTTCCCGGTAGACCCCCATGTCCTCAATCCGACACTGACCTCTTGTACACAAATCTTCCAGCATCCAAAAAAAACGGAACGAATCTCTGAAGCTTGGAGCCGCACCTCCAAGAAAATTCCTCACCTTCTCAAACAACTCGTTAAATAGGTTAATGACTTTCCGGCATTACGATCAAGATAAAAATAGTACCATCAACACCACGTTACCCAAACTTGAGAAACTCGAAACTGATTTGTCGGACTCTGATGATACGTTTCGCAAGTAACGAAACGAGGTATCGATTGGAAAAGAGCGCTAAATTGGTTGTTTCAGCTTCGAATCTTCGTGCCTGAGGATCGGTGACGAGCTAGACGAAGATGCTAAGTCTTGTGTGAGCTGCGACTCCGGATTTACCTTCTATTCTGTAAGTGTTGCGGAAATTTCGACGACGTTTCTAGTGTTAAAATTTTTAGACTTATCCGCATGTTGCTCGTTCTGGGTCCAACACTTCCGATGGGACGTTCAAGAGCGCCAGGAATTCTCTGATTAAAATTTCTTCAAGTACCAACACCGTTGTTGTTGTTTAAAATCCAATAAATGTTTAATTGTTCATATTTTATTTTTTAAATACATTGCATTGGTTATTATATACATCTACTATGGACAAATAATATATTAAATAAAATACATTTTTGGCGCTCCGCGAGCTTCGTAAGTTCCCGCAGCGCCAGACCTCTAACACAAAAATTGTACAAAACCAATTTCCTATTTCACCGGAAACAAATCTATTTTGGCAAATAACAAGTTATGTTTGTACAGCTTAAATCACAATCTTTCAAGTATTTGCGAATAACACACATTTTCCACTAAACGTAACCTCGTACAAAATAATCACTCTACGAAACAATTATGGCAAAGTTCCCTTAGATTAGACTTGTCTATAATTTGTTAGAAAAATAAATAACGGAAAGCGAAACCACCAAAACTTGATTGAATCTTAAAAAATACGACAACACCACAGATCTAACCAAATATCAACGTTCTTAAGCACCTCCTTGCTGAAAGTAGAGAACCACTTAAAGCTTATCTACAACAACAAATCAACAATGTGTACAATCAACTACCCGTACTTTCACCAAGAAGTGCGCAGATCTCGTAGTTATATCTGATTAATGATTTTGATTAAAAACTCGAGAAAGAAATAGAAGAAAATCAAAAGTATGGCCGTGAATCAGGAAATCATCGCCCTTTAAAATTTTAGATTTTTGGATTTCTCGATTTTTCAGTTCTTCGATTTTTCAATTTTCGATTTTTATTAATTTTTCACTTTTTAGATTTTTCTACTCTTGGAGTTGATTTCTCGAGTTTTCCATTTTTCAGGTTTTTGATTTTTCAGTTTTATGACTTTTAAAAATTTCCCATTTTTCGATTTCTCAATTTTTCGCTTTTGAGATTTTTTAATTTTTCAATTCAATTTTTCTTCAATTATTCAGTTTTTCTGTATTTCAGTTTTGGGATTCTACAATATTTAATTCTTCCATTTTTCGATTTCTCAATTTTTTAATTTTTCGATATTTCAGTGTTGCCATTTTTCAATTTTTTGATTCTGCAAGTGTTAATTTCGCGATTTTTTCATTTTTCGATTTTCCAATTTTCCGATGTTTCAGTTTTACAATGTTTCCGTTCCATCTTTCAATTTTTGATTTCACGACCTTTTAATTTCTCGACTTCTCGATTTTTCGATTTTTCAATTTTTCAGGTTTTGATTTTTCAGTTTTATGATTTTTTTCAATTTTCGCTTTTTCAACCACGATTTTTCGCTTTTTTGGTATCTCGATTTTTCATTTGTCGCTTTCTCAATTTTCGATTGTATGGGTTTTAAGATTTTTCAGTTTTTCGATTCTTAATTTTTTCCTCGATTTTTAAAATTTTCGATATTTCACTGTTGGGATTTTTCAATATTTAATTCCTCAATTTTTCGTTATTATATTTTTTGATATATGTATGTATTTTCTTGCTTTTTAGATTTTTCAGTTTTTCGTTTTTATTGTTTCGATTTCCCATTTTTCAATTCTTCAATTCTTTAATTCGTTTATGTTTTAATTTTTCAATTTTTAAAATTTTAGATTTTTGGATTTCTCGATTTTTCAGTTCTTCGATTTTTCAATTTTTTGATTTTTCGACTCTTGGAGTTGATTTCTCGAGTTTTCCATTTTTCAGGTTTTTGATTTTTCAGTTTTATGACTTTTAAAAATTTCCGATTTTTCGATTTCTCAATTTTTCGCTTTTGAGATTTTTTAATTTTTCAGTTCAATTTTTCTTCAATTATTCAGTTTTTCTGTATTTCAGTTTTGGGATTCTACAATATTTAATTCTTCCATTTTTCGATTTCTCAATTTTTTAATTTTTCGATATTTCAGTGTTGCCATTTTTCAATTTTTGATTCTGCAAGTGTTCAATTTCGCTATTTTTTCATTTTTCAATTTTCCAATTTTCCGATGTTTCAGTTTTACAATTTTTCCATTCAATGTTTCAATTTTTGATTTCACGACCTTTTAATTTCTCGACTTCTCGATTTTTCGATTTTTCAATTTTTCAGTTTTGATTTTTTTCAATTTTCGCTTTTTCAACCACGATTTTTCGCCTTTTTGGTATCTCGATTTTTCATTTGTCGCTTTCTCAATTTTCGATTGTATGGGTTTTAAGATTTTTCAGTTTTTCGATTCTTAAATTTTTCCTCGATTTTTAAAATTTTCGATATTTCACTGTTGGGATTTTTCAATATTTAATTCCTCAATTTTTCGTTATTTTGATTTTTGATAGATGTATGTATTTTCTTGCTTTTTAAATTTTTCAGTTTTTGTTTTTATTGTTTCGATTTCCCATTTTTCAATTCTTCAATTCTTTAATTCGTTTATGTTTTAATTTTTCAATTTTTAAAATTTTAGATTTTTGGATTTCTCGATTTTTAAGTTCTTCGATTTTTCAATTTTCGATTTTTATTAATGTTTCAATTTTTAGATTTTTCGACTTTTCGAGTTGATTTCTCGAGTTTTCCATTTTTTAGTTTTTCAATTTTTCAGGTTTTTGATTTTTCAGTTGATTTTTAAAAATTTTCGATTTTTCGACTACGATTTTTCGATTTCTGAATTTTTCGATGTTTCGATTTTGAGATTTTTAAATTTTTCAATTCAATTTTTCTTCAATTATTCAGTTTTTCTGTATTTCAGTTTTGGGATTCTCCAATATTTAATTCTTCCACTTTTCGATTTCTCAATGTTTTAATTTTTCAATTTTGCAGTTTTTAGATTTTTCAGTTTTTGGATTTTTCAAGTTTTCAAATTTTCCGATTTCTCGATTTCTCAATTTTTGGATATTTAAGTGTTGGGTTTTTTCAGTTTTTTCGTCAATTTTCAATTTTTCAATACTTCAGTGTTGCGATTTTTCAATTTTTTGATTCTGCAAGTGTTCAGTTTCGCGATTTTTTCATTTTTTGATTTTCCAATTTTCCGATGTTTCAGTTTTACAATTTTTCCATTCAATCTTGATTTTTGATATCTGTATTTTCTTGCTTTTTCGATTTTTCAATTTTTACATTTTTCAGTTTTTCGTTTTTATTGTTTCGATTTCTCATTTTTTTAATTTTTCAATTCCTTCATGTTTTAATTTTTCAATTTTTAAAATTTTAGATTTTTGGATTTCTCGATTTTTCAATTCTTTGATATTTCTTTTTTTCAATTTTTCGATTTTCAATTTTTCAATTTTTAAATTTTTCGACTGTTCGAGTTGACTTCTCGAGTTTTTCATTTTTCAGTTTTTCAATTTTTCAGGTTTTTGATTTTTCAGTTTCGATTTCTGAATTTTTCGATGTTTCGGTTTTGAGATTTTTAAATTTTTCAATTTAATTTTTCTTCAATTATTTAGTTTTTCTGTATTTCAGTTTTGGGATTCTCCAATATTTAATTCTTCCACTTTTCGGTTTCTCAATTTTTTAATTTTTCGATTTTGCAGTTTTTAGATTTTTCAGTTTTAGGATTTTTCAAATTTTCAAATTTTCCGCCTTCCGATTTCTCGATTTCTCAATTTTTGGATATTTAAGTCTTGGGTTTTTTCAGTTTTTCCGTCGATTTTCAATTTTTCGATATTTCAGTGTTGCCATTTTTCGATTCTTTAATTCTGCAAGTGTTCAATTTCGCGATTTTTTCATTTTTCAATTTTCCAATTTTCCGGTGTTTAAGTTTTACAATTTTTTAATTTTTCCATTCAATCTTTCAATTTTTGTTTTCTCGATTTTTCGATTTTTCAATTTTTCAGGTTTTTGATTTTTCAGTTTTATGAGTTTTTAAATTTTCGGTTTTTCCACTACGATTTTAATAACGATTTTACAATTAAATTCCGCTCCTTTGACTCTCGGGGTTATATTTTGCTCTTTTTCATAATATACGTAGTCGCCCTTTCAGAACAAGAAACTTAATCAATAGTAAATTCTTCTAAAGTAGACAAATATAAATCTTGCACTTAAGCCCCGCCCGTCGACTGACAACGAATGAAAAATTCATTACGATTGAGACAGGGCGGATGGGCGGGGCTTATAGTTTGCCTTTTTTTTAAATATACATAGCCATCTTTTCACAACAAAAACTTAAAACATGGTTAAAATGGTACATTTCTGCAAGGAAATATGAATCTTGCAATTATGGGGCGGAGCTTAATTGAAAAATTGATATTTCTTTATACAAATTTTCCATTTTAAACATGTTTTAAGTTTCTTGTTGTAGAAAGAAGTCTACACATATTAAAACAAAAAGGCAAAATATAAGCCCGCCCACCCACCCTGTCTCAATTGTGATGATTTTTTTTTCGGTGTCAACCAAGAGGGCAAAACTTAACTGCAAAAGACTTATTTCTTTACAAAAAATTAGAAACATGTCTTTGAGAATGGTCTTATTCAAAGAATACTCTGTATATTAAGAAAAAAAGGCAAAATATGAACACAGTTGAGATGGGGTGGGTGGGCGGGGCTACAATTTACCTTGTTTTTCTTAATATGTGTAGACTTATTTAATTAGTACATTTGAGTTACTAAGCAATAAATTGTAAGATCTGTATACAATGGCACAGGGCCCCACTTAATAAATTTCCCGGTGGACCCCATGTCTTCAATCCGCCACTGACCTCTTGTATACGAAATCTTCCAGCATCCAAAAAAGACGGAACGAATCACTGAAGCTTGAAGCCGCACCTCGAAGAAAGTTCTTCACCTTCTCAAACAACTCGTTAAATAGGTTAATGGCTTTCCGGCATTACGATCAAGATAAAAATAGTACCATCAACACCACGTTACCCAAACTTGAGAAACTCGAAACTGATTTGTCGGACTCTGATGATACGTTTCGCAAGTAACGAAACGAGGTATCGATTGGAAAGAGCGCTAAATTGGTTGTTTCAGCTTCGAGTCTTCGTGCCTGAGGATCGGTGACGAGCTAGACGAAGATGCTAAGTCTTGTGTGAGCTGCGACTCCGGATTTACCTTCTATTCTGTAAGTGTTGCGGAAATTTCGACGACGTTTCTAGTGTTAAAATTTTCAGACTTATCCGCATGTTGCTCGTTCTGGGTCCAACACTTCCGATGGTACGTTCAAGAGCGCCAGGAATTCTCTGATTAAAATTTCTTCAAGTACCAACACCATTGTTGTTGTTTAAAATCCAATAAATGTTTAATTGTTCATATTTTATTTTTTAAATACATTGCATCGGTTATTATATACATCTACTATGGACAAATAATATATTAAATAAAATACATTTTTTCCAATAAGTTTGGCGCTCCGCGAGCTTCGTAAGTTCCCGCAGCGCCAGACCTCTAACACAAAAATTGTACAAAACCAATTTCCTATTTCACCGGAAACAAATCTATTTTGGCAAATAACAAGTTATGTTTGTACAGCTTAAATCACAATCTTTCAAGTATTTGCGAATAACACACATTTTCCACTAAACGTAACCTCGTACAAAATAATCACTCTACGAAACAATTATGGCAAAGTTCCCTTAGATTAGACTTGTCTATAATTTGTTAGAAAAATAAATAACGGAAAGCGAAACCACCAAAACTTGATTGAATCTTAAAAAATACGACAACACCACAGATCTAACCAAATATCAACGTTCTTAAGCACCTCCTTGCTGAAAGTAGAGAATCACTTAAAGCTTATCTACAACAACAAATCAACAATGTGTACAATCAACTACCCGTACTTTCACCAAGAAGTGCGCAGATCTCGTAGTTATATCTGATTAATGATTTTGATTAAAAACTCGAGAAAAAAAATAGAAGAAAATCAAAAGTATGGCCGTGAATCAGGAAATCATCGCCCTTTAAAATTTTAGATTTTTGGATTTCTCGATTTTTCAGTTCTTCGATTTTTCAATTTTCGATTTTTATTAATTTTTCAATTTTTAGATTTTTCTACTCTTGGAGTTGATTTCTCGAGTTTTCCATTTTTCAGGTTTTTGATTTTTCAGTTTTATGACTTTTAAAAATTTCCGATTTTTCGATTTCTCAATTTTTCGCTTTTGAGATTTTTTAATTTTTCAATTCAATTTTTCTTCAATTATTCAGTTTTTCTGTATTTCAGTTTTGGGATTCTACAATATTTAATTCTTCCATTTTTCGATTTCTCAATTTTTTAATTTTTCGATATTTCAGTGTTGCCATTTTTCAATTTTTTGATTCTGCAAGTGTTCAATTTCGCGATTTTTTCATTTTTCGATTTTCCAATTTTTCGATGTTTCAGTTTTACAATTTTTCCATTCAATGTTTCAATTTTTGATTTCACGACTTCTCGATTTTTCGATTTTTCAATTTTTCAGGTTTTGATTTTTCAGTTTTGATTTTTTTCAATTTTCGCTTTTTCAACCACGATTTTTCGCCTTTTTGGTATCTCGATTTTTCATTTGTCGCTTTCTCAATTTTCGATTGTATGGCTTTTAAGATTTTTCAGTTTTTCGATTCTTAATTTTTTCCTCGATTTTTAAAATTTTCGATATTTCACTGTTGGGATTTTTCAATATTTAATTCCTCAATTTTTCGTTATTTTGATTTTTGATAGATGTATGTATTTTCTTGCTTTTTAGATTTTTCAGTTTTTGTTTTTATTGTTTCGATTTCCCATTTTTCAATTCTTCAATTCTTTAATTCGTTTATGTTTTAATTTTTCAATTTTTAAAATTTTAGATTTTTGGATTTCTCGATTTTTCAGTTCTTCGATATTTCTATTTTTCTATTTTTTATTTTTTCAATTTTTCGATTTTTCGACTCTTCGAGTTGATTTCTCGAGTTTTCAATTTTTCAGGTTTGATTTTTCAGTTTTATGATTTTTAAAAATGTTCAATTTTTCGATTTCTGAATTTTTCGATGTTTCGGTTTTGAGATTTTTAAATTTTTCAATTCAATTTTTCTTCAATTATTCAGTTTTTCTGTATTTCAATTTTGGGATTCTCCAATATTTAATTCTTCCACTTTTCGATTTCTCAATTTTTTAATTTTTCGATTTTGCAGTTTTTAGATTTTTCAGTTTTTGGATTTTTCAAGTTTTCAAATTTTCCGATTTCTCGATTTCTCAATTTTTGGATATTTAAGTTTTGGGTTTTTTCAGTTTTTTCGTCAATTTTCAATTTTTCGATACTTCAGTGTTGCGATTTTTCAATTTTTTGATTCTGCAAGTGTTCAATTTCGCGATTTTTTCATTTTTTGATTTTCCAATTTTCCGATGTTTCAGTTTTACAATTTTTCCATTCAATCTTGATTTTTGATATCTGTATTTTCTTGCTTTTTCGATTTTTCAATTTTTCGTTTTTATTGTTTCGATTTCTCATTTTTTTAATTTTTCAATTCCTTCATGTTTTAATTTTTCAATTTTTAAAATTTTAGATTTTTGGATTTCTCGATTTTTCAATTCTTTGATATTTCTTTTTTTCAATTTTTCGATTTTCAATTTTTCAATTTTTAAATTTTTCGACTGTTCGAGTTGACTTCTCGAGTTTTTCATTTTTCAGTTTTTCAATTTTTCAGGTTTTTGATTTTTCAGTTTCGATTTCTGAATTTTTCGATGTTTCGGTTTTGAGATTTTTAAATTTTTCAATTTAATTTCTCTTCAATTATTTAGTTTTTCTGTATTTCAGTTTTGGGATTCTCCAATATTTAATTCTTCCACTTTTCGGTTTCTCAATTTTTTAATTTTTCGATTTTGCAGTTTTTAGATTTTTCAGTTTTTGGATTTTTCAAATTTTCAAATTTTCCGCCTTCCGATTTCTCGATTTCTCAATTTTTGGATATTTAAGTCTTGGGTTTTTTCAGTTTTTCCGTCGATTTTCAATTTTTCGATATTTCAGTGTTGCCATTTTTCGATTTTTTAATTCTGCAAGTGTTCAATTTCGCGATTTTTTCATTTTTCAATTTTCCAATTTTCCGGTGTTTAAGTTTTACAATTTTTTAATTTTTCCATTCAATCTTTCAATTTTTGTTTTCTCGATTTTTCAATTTTTCAGGTTTTTGATTTTTCAGTTTTATGATTTTTTAAATTTTCGGTTTTTCGACTACGATTTTAATAACGATTTTACAATTAAATTCCGCTCCTTTGACTCTCGGGGTTATATTTTGCTCTTTTTCATAATATACGTAGTCGCCCTTTCAGAACAAGAAACTTAATCAATTGTAAATTCTTCTAAAGTAGACAAATATAAATCTTGCACTTAAGCCCCGCCCCTCGATCTGACAACGAATGAAAAATTCATTACGATTGAGACAGGGCGGGTGGGCGGGGCTTATAGTTTGCCTTTTTTTTAAATATACATAGCCATCTTTTCACAACAAAAACTTAAATCATGGTTAAAATGGTACATTTTTGCAAGGAAATATGGATCTTGCAATTATGGGGTGGAGCTTAATTGCAAAATCGATATTTCCTTATACAAATTTTCCAATTTAAACATGTTTTAAGTTTCGTGTTTGAAAGGAAGTCTACACATATTGAAACAAAAAGGCAAAATTTAATCCCGCCCACCCGCCCTGTCTCAATTGTAATGATTTTTTTTATTCGCTGTCAACCAAGAGGGCTGAATTTAACTGCAAAAGAATTATTTCTGTACAAGAAATTAAAAACATGTCTTTGAGAATCGTCTTGTTCACAGAATACTCTGTATATTAAGAAAAAAGGCATGTTTTTAATTTCTCGTAGAGAAATAGGAATTTTGCAGTTAAGCTCCGCCCCCTTGGCTTACGACGAATAAAAAAATCATCACAATTGAGATAGGGTGGGTGGGCGGGGCTACAATTTACCTTGTTTTTCTTAATATGTGTAGACTTATTTAAATGGTAAATTTGAGTTACTAAGAAATAGAATACAATGCCACAGGACCCCACTTAGTAAATTTCCCGATGGACCCCACGTCCTCAATCCGACACTGACCCCTTGTACACGAAATCTTCCAGCATCCAAAAAAGACGGAACGAATCACTGAAGCTTGAAGCCGCACCTCGAAGAAAGTTCTTCACCTTCTCAAACAATTCGTTAAATAGGTTAATGACTTTCCGGCATTACGATCAAGATAAAAATAGTACCATCAACACCACGTTACCCAAACTTGAGAAACTCGAAACTGATTTGTCGGACTCTGATGATACGTTTCGCAAGTAACGAAACGAGGTATCGATTGGAAAGAGCGCTAAATTGGTTGTTTCAGCTTCGAGTCTTCGTGCCTGAGGATCGGTGACGAGCTAGACGAAGATGCTAAGTCTTGTGTGAGCTGCGACTCCGGATTTACCTTCTATTCTGTAAGTGTTGCGGAAATTTCGACGACGTTTCTAGTGTTAAAATTTTTAGACTTATCCTCATGTTGCTCGTTCTGGGTCCAACACTTCCGATGGGACGTTCAAGAGCGCCAGGAATTCTCTGATTAAAATTTCTTCAAGTACCAACACCGTTGTTGTTGTTTAAAATCCAATAAATGTTTAATTGTTCATATTTTATTTTTTAAATACATTGCATCGGTTATTATATACATCTACTATGGACAAATAATATATTAAATAAAATACATTTTTTCCTATAAGTTTGGCGCTCCGCGAGCTTCGTAAGTTCCCGCAGCGCCAGACCTCTAACACAAAAATTGTACAAAACCAATTTCCTATTTCACCGGAAACAAATCTATTTTGGCAAATAACAAGTTATGTTTGTACAGCTTAAATCACAATCTTTCAAGTATTTGCGAATAACACACATTTTCCACTAAACGTAACCTCGTACAAAATAATCACTCTACGAAACAATTATGGCAAAGTTCCCTTAGATTAGACTTGTCTATAATTTGTTAGAAAAATAAATAACGGAAAGCGAAACCACCAAAACTTGATTGAATCTTAAAAAATACGACAACACCACAGATCTAACCAAATATCAACGTTCTTAAGCACCTCCTTGCTGAAAGTAGAGAATCACTTAAAGCTTATCTACAACAACAAATCAACAATGTGTACAATCAACTACCCGTACTTTCACCAAGAAGTGCGCAGATCTCGTAGTTATGTCTGATTAATGATTTTGATTAAAAACTCGAGAAAGAAATAGAAGAAAATCAAAAGTATGGCCGTGAATCAGGAAATCATCGCGCTTATCACCAGATACAGGATCATCAAGATCAGCGGCGCTATGTAGAAATACATTTTATCGTACGAACTGTTGCACACCCTATTGTATTGTTCTTTCAGACTCGACAGGTCGTTCTGCAGCTTCAGCTTGTCGTCGCTAATCTGCGAGTACCTCTCCTTCAGCAAAACCAACTCTTCTTCGAGACTAACTAATTGTTCGTAACTAACCGGACTACTTGATATGATCGACGTATTTACATTTTGGTCCTTTTTATTCGCTTCTTCCAGCTCCTTGACTAACGCGTTCACTCGGTCCCGCAGCTGCTGGCTCTCGTTGCACCCCTCCTTCCACTTCTGCTGCAAAATCGACAGCTCCTCCTTCATCAGCTGGTTCTCCTCGGCCTGAACGCTATTCGTTTGCCTCTCTTGACTGAGCGCCTTCTCCAATTCGGTCAACTTCGCCTTGTTCGACTCCAATATAGATTCGAGTATTTCGATTTTCTTTTTCAGCTCGTTCTGCGCCGACTGATATTTGTACTTTAAGGTTTTCGAGTCGACCGCGTCGCTGTCGAAATCGTCTTTCTCGTTCTCCGAGGAGGAGTCCTTATCGGGCGAGTCGGGGCCGTTCTGGGATTGGAGTTTAGTCTGGCAAAGAAATCACACTTTAACACGAAACACGATACAACGAAACCTGCACTTACTTCTTCTGGTAAGCTAAAAGTCACACGTTTTTCGACTTCTTTTTCGTCTTCGACGATTGTGTTTTGTTGGGTTAATGAATGGTTGAGGTGTTCGTTTTCGACAATTGCTTCCATATGAGGCTTCTCTTCACACTCTGTCTTATCAATCACGTCAGCAGTGACTGGTGCAACCTGGAAAAAAAAAACATTCCAAAGAGAGGTTCATGGAATGTCTTAGAAGTCTAGTACAAAGAAGTGATTTATAAACTCCGTTCCAAAAAATTTACCATTTTAGACATGTTTTCAGTTTCTTGTTGCTGAAATAAGTCTACACATTAAGAAAACAAGGTAAAATATAAACCCCGCCCACCCACCCTGTCTCGATTGTGATGATTTTTTTTATTCATCGTGAACCAAGAGGGCGGAGCTTAACTGCAAAATCTTTATTCCTCAACGATTAATTAAAAACATGTTTTTGAGTATCGTGTTGCTCAAAGAATATTATGTATATTAAGAAAAAAATAAAGCTGAAGATGACATTTTAAACGTGTTTTAAGTTTCTAGGAATAAAAAAATCATCACAATTGAGATGGGGTGGGTGGGCGGGGTTTATGTTTTGCTATATTTTCTTAATATACACAGTATTCTTTGAACAACACTATACTCAAAAACATGTTTTTTATTTTTTGTAAAGAAATTAGGATTTTGCAGTTCAGCCGCGCCCTCATGGCTCACTTGAATAAAAAAATCATCACAATCGAGATAGGGCGGGTGGGCGGGCTTATATTTTGTCTTTTTGTTTGAATACGTGTAGACTTCTTTTCAGAACATGAAAGTTAAAGCATGTTTAAAATGGAAAATTTGTATAAGGGATTACGATTTGGCAATTTGATTCCGCCCCGTAATTAAATCCATATTTCCTTGAAAAAATGTACCATTTTAACCATGTTTCAAGTTTTTTGTTGTGAAAAATGTCTATGTATATTAAGAAAAACAAGACAAAATATAAGCCCCGCCCACCCACCCTGTCTCAATTGTGATATTTTTTTTATTCGTCGTGAGCCAAGAGGGCGGAGCTTAACTGCAAAATCTTTATTTCTCTACGAGTAATTAAAAACATGTTTTTGAGTATCGTGTTATTCAAAGAATATTATGTATATTAAGAAAAAATTAAAGCCGAAGATAACATTTTAAACGTGTTTTAAGTTTCTAGGAATAAAAAAATCATCACAATTGAGATGTGGTGGGTGGGCGGGGTTAATATTTTGCTATATTTTCTTAATATACATAGTTTTCTTGGAACAACACGATACTCAAAAACATGTTTTTTATTTCTTGTAAAGAAATAAGTATTTTGCAGATAAGCTGCGACCTCATGGCTCACTTGAATAAAAAAAATCATCACAATCGAGATAGGGCGGGTGGGCGGGCTGACATTTTGTTCTTTTTGTTTGAATATGTGTACACCTCTTTTCAGAACATAAAACTTAAAACATGTTTAAAATGGAAAATTTGTATAAGGAAATCTCGATTTTGCAATTGGATTCCGGTCCGTAATTGCAAAATCCATATTTCTTTGTAAAAATGTACCATTTTAACCATGTTTCAAGTTTCTTGTTGTGAAAAAATGGCTATGTATATCAAGAAATAAAAGGTAAAATATAAGCTCCGCCCACCCACCCTGTCTCAAATGTGTTGATTTTTTATTCGTCGTGAGCTAAGAAGGTGGACCTTAACTGCAAAATCTTAATTTCTCTACGAGTAATTAAAAACATGTTTTTTAGTATCGTGTTGTTCAAGAGTACTATGTATGTATATTAAGAAAAAATCTAAGCCAAAGATTAAACCCTAACCATACCTGATCTGATTTACATATGTAGTAATGAAGTTTTCATTTTAAACATGTTTTAAGTTTCTAAGAATAAAAGAATCATCACAATTGAGATGGGGTGGGTGGGCGGGGTTTATATTTTGCTATATTTTCTTAATACACATAGTTTTCTTTGAACAACACGATACTCGAAAACATGTTTTTTATTTCTTGTAAAGAAATAAGTATTTTACAGTTAAGCTGCGCCCTCATGGCTCAGTTGAATAAAAAAATTATCACAAGTGAGAGAGGGCGGGTGGGCGGGCTTACATTTTGTCTTTTTGTTTGAATATGTGTAGACTTCTTCTCAGAACATGAAACTTAAAACATGTTTAAAATGGAAAATTTGTATAAGGAAATATCGATTTTGCAATCTGATTCCGCCCCGTAATAACAAAATCCATATTTCCTTACAAAAATGTGCCATTTTAACCATCTTTCAAGTTTCTTGTTGTGAAAAAATGGCTATGTATATTAAGAAAAACAAGACAAAATTTAAGCCCCGCCCACCCACCCTGTCTCAATTGTGATTATTTTTTTTTATTCGTCGTGAGCCAAAGGAACGAACAATTGCAAAAATATAGTGTGTTTATGGTCACGGAGCAACATTTTCGAATGAATCGCTACGAAATGCAAATTTTTCAAAATTTCTAAAAATTTCGAAATTTCAACGGTCGATTCCGGAAAAATGGTTGCAGTTATCAAAGAAATGAGGCACGAAGTGAGTTCTAAAGCTGAAGTCTACACGAAAATGTGTTTAGTAAAGTTTCGAAAATGTCAAAAATTGGTCGAAATTTGAAGAAGGAAAAATTTCATTTTTAAAAAAGTTGTCCAAAAATAATGAAAAACTTCAGGGACGTAGATCTCGACATGCTGATTCCAAAAATATAGCGTGTTGATGGTCACGGAGCAACATTTTCGAAATAATCGATACCAAATGCGAATTTTTGAGAATTTCTAAAAATTTCGATATTTCAGCGGTCGATTCTGGAAAAACCGTTGCAGTTATCAAAGAATCGATGCCGGAAGTGAGTTCTAGAGCTCGAAATCTACAAGAAAATGTATTTAGTTAAGTTTCGAAAATGTCAAAATTTGGCCGAAATTTGAAGAAGGAAAAATTTCACTTTTAAAAAAGTTGTCCAAAGATTGCGAAAAAATTCAGAGACGTAGATCTCGACATGCTGATTCCAAAAATATAGTGTGTTGATGGTCACGGAGCAACATTTTCGAAAGAATCGGTAAGAAATGGGAATTTTTGAGAATTTCTAAAAATTTCGATATTTCAGCGGTCGATTCCGGAAAAACGGTTGCAGTTACCAAAGAATCGATGCCGGAAGTGAGTTCTAGAGCTCGAAATCTACAAGAAAATGTATTTAGTTAAGTTTCGAAAATGTCAAAATTTGGCCGAAATTTGAAGAAGGGGGGACCATTGGAAAAATTTCACTTTTAAAAAAGTTGTCCAAAGATTGCGAAAAAATTCAGAGACGTAGATCTCGACATGCTGATTCCAAAAATATAGTGTGTTGATGGTCACGGAGCAACATTTTCGAAAGAATCACTATGAAATTCGAATTTTTGAAAATTTCTAAAAATTTCGATATTTCAACGGTCGATTCTAGAAAAACGGTTGCAGTTATCAAAGAATCGATGCCGGAAGTGAGTTCTAGAGCTCGAAATCTACAAGAAAATGTATTTAGTTAAGTTTCGAAAATGTCAAAATCTGGCCGAAATTTGAAGGGGCCATTGGAAAAATTTCACTTTTAAAAAAAGTTGTCCGAAAATTGCGAAAAAATTCGGAGACGTAGATCTCGACATGCCGATTCCAAAAATATAGCGTGTTGATGGTCACGGAGCAACATTTTCGAAAGAATCGGTACGAAATGCGAATTTTTGAGAATTTCAAAAAATTTCGATATTTCAACGGTCGATTCTTGAAAAACGGTTGCAGTTATCAAAGAATCGATGCCGGAAGTGAGTTCTAGAGCTCGAAATCTACAAGAAAATGTGTTTAGTTAAGTTTCGAAAATGTCAAAGTTTGGCCGAAATTTGAAGAAGGGGGGACCATTGGAAAAATTTCTCTTTTAAAAAAAGTTGTCCAAAAATTGCGAAAAAATTCAGAGACCTAGATCTCGACATGATGATTCCAAAAATATAGCGTGTTGATGGTCACGGAGCAAAATTTTCGAAAGAATCGGTAAGAAATGGGAATTTTTGAGAATTTCTAAAAATTTGGATATTTCAGCGGTCGATTCCGGAAAAACGGTTGCAGTTATCAAAGAAACGAGACCGGAAGTGAGCTCTAGAGGTCGAGATCTACAAGAAAATGTATTTAGTTAAGCTTCGAAAACGTCAAAAATTGGCCGAAATTTGAAGAAGGGGGGACCATTGGAAAAATTTCACTCTTAAGAGTTGTCTAAAAATTGCGAAAAAATTCAGGGACGTAGAGCTTGACATGCTGATTCCAAAAGTATAGTGTGGTATTGGTCACGGAGCAAGATTTTTGAAAGAATCACTACGAAGTGCGAATTTTTCAACATTTCTAAAAATTTCGATATTTCAGCGGTCGATTCCGGAAAAACGGTTGTAGTAATCAAAGAAACAATGCCGGAAGTGAGTTCTAGAGCTTGAAATCTACAAGAAAATGTATTTAGTTAAGTTTCGAAAATGTCAAAATTTGGCCGAAATTTGAAGAAGGGGGGATCATTGGAAACATTTCACTTTTAAAAAAGTTGTCCAAAAATTGCGAAAAAATTCAGGGACGTGGATCTCGACATGCTGATTCCAAAAATGTGGTGTGTTGATGGTCACGGAGCAACATTTTCGAAAGAATCGCTACGAAATGCGAATTTTTGAGAATTTCTAAATTTTTCGACAATTCAACGGTCGATTCTGGAAAAACGGTTGCAGTTACCAAAGAAACGATACCGGAACTGAGTTCTAGAGCTCGAAATCTACAAGAAAATGTATTTAGTTAAGTTTCGAAACTGTCAAAATTTGGCCGAAATTTGAAGAAGGGGGGACCATTGGAAAAATTTCACTTTTAAAAAAGTTGTCCAAAAATTGCGAAAAAATTCAGGGACGTACATCTCGACATGCTGAATCCAAAAATATATCGTGTTGATGGCCACGGAGCAACATTTTCGAAAGAATTGGTACGAAATGCGAATTTTTGAGAATTTCTAAAAATTTCGATATTTCAGCGGTCGATTCCGGAAAAACGGTTGCAGTTATCAAAAAATCGATGCCGGAAGTGAGTTCTAGAGCTCGAAATCTATAAGAAAATGTATTTAGTTGAGTTTCGAAAATGTCAAATTTTGGCCGAAATCTGAAGAAGGGAAAAATTTCTCTTTTAAAAAAAGTTGTCCAAAAATTGCGAAAAAATTCAGAGACGTAGATCTCGACATGCTGATTCCAAAAATATAGCGTGTTGATGGTCACGGAACAATATTTTCGAAAGAATCGGTACAAAATGCGAATTTTTGAGAATTTCTAAAAATTTCGATATTTCAATGGTCGATTCTGGAAAAACGGTTGCAGTTATCAAAGAAACGATGCCGGAGGTGAGTTCAAGAGCTCGAAATCTACAAGAAAATGGACTTGGTTAAGTTTAGAAAATGTCAAAAATTGGCCGAAATTGGAAAAATTTCAGTTTTAAAAAAGTTGTCTAAAAATTGCGAAAAAATTCAGGGACGTAGATCTCGACTTGTTGATTCCACAAATATAGCATGTTGATGGTCACGGAGCAACATTTTCGAAAGAATCGCTACGAAATGCGAATTTTTGAAAATTTCTAAAAATTTCGATATTTCAAGTTTGTATATAAATCGACCTGAACTTCAATGTATGAATATCAAGCGCAACAATTTTAATCAAAATGCACCTACTGTAAGATTAATATGATTATTCTGCGGCTCCATCTCCACCCCATTCGCCTTATTCATCTCCGCTTCGCAGATTTCGTTTTCCAAAAGCTCTTCTTTCGTCTTCAGATCATCATCGTTGTAAATGATCCGTTTCTAAAACGAATCCTCATAATTAAACCAAAACGAAAAAAAAAACCACTTACATCTATTATATCCAAATCTAATTCGCTAAACAAACTCGGGTTGTCCTTCATCGACATCGAATTCACCAATTTCAATTGCAACTTTTCCACTTTTTCGATTTCGGCGTCTAAACGCGTCTGGAGGTCCCACTGCTGCTGCTCCAATCGCAGCCTCTCCTCGTTCGCCTTCTTCTGTTCTTCTGTCAGTTTTTGAGCAACCTCCTGAGCGCAAACAATCGAATAAAAAATTGATACACATGCAAGAAAAATAAAAACTCGAACCTCCAGTTCTTGTTGCGCCTGCGCCAGCTGCTCCTTCACTAGTAACGCTTCCTGTTCGGCGGATATCCTGCACCTCTCTTGTTCGGTTGCTATGGCTAAAGCTTGCAGACGTTCGGCGTGGAGTTTTTCCAAGGCCTCTTTAGCTGCGACTTGGTATGCGGCGTTATCGTCCTAAAAATATTTTTGGTTGTGACGTGGTCTAGCGGCTTTGCAAGGTCTGTTTTACTTGGAGTTTTCCGATTTCTTCCCTGTATTTGTCTTCGCCCCAGTTCTTCCCGGCTTGTTGGAGTTGCGTCTCGAGGGCGGAAACCCGAGATAGTAATCTTTCTTCGCCGACGTAAGCTTGCCAACTCTCTTCGGCCGATTTTCGTGCTTCGTCCACCACGCTTTGAAGAGCTGTGAGTTTGGTCTCTAAGCATTGCTCCCGTTGGGTAGCTTCTTGGATGATTTGGTGCAGTTTGTACAGCTCGTCTAAAGGCACGACTGGAGAAAGAAAAAACAGTTAAAATTGTCGGATTCTTGGGCGAAGTAGCGAAATATTTCTGATGGATACTTCACTGTTGTTCACTGTTATAGGTATTTCTAAATATAGACTGGGAAAATATCAACTCACATGTGGAGCAATTATAAGTTCAAAGGCACACCTGTTACACAACATTTTCTAGCGGAAGCCAAGTATTTGAACGAGAAAAATCGTTAACATCTACATTCTCAATTACCGTTTAATCACTGCTAGAGCGACGTAGTTGATTAAAAAAATGTTGGATTTTTTGGCTTCACTCACAGTTTTTCATGGTTTAAATTTTGGCTTAGTTGTTGCACATTTTTTCTGACAAACGAATTTCAATTGGTTTGTTTATTTTTTCCCAGAATTCCTAATTCCATCAAGTGTTACTACAATGTGTTTACACAATCTACTATTTAGCAATTTTCGGAATAATACATTACAAGCTGCTAAATAGCGCGAGTATTTAATTTTCTACACCGGCAATTCTGATTTGTTTACAGATAATCTCATGGTTGTATGTAAATTAAATGAAATTTTTATTAGTGTGAGTGTGTGCCATTAACATAATTTCTGTTTGATGTATAATTAACTAATATACTTAGAAAAATTTACATTTGAATCAAATAAAAACTGATAAAAAAGTCTGTTTTAAGAGAAAAATATCCCAGTACGTAAAAAAATGTGTGTAGAGCATTTTACAAAACACAGTGGAATAATATTAACGATTTTTACTGGCAGGCAAAAAAATCGTTATCAACAAAATGATTACCCAATAACCTTGACCTCTACAAATATCTAGTTTTATTTTTCCCGAGCGTAAGCGAGTTCATCGGGCGAATGACCACTTTTTTATTTTCTCGACGTTTCATGACCCCTACAGTACGAAAAAAGCAGTCTCTCGTTTCCGTCCGTTGATTTTTTTATATTTAAATTCTAGATTTTTCGATCCAATTTTTTAGTTTTTCACTGCTTCAATTTCCATTTTTAATTTTTTATGTTTTTGATGTTTCAATTTTTCGATTTTTCGACTTTTTAACTTCGATTTCTCGTTTTCCGGATATTTCAGTTTTATGATTTTCAATTTTTTCATTCTCCAATTTTTTGATTCGTGAATTTTTCTTTTGTATTTGTCAGTTTTTTATTTTTTAATTTTCAATTTTTGGCGTTTCGATAGATTTGTCGACTTCTCGAATACTTGGTTTCTCGATTTTCGATTTTTAAGGTTTTGGATTTTTCAATTTTTTGATTTTTTAAATTTTCGATACCTATTTGAGTTTTGGGATTTTTCAGTTTTTTGATTTTTCAAGTTTTGGATTCTCAATTTTTCGATATTTCAGTTTTGATATTTTCCGATTTCCCGATATTTCGATTTTTTAATTTTTTCATTTTTCAAATTTTCAATTTTCGGCTTTTCCAAATTTTCAATTTATCGATTTTTCGAATTCATGATTTCTCAACTTAGGTGTTTCCATTTCTCGATTTTTCAATTATTTTAAATTTTTTGATTTTTCAAGCTTTCGATTTTTCAATTTTCTGATTTTTTAAATTTTCCATTTTTCGACTTTTCGATTTCTCGAATTTTCAATTTCAGATTTCTCAAGTTTTCAATATTTTATTTTTATTTTTAGATTCATATCGGTTTATCAATTTTTTGATATTTCAGTTTTGGAATTTTTCAATATTTTTATTCTTCAATTTTTGGCGTTTCTATCGATTTGTCGATTTTTGATTTTCCCATTTCTCGATATCCCAACTGTTTGATGTTTCGATTTCTCGATTTTTGATTTTTCATTTTTTTGACTTTTTAAATTTACGATTTTTTGATTTTTACGCTTTTCGATTTCCCAATTTTTTTCAATTTTCGATTCCTAAACCTTTTTATTGTAGATTTTCCGATGATTTTCAAATATTTCAGTTCAATTCCCCGATTTTTCGATTTTAATTTTTTTTCGTTTTTCGGTTTTTCTAAATTTTCAATTTGTCGATTTTTCGAATTCATGATTTTTGGATTAATTGATTTTTCATTTTCCCTTTTCTTGATTTCTCGACTTTAGTGTTTCGATTTCTTTCAGTTTTTTCAATTTTTCTGTTTTTCAAATTTACAATTTTTGGTGTTTCTCAGTTCGAATTCTCAATGTTTTGGTTAGCTGATTTTTCGATTTCTTGAGTTTTCGAAGTTTTGATTTACGATTTTTTGTTTCTTCAGTTTTTCAATTTTTTGATTTTTTAAATTTTCCATTTTTCGACTTTTCGGTTATTCGAATTTTCGATTTCTCGAATTTTCAATTTCAGATTTCTCAAGTTTTCAATGTTTCAGTTTTATTTTTAGATTTTTCGATCAATTTCTTGATATTTCAGTTTTCGGATTTTTCAATATTTTTATTCTTCAATTTTTCGATTCCTCAATTTTCCGATTTTTAAATTTTTTCATTTTTCAAATTTTCAATTTTTGGCGTTTCTAGTTTCTGATTTGCCGATTTTTCAATTTCTCAATTTTTCAATTTTCGATTCCTCAATTTTTCGACTTTTTTGTTTTGTATTTTTCAGTTTATTATTCTTTAATAATTGTTCGATTTAAAACCTTTTCATTTTTTTTAATTTTCAATTTTTGGCGTTTTTATCGATTTGGCGATTTTTTGAAGTTTCCTTGATTTCTCCATTATGTATTAGATTTTTCGACTTTTCCTTTGTTTGAATTTCCCATTTGTTCGATATCCTGTTTTGTGGTTTCGATTTGGCGATTTTTCGATTTTCAAGGTTTTTGATTTTCCAATTTTTCAATTTTTCGATATTTCAGTTTTGGGATTTTTCGATTTTTCATTTTCTCCATTTTCTAATTTTCCATTTCTCAACCTGTCTATTTTTAGATTTCCCGATGATTTTCCGATATTTCAGTTTAGTTCCCCGATTTTTCTGTTTTTCAGATTTACAATTTTTGGTGTTTCTCAGTTCGAATTCTCGGTATATTGATTAGCCTATTTTTTATTTCTTCAGTTTTTCGGTTTTTTTATTTTTCAGGTTCTCGATTTTTCAATTTTTTGATTTTTTAAATTTTCCATTTTTCGACTTTTCGGTTATTCGAATTTTCGATTCCTCGAATTTTCAATTTCAAATTTCTCAAGTTTTCAATATTTTATTTTTCCATACTTTCATTCTTCAATTTTTCGATTCCTGAATTTTTCGATTATTAAATTTTTCCATTTTTCAATTTTCGATTAATCAATTTTTCGATATTTTAGTTTTGAGATTTTTCAGTTTTTCGATTCTTCAATTATTCGATGTTTCAGTTTTGGGATTTTTCGATTTTTCTAAATTGTCAATTTCTCAACCTTTTTATTTTTAGATTTCCCGATGATTTTCGGATATTTCAATTTAATTCCCCGATTTTTCAATTTTTAAATTTTCAATGTTTGGCTTATCTAAATTTTCAATTTGTCGATTTTCAGTTTTTTCAATTCTTCAATTTTTTGATTTTTCAATTTTTTTCAATTTTTCTGTTTTTCAAATTTACAATTTTTGATGTTTCTAAGTTCGAATTCTCGATGTTTTGGTTAGCCAATTTTTCGTTTTCTTGAGTTTTCGATGTTTTGATTTTTTTAATTTTCTATTTTTCGACTTTTCGGTTATTCGAATCTTCGAGTTCTCGAATTTTCAATTTCAGATTTCTAAAGTTTTCAATGTTTCAGTTTTATTTTTCGATTTATATCGGTTCATCAATTTTTTGATATTTCAGTTTTGAGAATTTTCAATATGTATTTTTATTCCTCAATTTTTCGATTTAAAACCTTTTCATTTTTTTAAATTTTCAATTTTTGCCGTTTTTATCGATTTGTCGATTTTTTGAAGTTTTCTTGATTTCTCGATTATTCGATTTTTCGACATTTCCTTTTTTTGAATTTCCCATTTGTTCGATGTCCTATTTGTTGTTTCGATTTCTTGATTTTCAAGATTTTTGATTTTTCAATTTTTTGATTTTTTAAATTTTCGATTTTAACACTTTTCGATTTCTCAATTTTTCGATATTTTAGTTTTGAGATTTTGCAGTTTTTTGATTCTTCAATTTTTCGATATTTCGGTTTGGGATTTTTCGATTTTTCTAATTTTCCATTTCTCAACCTTTTTATGTTTAGATTTCCCGATGATTTTCCGATATTTCAATTTAATTCGCCGATTTTTCAATTTTTAAATTTTCAATTTTCGGCTTTTCTAAATTTTCAATTTGTCGATTTTTCAGTTTTTTCAATTCTGCAATTTTTTGATTTTTCAATTTTAATCAATTTTCCTGTTTTTCAAATTTACAATTTTTGGTGTTTCTCAGTTCGAATTCTCGATATTTTGGTTAGCCGATTTTTCGAGTTTTCGATGTTTTGATTTTTTAAATTTTCCATTTTCCGACTTTTCGGATATTCGAATTTTCGAGTTCCCGAATTTTCAATTTCAGATTTCTCAAGTTTTCAATGTTTCAGTTTTATTTTTCGATTTATATCGGTTTATGAATTTTTTTATATTTTAGTTTTGAGAATTTTCAATATTTTTATTCCTCAATTTTTCGATTTTTTTGTTTTGTGTTTTTCAGTTTATTATTCTTTAATAATTATTCGATTTAAAACCTTTTCAATTTTTAAAATTTTCAATTTTTAGCGTTTTTATCGATTTGTCGATTTTTTGAAGTTTTCTTGATTTCTCGATTATTCGATTTTTCGACTTTTCCATTTTTTAATTTTCTCATTTGTTCGATATCCTAACTGTTTGTTGTTTCGATTTCTCGATTTTCAAGATTTTTGATTTTTCAATTTTTTGATTTTTTAAATTTTCGATTTTAACACTTTTCGATTTCCCAATTTTTCGATATTTTAGTTGAGATTTTGCAGTTTTTTGATTCTTCAATTTTTCGATATTTCGGTTTTGGGATTTTTCGATTATTCTAATTTTCCATTTCTCAATCTTTATATTTTTAGATATCCCGATGATTTTCGGATATTTCAATTTAATTCCCGGATTTTTCAATTTTTAAATTTTCAATTTTCGGCTTTTTTAAATTTTCAATTTGTCGATTTTCAGTTTTTTCAATTCTTCAATTTTTTTTATTTTTCGATTTTTTTCAATTTATCTGTTTTTCAAGTTTACAATTTTTGGTGTTTCTCAGTTCGAATTCACGATGTTTTGATTTTTTTAATTTTCCATTTTTCGACTTTTCGGTTATTCGAATTTTCGATTTCCCGAATTTTCAATTTCAGATTTCTCAAGTTTTCAATGTTTCAGTTTTATTTTTCGATTTATATCGGTTTATCAATTTTATTATATTATTTCAGTTTTGAGAATTTTCAATATTTTTATTCCTCAATTTTTCGATTTTTTTATTTTGTATTTTTCAGTTTATTACTCTTTAATAATTATTCGATTTAAAACCTTTTCATTTTTTTTAATTTTCAATTCTTGCCGTTTTTATCGATTTGTCGATTTTTTGAAGTTTTCTTGATTTCTCGATTATTCAACTTTTCCATTTTTTTGATTTTCCCATTTGTTCGATATCCTAACTGTTGTTTGGATTTCTCGATTTTTCGATTTTCAAGGTTTTTGATTTTTCAATTTTTTGATTTTTTAAATTTTCGATTTTTACACTTTTCGATTTCCCAATTTTTCAATTCTTCAATTTTTTGATATTTCAGTTTAGGGATTTTCGATACTTTTATTCTTCAATTTATCGATTCCTCAATTTTCCGATTACAAAATTTTTCCACTTTTCAAATTTTCAATTTTTGGTGTTTCTAAGCTTCCGATTTGTCTATTTTTCAATTTTCGATTAATCAAGGTTTCGAATCCCTGATTTCTCGATTATTCGATTTTGTGATTTTTCCATTTCTTGATTTTCCCATTTCTCGAAATCCCAACTATTTGTTGTTTCGATTTCTCGATTTATTGATTTTAAAAAGGTTTTTGATTTTTCAATTTTTTGATTTAAATTTTATCTAAATTTTCGATTTTAACACTTTTCGATTTCTCAATTTTTCAATTGTTTAGTTTTGAGATGTTTCGATTTTTCTAATTTTCCATTTCTCAACCTTTTTATTCTTCGATTTTCCGATATTTCAATTTAATTCCTCGATTTTTCGATTTTTAAAATTTCAATTTGTCGATTTTGCTGTTTTTCAAATTTACAATTCTTGGTGTTTCTCAGTTCGAATTCTCGATGTTCTTAAATTTTCCATTTTTCGACTTTTCGGTTATTCGAATTTTCGATTTCTCGAATTTTCAATATCAGATTTCGCAAGTTTTCAATGTTTCAGTTTTATTTTTCGACATTTTCGATCAATTTTTTGTATTTCAGTTTTGGGATTTTTCAATATTTTTATTCTTCAACTTTTCGATTTCCGGATTTTTCATTATTTTAATTCTTCAATATTTTTTTAAATTGTGTTATTTATATTTAAATTTTAGATTTTTCGATTTCTCGATTTTACAGTTCTTCGATTTTTCTATTTTTGAACTTTTAGCATTTTTTAATCCGAAATCTACCGATTATTTGATGTTTAGAATTCTCAATCTTCCGATTTTTTGACGTTTCAATTTTTCCATTTTTTGATATTTCAATTTTTAAATTTTATAATTTTTTGAATTCTCGATCTCCCGATCTGGCTTTTACTTTACAGTGGTTATCAGAGAACAAAAATTGCAGAAAAAATTATAATTTGTCAAAGAAGCGAGATTTGTTCAGAGGCGAGGGAAGTTCTGTCGAAATAACCTTTGACCAATTTTTTTTTCAGAATGTGAAGTGTAGAAGACTGTCAAAGCTCTTATTTTCAAACGAATCTCATAATTATTTTTCTCGACAAAAGAATACACAACAGAAAATCTAATTTTCCTCAAAAAAAAAACCTTCCCCATTTCCATCACCCCTCGAAACGACAACACCCTTTGTTATTTAAATTTCGTCCAAACAAACCGATTTATTGCGCTGAAAATCTCACAAAAACGCTAATGGTATTTCTGGCATACATCATTAATCAGGCATAATATCGAGCGCGCTCGTTTTCTTAGCACAACGAACGTTTATTTTATTTATAGAATTTTAAAAGTTTATATTTAAAGAAGTATTTATCCCAATGAACACGCGTCGTGGGTGGGAGGTATAATCGTTCTTCCATTACTTCCTACTTGATTAATACCATTGGTTAAGATGTATATTTTCGTGCGGTTACAGGGCATTAAAATCATTATGACTTGTTGATATTCGACGATTACGTCGCTCCACATGGCTCCCGGTTATCGCAAACTAAACAAATTAACTTATTTACCGAAAAATTTGGCCCCCAGATTCAGCTACTATGAAATTTTGTATCGTTTTCGTGTGGCACTTCGCTCCCGTCCCATTTAGCATATTCATCAGGCAATAAACGCAACGTTTGTGTACCAGTCGCCATGACAACCCCCCACATACCATGTGTGTTGCTCTCAACAATGCTGGGACTCGCCTTCGCCTCCTTCCCATCGGGCAGATACAGCTTGAGCGTCGCGATAATGCACCCATGAGTAACCTTCCTATTATTCTCGATAACGTCCACACCAAACTGAACTATATCACCGGAACTGACTTCATGGTGTTCTGTTTCGGCAGCCAGACGGTTGTTGTTGACGAACGTGCCGTTGCTGCTCTTGGTGTCCTAAGCCCCACAAATCAATCACACGCCAAAACTCGTACTCACGCTTACTTGTAGGTAGAACTTTCCGTTCTCGTACCACAGCAGGGCGTGATGCCGCGACAGCACCTTGCAGTCGAAGATGGCGTTGGTGGCTGTGGCCCGGGCCCGCGCCACCGAGCGGCCCACCTTGACGGGCTGGTCGAGCGTGAGGGTGCGTTCTTGAAATGGGTGAGAATTCGGTCGGCAGATGAGCACTGCTTTGGCGGTCATTTTGCTCTCGCTGCTCATTACCATGTCATTGATGGCGGGGGTTGGGTATGTGGCCACATTCTTCACCCAGATCCCACTTACTACTACCATCGCCTGGAATTAATCAATTTGATTAGGGCCAATCAAGAATCATGCAATGACATCTCGTTAACGTGTTAATTGTGGCGAGGCGCGGGAGCGCGCTGGGACGAGTCGGGACCGTGCTAAGGCTGCGTTGCTACTCACCCAAAGAGCAAAGAATTAAAAGCAATGTAAATTTTCATCTATTGAGGGATATGTCAAAATCTGTGGGCGTGAAACTAGGTACCTCAAATTGCCAAAATTACAAGCCCAACATTTTCACGGCCTGGCGAGAAATGGTGCTCGGCGGTCGCGGGACGACGGATTTCCACATAATTTACATATTTACATGAAACTTGCTAAATTTATCTAAGCTCTTGACATTTTTAAGCACAAAGAACTCGCGACGCAGATACTTGCGTAGACGTCACGGTGGCAGACCTGTGGACGGGGGCCAACTTCACGCAACTGACAATTACTGCGCATGCGTGTTGCAAGTGTCACAAATACTTGTCATTTGTCATTTCATCAAACGTTGTGTTGTTATTATTTTAGCCATCAGAAAGTCTTAGTTTTTCGACATGGGGGACCGCGACAGCAGCCCCGATATGGAAATCGAGCGCCCAGCGCGCCCCATTATCATTCGCAACACGACAGACCTTCAAAGACTCAAATTGGAAAAGCTCATGAAAAACCCGGTATGCCTCTCCTAGGGGGAATCGTTTGCATTTCGCAAATTGCCAAGCTCGTATTTTGCAGGAGAAACCAGTGGTGATTCCCGAGAAGCCCAAAGAACGCGGAGTTCCCGTAGTTCCAGACTTTGTCCGGAATGTCATGGGGAGCAGTGCAGGAGCAGGGTCTGGCGAGTTCCATGTGTATCGTCACTTGCGGCGGAAGGAATACGCAAGGCAAAAATACATGAAGGAGAAAGGCGAACGGGTAAGTTTGAACTTTTTGTTTATAAGTAGTAGGCAACCCATTATACACCAATTTACGCAGGAGCGACTGGATAATGAATATCACTCAAAACTGGAGGAGAACAAAAATAAAGCAGAGGCACGAACGGCGAAAAAAAGACAAAAAAGACTAAAAAGGAAGCAGAATCAGAAGGGCAAGAAGGCCAAAAATACAGCACAAAGTGAGAGTACAAGCAGCAGCAGTGATAGTGAAGAAGACAATGATAAAATTGAAGACGAAAATAAAGCGCCTGAATGTGGAGAAGAAAAGCAAGGCGGTGAAGAGGAGGTCGAGATCAAAAGCAAAAAGGCAGACAGTAGTGAGGGACAACAAAGAGAGGAAAAAGATGAGGGTGGTGAAAAACAAGATGAAAATAGCGATTAATGTAAATGTTATATTAAATAAAAAGCACTAGTTTTCTAGAACGTTTTTTAAGACTGGTTTCTTTGAGAAATGAGAGTAGTGTGCTGTGACAGGTGGAGACATCCTCAAACCCGACAAAGACAGTTTTCGTAATTTTTTTTTAGTCATTTTCCTATTTTCTATGCATTTTTTTTTTCAACAAAGACCACATTCAGTTACGTCTGGCTCACATTTTTAAGAAATCATAAAAAAAACGGTAGTTTTCGTTATTTTTAGCATAAAAATCTGGCTCATTTTTAAAAAGGTCATAAAAATAGGGTAGTTTCCATAAAAAATTGATGTTTCAGTAGATAAAATGAGTCTAAAGATAAGTCATTTTCTCAGTTTTTGTGTTCTTGAACAGACTTCAACGACAAAACTTGAAAATTGACTCATTTTACTGAAAAATTGATGATTTGGGAAAAACTGAGTTACAGGTTAGGGGTTAAAAATAAGGGAAAAAAGTCACATTCAACGTTGTTTTTGATGTTTTGGTAGAAATACCGGTTTTTGGTGAAAAAAAAAAATGCCTAGAAAATAGGAAAATCTGAGTTAAAATGTTGCTTCTGGACGAGGATATTTGGCGTTTTCAAAAATAGGGTAGAATCTTACAAATTTAGCTGTTTTACCAAAAGTCAACAACCGAAAAAAGCCTAAAACTATTCAAAAAGCATTAACTTTTATGCACCCCAAAAGTACCAAATATCTGTAGACCAAAAATTGGGCGCACGAAAAAAACTGTTGAAATCTCCCACAAACTAATGCAAAATTACTTCAAGAACAGTCAAAAAAACTGTCAAAATCCGTTGCTTTGTATTTCTGGACCAGACCAATTGGCGCATGCAAAAAAAAAAGGAAAAACAACACCAAAATTAAAACGCCTTACAAAACAAGACAGGATCCTAAAAATTTATATGTTTTTCCAAAAGTTAACAACAGAAAAAGATATAAAATCCGTCAAAAATCATAATTTTTAATGCGACCAAAAAATACTCAAAAGTCTCTTTTCTTGTTGTAAATCAATAACCCATCAGAAATTACAGCATTCCTTGGAGACACTCCAAAATGGATTTTTACTTCTGGACCAAACAAATTGGGGCATTAAAAATTACCGAACACTTATCCAAATCCCTCGGTTTTCAACACCCCGAAATGGATTTTTTATTTCTAGGCCAGGGCATTTGGGCACTTTAAAAATCCAATGAAAATGACGGTAATTAGTCCCAAAACGTTTTAAAATTATTGAAAAAGAGGTCAAAATTTCTCATTTTTAGATACCCCAAAATGAGTTCATTGCTGGACCAGAATAATAAACTGTTAAAATAAAAAAAAGCTGTGTCGACAGTTTTATTGCTGAATATTTCACCGATTCCAGATGGAACCGCTGCAAACCCAGAAGATCTAAGATCTACTATTGCTTTTCAAGGCATATAAAATATTAGTATTAACATTACCAGTACAATTAGGCACTTTAAAAACATAGCAAAACAAACCAAAGAAAAAGCAATGAAACAACCGGAAAAAAATCTAAAAACCATATTAAAATCCCCAATTTCTTTGAAATCCCAAAACTGCACTAAATCAATTTAATGTAATGAATAAGAATCGACTAAAGAGTTTCTCTATGCTGGAAGTGATGGATGGTTTGCAGAATTTGAGAATACATTGGGGGAGAAAACCAATGTTTTTGGTAGATGAAGTTGAAGTTTGATTTAGAGGTGCTGAAATCTCAAATTGAGAACTACGTTCTTATACGTCTGGCTGTGGATGGTTATTATACTCCTCATATATTTGTCTTTCGAGATACATCCGATTGGAAAAATGTAATTCAAGTTAATATTGAAAATCATGTTGCAGAACTAATATCAACTCATCTAAAATCAAAAATACTTGTTGTCTGATGATGTGATGATAGAACTGGTGAGAATGGTGTTATGATATTGAGACTTAAACTGAGTTAGTTACTGATAAGATTTTGATTTCTATTCATTTAATAAATTTATTTTGTGAAAAAATAGCATTTTCTTTGTCTTTGCCTTTGCTTGTTGCACTGTTATTGATGTAGCAATGTTGATGTTGAATATAATTGTGAAAATCAACCAGCGTATTGAACAAAACTGTTGATTCAGGATTGATGGTCGTGCCGATGATTCTCCTCGATAGACACATTGATTGGAAGTTTTGGATCTTTAGTCGATTCTTATTATTCATTGCACTAAATTGATTTAGTGCAGTTTTTGGATTTCAAAGAAATTAGGGGTTTTAATATGGTTTTTGTTTCATTGCTTTTTTTTTTGGTTTGTTTTGCTGTTTTTAAACTGTCTTATTGTACTGGTAATATTAATAATAATAATAATAGTAGATCTTCGATCTTCTGAGTTTGCAGCGGTTCTACCTGACACAGTTTTTTTTATTTTACCAGTTATTATCCTGGTCCATCAATGAAAAGTCATTTTGGGGTATCTAAAAATGAGAAATTTTGACCTCTTTTTCAATAATTTTAATACGTTTTGGGACTAATTACCTTCATTTTCATTGGATTTTTAAAGTGCCCAAATGCCCTGGCTCAGAAATAAAAAAATCGATTTGTTGAAAACCGAGGGATCTGGATAAGTGTTGCAAAATTTCGGTAATTTTTAATGCCTCAATTTGTTTGGTCCAGAAATGAAAATCTATTTTGAGGTATTTAAAAACAAGAACTTTTATTTGTCTAATATTTTTACCAGTCGCCATTCCGACCGGTGAATTTTTCCCATGTGCCAATGGGTTGGTCTAGAAGTAAAAATCCATTTTGGGTGTCACCAAGGAATGCTGCAAGGTTTTTTGGGTGCTTTTAACGTAATTATGTTTGATTTTGGACGATTTTCAACAGTTTTCTCATGTGCCCAATTTCTGATTTTTTGGTCGCATTAAAAATTATGATTTTTGAAGGATTTTATGTCTTTTTCGGTTGTTAACTTTTGGGAAAACGTAGAAATTTTTAGGATCCTGCCTTGTTTTGTAAAGCGCCAAATATACCTGTTTGATTTGGTGTTGTTTTTCCTTTTTTTTTGCATGCGCCAATTGGTCTGGTCCAGAAATACAAAGCCATTTGGAATGTCTAAAAACAACGGATTTTGAAAGTTTTTCAAAGTGCTCTTGAAGTAATTTTGCACTATTTTGGGAGATTTCAACAGTTTTTTCGTGTACCTAGCTAATTTTTGGTGGTCTGCAGATATTTGGTACTTTTGGGGTGCATAAAAGTTGATGCTTTTTAAAGGGTTTTAGGCCTTCTTCGGTTGTTGACTTTTGGGAAAACAGCTAAATTTTTAGGGTTCTGTCTTGTTTTTTGAAGACGCCAAATGTCCTGGTTCAGAAATAAAAAGCCATTTTGGGGGTGCTTAAAAACAAGGCATTTTGTAAGTTTTTAGATCTTTTTCGGTTGTTTACTTTTGGGAAAACACTAAATTTGTAGGATTCTGCCTTGTTTTTTCATGCGCCCAATTTTTGGTCGGCTACAGATATTTGGGTACTTTTGGAGTGCAAAAAAATTAATGCTTTTGAAGAGTTTTAGGGCTTTTTCGGTTGTAGACTTTTGGAAAACAGCTAAATTTGTAAGATTCTACCTTGTTTTTTAAGACGCCAAATATCCTGGTCCAGAAGTAACATTTTATGTCCTAGTAGCCTAATATGTGTAAAGTTTTAACTCAGATTTTTTTTCCTAGTTTTCTTAGTCATTTTCCTAATTTCCATGCATTTTTTTTCAACAAAACCGGTATTTCTTCCAAAACATCAAAACTTCTAACTCAGTTTTTTCCAAATCATTAATTTTTTAGGAAAATGAGTCAATTTTCAAGTTTTGTCATTGAAGTTTGTTCAAAAACACAAAAATCGAGAAAATGACTGGTTTTTAAGCTCATTTTATCTATTGAAACATCAATTTTGTATGGAAACTAGCCTATTTTAAATGACTTTTTTAAAAATGTGAGCCAGATTTTTATGCAAAAAATAAGGAAAACTACCCTGTTTTTCATGATTTCTTAAAAATCTGAGCCAGACGTAACAACTTCTGAATCTCTGGTTTTTGTTGAAAAAAAAAAAAATGCATAGAAAATAGGAAAATGACAACGAAAACCATGAAAAAAAATCTGAGTTAGAACGTTACACATATTAGAATTATAGAATAAGACTAGATACTAAAAGTAATGAAGAGAGGGAAGGAGAAACACAGAATGCAGAAATGTGTCTCTTTGTGGGGTTTGAGGATGTTTTTGGCTTTTTTCGGTTGTTGACTTTTGGGAAAACAGCTAAATTTGTAAGATTCTACCCTGTTTTTTAAGACGCCAAATATCCTGGTCCAGAAATAACATTTTATGTCCTAATATTCTAATATGTGTAACGTTTTAACTCAGATTTTTTTTCCTAGTTTTCTTAGTCATTTTCCTAATTTCTATGCATTTTTTTTTCAACAAAAACCGGTATTTCTACCAAAACATCAAAAACAACGTTGAATTTGACTTATTAACCCCTAAATTCTAATTCAGTTTTCCCAAATCATCAATTTTTTAGGAAAATGAGTCAATTTTCAAGTTTTGTCGTTGAAGTTTGTTCAAAAACACAAAAATTGAGAAAATGACTTGTTTTGAGGCTCATTTTATCTACTGAAACATCAATTTTTTATGGAAACTACCCTATTTTTAATGCCCTTTTTAAAAATGTGAGCTAGATTTTTATGCAAAAAATAACGAAAACTACCCCGTTTTTTATGATTTCTTAAAAATGTCAGCCAGACGTAACAACTGAATCTGTGGTTTTTGTTGAAGAAAAATGCATAAAAATAGAAAAATGACTAAGAAAATCTGAGTTAGAGCGTAATTCTGTTTTTTAAAACGCCAAATATCCTAGTCCAGAAGTAACATTTTATGTCCTGGTAGTCTACTAATTTTGTCATTTCTTCTTAATATACATAGTCCTCTTTTCACAACAAGAAACTTAAAACATGTTCAAAATTTTTGTAGGGAAATATGTATTTTGCAATTACGCTCCGCCCCTTGGTCAACGAATAAAACATTCATCATCATTGAGATCGAGACTTTCTTTTAGTTACTTATAGTTACGATAGTTACATTATGTTTTTAGTTTCTTGTTGGGAAAATAAGATTTGGTGTATTAAAAAAATGTACGAAATATAAACCCCGCCCACCCACCCTCTCTTTTCTTACACGGTATCTCATTTGCCAAAGTCATTCTTTATCTTAGCAGGCACTAACCCCGCCCACCCACCCTCTCGTTTTTTAGAGGTTATGTCATCTGCCAAAATCAGTCTTATCTTGGCAGCTACTAGATAGGATAAGACTGATTTTGGCAGATGACATAATCTCTAAAAAACAGAGGGTGGGTGGGCGGGGCTAGTACCTGTCAGGATAAGACTAATTTTGGCAAATGACATTCTCTAAGAAAATAGAGGGCGGGCAGCTGGGGCTAGTACCTGTTAAGATAAGACTAATTTTAGCAAATGACATATCCTCCAGGAAATGGAATTAAATTATTATAAGAAAAGACACTACAGGCTTCAAAGCATTATTATTAATAAATAAACAAAAAAAAATTAATAATTCATAAAATTAAAAAGAAAATTCGTAAAATCGAAAAATTCGAAGATTGACAAAAATCAAAATTTGAAAAACTTATAATTGAAAACCCGAAAACTTGGAAAGCGAAAACTTGTGAAAATCTAAAATGAAAGAAAAGAAAAACTGTAAAGTTCAAAAATTAGAATTGAAGAAACAAAAAATCTAAAATCAAAAAATTAAAAGTCGAGAAACTGAAACACTGATGAAAAATTTAAAAATCAAAAGTTGAAAAATTTAAAAAAATCGAAAAAGGGAAAAACTGTAAAATCACAAAATTGTATATGTGTAACGTTTTAACTCAGATTTATTTTCCTAGTTTTCTTAGTCATTTTCCTATTTTCTATGCATTTTTTTTTCAACAACAGCCGGTATTTCTACCAAAACACCAAAAACAACGTTGAATTTGACCTTTTACCCCTATTTTTAACCCCTAACTTGTAACTCAGTTTTCTAAAATCATCAATTTTTTTAGGAAAATGAGCCAATTTTCAAGTTTTGTCGTTGAAGTCTGTTCAAAAACACAAAAATTGAGAATACGACTTGTTTTTAGGCTCATTTTATCTATTTTGAAACATAAATTTTTTATGGAAACTACCCTATTTTTAATGACCTTTTTAAAAATGTGAGCCAGACGTAACAACTTCTAAATCTCTGGTTTTTGTTGAAAAAAAAAAAAATGCATAGGAAAATGACTAAGAAAACAAAGAAAAAAAATCTGAGTTAGAACGTTAGAAATATTAGAATTATAGAATAAGACTAGATACTAAAAGTGATGAAGAGAGGGAAGGAGTAACACAGAATGCAGAAATGTGTCTCTTTGTGGGGTTTGAGGATGTTTTTGGCTTTTTTCGGTTGTTGACTTTTGGGAAAACAGCTAAATTTGTAAGATTCTACCCTGTTTTTTAAGACGCCAAATATCCTGGTTTAGAAGTGACATTTTATGTCCTAGTAGCCTAATATGTGTAACGTTTTAACTCAGATTTTTTTTCCTAGTTTTCTTAGTCATTTTCCTAATTTCTATGCATTTTTTTTCAACAAAAACCGGTATTTCTACCAAAAACATCAAAACTTCTAACTCAGTTTTTCCCAAATCGTCATTTTTTTAGAAAAATGAGTCAATTTTCAAGTTTTGTCATTGAAGTTTGTTCAAAAACACAAAAATTGAGAAAATGACTTGTTTTAGGCTCATTTTATCTATTGAAACATCAATTTTTAATGGAAACTAGCCTATTTTTAATGACCTTTTTAAAAATGTGAGCCAGATTTTTATGCAAAAAATAACGAAAACTACCCTGTTTTTTATGATTTCTTAAAAATGTGAGCCAGACGTAACAATTTCTGAATCTCTGGTTTTTGTTGAAAAAAAAATGCATAGAAAATAGGAAAATGGCTAAGAAAATCTGAGCTAGAGCGTAATTCTGTTTTTTAAGACGCCAAATATCCTGGTCCAGAAGTAACATTTTATGTCCTAGTAGTCTACTAATTTTGCCATTTCTTCTTAATATACGTAGTCCTCTTTTCACAACAAGAAACTTAAAACATGTTCAAAATTTTTGTAGGGAAATATGTATTTTGCAATTACGCTCCGCCCCTTGGTCAACGAATAAAACATTCATCATCATTGAGATCGAGACTTTCTTTTAGTTACTTATAGTTACGATAGTTACATTATGTTTTTAATTTCTTGTTGGGAAAATAAGATTTGGTGTATTAAAAAAATGTACGAAATATAAACCCCGCCCACCCACCCTCTCTTTTCTTACACGGTATATCATTTGCCAAAGTCATTCTTTATCTTAGCAGGCACTAACCCCGCCCACCCACCCTCTCGTTTTTTTAGAGGTTATGTCATCTGTCAAAGTCAGTCTTATCTTGGCAGCTACTAGATAGGATAAGACTGATATTGGCAGATGACATAACCTCTAAAAAACAGAGGGTGGGTGGGCGGGGCTAGTACTTGTTAGGATAAGACTGATTTTGGCAAATGACATTCTCTAAGAAAATAGAGGGCGGGCAGCTGGGGCTAGTACCTGTTAAGATAAGACTAATTTTAGCAAATGACGTATCCTCCAGGAAATGGAATTAAATTATTATAAGAAAAGACACTACAGGCTTCAAAGCATTATTATTAATAAATAAACAAAAAAAAAATTAATAATTCATAAAATTAAAAAGAAAATTCGTAAAATCGAAAAATTCGAAGATTGACAAAAATCAAAAATTGAAAAATTTATAATTGAAAACCTGAAAAATTGGAAATCGAAAACTTGTGAAAATCTAAAAATGAAAGAAAAGAAAAACTGTAAAGTTCAAAAATTAGAATTGAAGAAACAAAAAATCTAAAATCAAAAAATTAAAAGTCGAGAAACTGAAACACTGATGAAAAATTTAAAAATCAAAAGTTGAAAATTTGAAAAAATCGAAAAAAGGGAAAAACTGTAAAATCGAAAAATTGTATATGTGTAACGTTTTAACTCAGATTTTTTTTCCTAGTTTTCTTAGTCATTTTCCTATTTTCTCTGCATTTTTTTTCAACAAAAACCGGTATTTCTACCAAAACACCAAAAACAACGTTGAATTTGACATTTTACCCTTATTTTTAACCCCTAATTGTAACTCAGTTTTCCCAAATCATCAATTTTTTAGGAAAATGAGCCAATTTTCAAGTTTTGCCGTTGAAGTTTGTTCAAAAACACAAAAATTTAGAAAATTACTTGTTTTTAGGCTCATTTTATCTATTGAAACCTTAGATAAGGAAGATTTCCTAGTCTAAGATTGAAACATCAATTTTTTATGGAAACCACCCTATTTTTATGACCTTTTTAAAAATGTAAGCCAGATTTTTATGCCAAAAATAACAGCTAAATTTGTACGATTCTACCCTGTTTTTTAGGCCGCCAAATATCCAGGTCCAGAAGTGACATTTGATGTCCCACTATTTATTTTGACAGGTCCGCTCACCATCCTTTCGTTTTTAGTTTAGTCACCGTTGCGCAGTTGGCAGCATTGTCCGATTCAAGCAGCGATCTTTCAGTTTTTGTCATTTTCTCTTGCGCAGTGTGAGCAGTACGTGTAGTTGTGTGACCGTTATCGTGTTTGACGTCTCCTGCCAGCTCTCCAACACCCAATTTTAGTGCAAATAGTGTTTCGGATATCCCCTGCATCACATTTTGTAAGTAAAATCCGACCTCTTGTCCCTCTCACCGAAAAAAACCCCACGAAATTCCACCCGATTGACATTGTCTAAAGCAAAATGGCCGATATTGATTTTGTCGCAAAGGCTTTAAAAGTCGTTAAAGCTTGTCAAATTTAAACGTAAGAACGACCCTGAAGTGTTGATTCATTCTTAAATTAGACTGGTGGCCGTTAAACTCGTTTTTGATCGGTGGCGTAACCCAATCGAGCTGCGTTTTGATCGATGGACATCTGTCAAAATTTACCCATTTCGCCGAATTTTGGTCGTCGGGGACGGTTTTCGAGCCCCTGAATCCAGTGGGGTTTTTCGCCGATTCAAACCGGAACTTGCACCAGAGTGCATTTTTCCCCCACGTTTAATTCTCTCTTTGTCACCTGTTCATAATTTATTCCATATCGTGACTAATAAATCCCGCATTTCTATCTCCTCGACCAGCATTTCTTTATTTTTGCTCCACATTCACGTTTTGCAATTTTTTTGGCAAGTGGGTACGGTCCACGACGCAAATAATGACCACTGTGACGGATCAAGTGGGATGTAAACAAATGAAGCGGTTACGTCACGAATTTTGCGATATTGTGGCACATTTTCGCGAAACGGGGGAAACGCGAGGCTGAGGCGTGGGTCGAGGATTGCATTTTTGAGATTTTGCACGTCGTATCAAGAACAAATTCCAGGGTCAGAATGTTTATAGGTAACTGTTGTTGCTTATAAGTTTACATGGTCTAGTCATAAATATTTATTATTCAATATTTGCGATGCGGGTGCGAAAATGAGACATTTTTGCGTAAGGTTTGTTTTGGTGAAGGTTGGGCTAACGTAATAGGCCGCGAAATGGGAAAAATTGCATCAGAGTTGTAAATTTGTCACAAAAGTGACGATGATTTATTGGGGATCGGCCGAAACATAGATATTATTTTAGATATCGATGGGGTTTTCTCTGTGTACTGTGTAAACATTAAAATGTGTACTATTTTACCAGCTTTCAAAATTTTTCTCAGTGTCTTTTATCAGATTTTTCATTCAGCACACAAACGTGGTGTCTAGTCGATGCGTCCAGACATGGAATAATTACTTCGTATGTTTCGCTCACTTAGTATACAAATATAAGTTTCAGATCATTTAGGTCGTCCCGAAACCGCACATTTCCGCTTCTAATCCCTTTAACCCTATTCCTTACCTTTTTCTTTGTTCCTTATCGATTAAACGTAACGAAGCCAACATTCCTCTTCCACAATTTATTGAGTAATCAATCTCTGCCCCGAACCCGATACACAGGGCCGGGCTATTTCATCGACTCGGTTCGAAAATGTCAGCGATTCCCCTCTCGTGAACTTCATACACGCAAGAATCTCAACAATGCTTTGTTGTGTTCACGATTATCGGCCACCTGTGTAGGCAGACCGCTCTAATTTAATAGCGTTGAAAATGCCAAAATCGTGGCGTTTCGCAACCAAACCAAGATTAACGCGATTTTTACTTCGCAGGTAATGCAATAAGGATTTAGTGGAAGTCGAGCCCCGGAACATTAACATGAAAATGGTTTTATCTCAACGCCAGCGAGAGGAGCTGTGAGTATTTTTATTACGATTTATTATTTTCTCGATTAATTTAAGAGATAAGTCGACTTTCGTAGTGTCACCGGGTTCAGTGTCATTGCGTTAATTTTGACGCAATATCGGAGTTTCTTCGAGAAGAGTGAATTCGACTTTTCGTTTGAAGTTTAATCACGTACGGTTGGATTGGTGAAATCGAAACGGTGGGTACACGTGACGAACATACGAATGATTGGCACAAAGCGGATGATATCACGGTTGTCTCTGTAGCTTTGAAATATTAAAATAATATTATTTGAAAGGACGGCAATTTCGTGACGAGATGTTGATAATTTTTCGCCTCGTTCTCATGGAAGACAAAAGTTCTTGACCTTTTTTTCGCCGGTGCATTTTCTCTCTCGACACAATAGTAGAGGCAAATCTCAAGTGGATGATGATTCATATCTAGTTGGCATGCTGGGTGTTCGTTGTCTTATCATCTGTTATCGTAATTGTGAACTTTTATTCAGCGAAATGTCTGCTCGATATTCGGCCAAGTTGTTTATTTGTTGAATGGTGTCGACGAAGTAGTGGCAAATAGTCGTGGGTTATTGTTATTAGTTTAAGTTTTTTGATCAAATTGTTTAGAGATAATAAAATGTAAAAATTTGTGTGTTTAAACCATCGGGAAAGCTACAAGTTGAAAATTTTTTGAACACTTGTGGGTTACTTTGCCGTTACTTATGACCAGTTATGCCACCGTAGGTGCAAAGTTCAACATCTTCTATTGATTCACACTTGTGTGCTGTGCACACCAATAAAAAGCTCCATTAACGTCGATGCAAGCACGTCATTTTAAGTTTTTTTAAATAATAATATTTATTTTTAATAATTTTCAAGTGCCGCAAACAGCACATTATCAACGGGAATATATTACATCGGAAGAATGTCACGTAGATATTTGTTTGATTTGAATGAGTTTATCGCCCCAAAGCAGATGACTAAAATTATTCATAAGCCTCCATTGTACAACGTGTTCTGAATGTTATTATTATAATTCTTACCTTATCATTGTTTTATTGATATTGTTATAAAGACGAGCGTATTCTCACAATTTCCAGAAAATGGGGTGGCTCGTTCTTAATTTGATCAATAATAAATTAATTGATTCATTAATTTTTTTGAGTCACCTGTTTAAGCAAATCTAAAAAATCTGAATGCAATGATTAAAAGTCTGTTCATATTTTGCACATTTGCGAAATAATTTTTTCGGCAAAATTTTGAGATGCCGTAATCAAAGTATTCAGTTTTGCAATGCTTGATTTAATCAATAAAATAAATTATCAATTAAGTCATTAATTTTTTTCACACACCCCGTATAAGCAAATCTAAAAAATATTTATGCAGGGATAAATCACAATTATAGACTCATCATACTTTGCGCAATGCACGTTTAAGATAGCATTTTTTCGGAAAAATTTTGGGGTAGCGAGATCAATTTTTTAGGGGGAGATGACCAAATATATTTTGATCATAAATTTATCATGTTTTTTTGATGTTTAGGTTCTTCGACATTTCCGTTTTAAATTTTTAAGTTTGTCAATTTTTCCATTTTCAAAATTTTCGATTTTTCTAATTTTCAGATTCTCAATTTTATTTATTCTTCGATTTTTCGATTTAAATTTTTTTCATTTTCCAAATTTTCAATTTATGGGGTTTATGAGTTTCTGATTTCTCGATTAATCCATTTTACGATTTTTCGATTTTTCAGTTATTCAATTCTTCAACTTTTCAACTTTTTGATTTTTTACTTCGTTGATTTTTCAATTTTCTATTTCTCGTTTCCTCAATTTTTCAATTTTTCGATTTTTTAATATTTTTATTGTTCAGGTATTTAAATTTTTAATTTTTCGATTTGTGGATTTCTCACTTTTTCAATTTTTTGTTTTTTGAAATGCGATATTTCGGTTTTAAATTTTCAAATTTCGGACTTTTTGATGTTTCAGTTTCTCGATTTTGCGATTTCTGGACTTATCGAGATTCCGATGTTTCGATTTTTCAATTTTCCGTCGAAGTCGAAATAACCGAAACGAAAAATTAATAACTGAAGAATTTTAAACTTTAAAAATCGGAAAATTGAAAAATAAAAAATCGGGAAATTGAACAATCGAAATCTCGATGAATCCAAACATCAAAAAATTGTAAAATTTAAAATTAAAAAATCCGAAAAATAAAAAAATCTAGAAACTGAAAAAAATCGAGAAATCGAAACATCAAAAAATCATAAAATCGAAAAATGTAAAATTTAAATAATCGAAATCTGAAAAATCAAAAAAACGGGAAATCGAAAATTGTAAAATTTCTAAAATTGAAATTGAAAATTCGAAAAATTTTGATTTTTTACTTCGTTGATTTTTCAATTTTCTATTTCTCGTTTTCCCAATTTTTCGATTTTTTGATATTTTTATTGTTCAGGTATTTAAATTTTTAATTTTTCGATTTGTGGATTTCTCAAATTTTCAATTTTTTGTTTTTTGAAATGTGATATTTCGGTTTTAAATTTTCAAATTTCGGACTTTTTGTTGTTTCAGTCTCTCGATTTTGGATTTTTCGATTTTCCGATTTCTGGATTTATCGAGATTTCGATGCTCGATTTTTCAATTTTCCGAAATAACCCAAACGAAAAATTAAAAACTCAAGAATTTTAAATTTTAAAAATCGGAAAATTGAATAATCGAAATCTCGATAAATCCAAACATCAAAAAATTGTAAAATTTAAAACTAAAAAATTCAAAAAATAAAAAAATCTAGAAACTGAAAAAAGTCGAGAAATCGAAACATCAAAAAATCATAAAATCGAAAAATGTAAAATTTAAATAATAATCGAAAACTGAAAAATCAAAAAAACGGGAAATCAAAAATTCTAAAATTTATAAAATTGAAATTGAAAATTCGAAAAATTGAAAAATCGAAACATCGAAAAAATGGAAAATTCAAAAATCTAAGGCCGAGAAAACGAAAAACCGAGAAATCGCAAAAGCGAATAACTGAAAAATTGTAACGTCGAGAAATCGAAACACGAAAACATCTTGAAATTAAAAAATCGAAATAGCCCAAACGAAAAATAAAAATTGAAAAATTATAAATTAAAAAAAATCGATAAATCGAGAAATTGAAGAAAAATTGAAATCATAAATTTTTTGGAGGGGACGAGTAAATATAAATATTTTGAATAAAAACTTATCATCCTTATCGTAACTGTAAACCATCTGCAAGATTTCAAAGCATTCGGTTTTGCAGATTCCAAATTAAATGTCAAAATGTTCTTTCCTAATTTTGATTTTATTTTTCCAAAAATCTGGACGTTTCAGGTAAAATCTCAATTTGGAGTCATAAACTACGTGTGTACGACTATGTTATTTGATACAATTTAAAACCCATTTACTATGTACAATTTTGAAGTGACGTCATCACATTAGTGGTGGGGATGATTAGACAAATTTGGTTAGCCTTTACTATCTACTTCATATACCTAATATAAATACAAAATTTGACAACAATCTGTCCGGGACGCAGACAGATGGACAGAGAGACAGACAGACCGAAACGGGAGACCTATTAGTTCGTCCTCTAAGGGTCATGATACGTCGAGAAAATGCAAAAGAGGAGGGTCGGCCGAGGGACTCGATTACAATACTTCCTTTGCTTACGCTCGGGAAGTAAAAAATAAAAGAATGGGTTTTCCTAAAGAGTCTTTTATAGGCAAGCAATAGTCCCTCTTAATATTGTTTAGTCTTACCGTTGCAAGTACTAGCCCCACCCACCCTCCCTTTACTGTTTTTAGATGTATGTGATTTGCCAAAGTTAATCTTGTCTTAATAAGTACTAACCACGCCCACTTTCCCTGTTCTCATTTAGGGACTGATTTTATTTCTGTATTTCATTCAGAGTAGATAAAATTAATCACTGAAATCGAGGCGGGTGGGTGGGCGAGATTTGTTATATGTTCATCTGTAGGTTGCGAGTGGGAACTACTAGAAATTAGGCTAATCTAAACGTGATTTTTTTGAGGTATTATTTGTCATAAGATTTATTTCTTATTTCTGAAAACATAATAATCATCAAATCTTCAAATCCCCAGAACATCATAATCCTCAAATCTTCGGAACACCATAATCCTGAAGTCCTTAAACCAGAATCCTCAAATCCTCAAAACATCTTACTCCTAAAGTCCTCAAAACAGCATAATACTTAAATCTACAGAACATCATAATCCTCAAATCCTGTAAACACCACAATCCTCCAATCCTGTAAACACCACAATCCTCCAATCTTCAAAACACCATAATCCTCAAATCCTCAGAACACCATAACCTCAAATCGTCAGAACATCATATTCCTCAAATCCTCAAAACACTATAATCCTCAAATTCTCAAAACACCGTAGTTCTCAAATTCTCAAAACAGCATTATCCTCAGAACATCATAATCATTCTCAAATCCTCATAACAGCATAACCCTCAAATTCTCAATACACTAGAATACTCAAATCCTCAGAACATCATAATCCTCAAATCTTCAGAACATCGTAACTTTTAAATCCTCAGAACATTATAATCCTCAAATTCTCAAAACACCATATTTCTCAAATCTTCAGAATACCATAATCCCGAAATCCTCAGAACACCATAATCCTCAAATCCTCATAACAGCACAATTCTCAAATTTTCAATATACTAGAATGCTCAAATCCTCAGAACATCATAATCCCCAAATCCTCAAAACATTGTAATTCTCAAATCCTCGAAACACCATTATCTTCAGATCCTCAAAACACTATAATTCTCAAAACACTATCATTCTCAAAACACTATAGTCCTCACATTTTCAAAACATCATAATCTTCAAATCCTCAGAAGATCATAATCCTTAAAACACCATAATCCTCAAATCCTCAAAATACCGTAGTTCTCAAATTCTCAAAACAGCATTATCATCAGAACATCATAATCATTCTCAAATCCTCATAACAGCAT